ACAACCAGATAATACAGACGGACGATTTCAGCTTTAAAAAAACGTAGTCTCGACCATTTTTTTTACGCTGTGTTCAGAGTTATGGCTCTTTTCCCCCAGGAGCAGGGCGTCATTCCTACCAAAACGATTTAGGAAACCGGGCCCTCCGGGACTCCTTTGGGGGTCTTTTCTACTTCATTTTCCAAAGGTAGCACTACGTATATATAAATGTTGGTAGATATATGAACGTAGCTGGAGATCTAATATAACATTACCACCATAATAAGATAATCATTCGAATATACAGATCTAAAGCTCACCAATACAAGACAGAAGCCGAATGTCTCACTTCATTAATCTTGATTTGGTTTGGGGCACAACAGAAAACATTCAGGGCACGGGCCCCACATGCCAGTACCTAACGACTCCCCTGCCCAAGAATATTAAATTCCCATACAAGTGAGCAAGGCTTTGAAGCTGATGGAAAATGTGGGGTTAAATACGTTAAAAATACATAGCCTAACTTAACGTAACCAATCCTGACCATAACCTAATTAACCTAATGAAACTCCCAATGTATTTTTATAAACTTACCTACTGTGGTGGTAGGTATGCTTGGGCAATCTCTTTGCAGAAGTGGTTCAGAACTGAAATTATGCTTCGGGTGTGCATGGACAAACAAGAATTTAGTGAAATATATCCTTTAATGCAGTCTAGTTTTTCTTGCTCGGAGAAACCACGATTATAATTTCCCAAAGTCCTTCAATATTATTTGTGTGGACCCCAGTTCCTGGTTCAACAAAGTGCCAACAACGACCATTGATTATGTCATGACATAATCAATGCAATCAGTGGGGACCTGAGACCTGCTTAGTTATAAGAGTCTTTAGTGGCTGGAGGAAGGTTAGGAGTTTTTACCTTTATTGGCAATAGAGGATCTTCCATTCACATGAAAGAATGTATGAGGTTTACATGAGAAGTGATGTTGTACAGTAATGAAACATGGGCAGTTAAAATGGATAATATAAGCAGACTTGAGTGAGCTGATAGGAAAATGGTGAGGTGGATATGCAATGTGGCACTGAAAAACAAGAGGCTTTGTTCAGAGCCATGAGGGTGGCTAATACAGTACAGTAAGTCCTCGCTTAACGTCGGGGTTACTTTCCTAAAAACGTGACGTTACACGCAACAACGTTAAGCGGATCAATTTTCCCCATAAGAAATAGATAAAATACGGGAGTTACGTTCCAGAGCCGCCCTTTGCCCCAAGAAATACATTACATATACAGAAAATCATTGCCATTTCTATAGAAAATAGTGCATACATATACAACTACTGTACTAAGTTTGTATTGGTACTCACTGATGGGCGGAGGTGGTTGAGCGAGTGTGTGGTGGGTAGTGAAGCGGAGGAGGCGGATGGCGGGAGGGGAGGAGTATGGCAGGAGCGGAGGAGGAGGGCGGTGAGTCACCGAGACTTTGCCGAGCCGAGAGAGGGTGATGTGCCGTAAAAAGTAGTCCGTGACGACACAAAACGACGTTGTACCGAGTCATCGGGATATTAAACAAATTTTGGGTATCTAAAGATTAACGACGTAGTACCGAAACAATGCTAAGCGGAACGACATTATATGAGGATTTACTGTATTGGTGAAGTTCTGCATAGAGGTAGGCCGAGATGTTTTGGGCATGTGGAAAGAATAGACGAGAGCAGTTGGGTCAAAAGCTGCACGAGTCTAAATGTGGAGGGAAGGAGAGCCAGGAGCAGGCCAGGAATATGGGGAAAGGTCGTAGGAAATGACATAAAATAATAATGGTTGCCCCTCGTGTAACGAGGATGGTTGGCCCATGGGCTACCTAGGCATGAATTTGCTTAAGGTGTAGAAGCTGTCGCTAACACAACAACCACACCCTGAGTTAATGAGCTGCATGACCCAGTGTCAAAGAATAGTCCGAAAAGACTGGACCACATAAAGTTTCATAAGAATTGCTTGTGATTTTTTAATAGGAAATACATGCTCTGGTGATACTTATTTCGTAGATTGAAATGCCCATATGCTCTTTTTTTTTTTTACGTGGATTAGCCCACCCAAGCACTGGTCACTGACCCACATCGGGGCCTGGGGGCAGAATGTAATAATAATAATAATAATAATAATAATACTGTAATAATGTAATACATGCACGTACAGTAATAATAATAATAATAATAATAATAATAATAATAATGTAATAATAATAATAATAACAATAATAATAATAATTCAGATAAGTAAAATTTATAATAAAAAATATAAAACAAAATAATAATGATAACGATAATAATAATAACAACACTGCAATAATAATAATAATAATAAAGAACTACAAAAATAAAAAAAAAGATCAAGAATGAGAAACAATATATATATATATATATATATATATATATATATATATATATATATATATATATATATATATATATATATATATATATATATATATATATATATATATATATATATATATATATATGTTGTGTTGATAGTGGTAAGAGAAACAATTGAGACCCTGCAATTATGTGTAAATGAAGCAGAAAGTCAGATTAGCAACCAGGGACTTGGTCACAACTTTTGTGATGCCATATGGTAGCAGGGTCTACCATTAGACAACACATTATGCTTCCAATATCTTCCCAGGCGGTAGTACCTCTGTTTGATAGCTGCCTACTACCTACTACCTTTGCCTACATTGCCGAGAACCGAATTTCAGAAACCGCACAAAACCACCAAATTATTTTGGCGATTCCATGTATTTTGGCGAATTAATTTTTAGAACTGCACAATGGTTGTCTAAAGAAAATGAGCTCCTATGTTTACTGATTCTAAAGATATTTTAAAATTGGAAATCCATTAAAAAGTTTTGGAGTATTTTCCAATTTTATTTGCAAAATGTTTATTTTGGGTTACAAGCCTTTGAAGACTTTCAAGTTCTCGGCACCTGGTGCCCTCCTGATTTTGCATGATATTAGTTGCTAGAGAGCAAGGGTGTCAACAGGCACCACCTTCCTCTTTGTTGCCAGGCTTAGAACTCATTAGAATGCCCCAGATTTGTAAATTTCATTAGAATAAACGAGGTTCATACTCTGAAATTTGCCTACTTGCCTGTTAGGTGGTGCCGAGCTAAAGCATCTCGATTCAAGTTGTTATAAGGGAAGGACTGGTGGCACTAAACACGGGAGAACAACAAATAAAATGCCTAATAGCCAAAGATGTGGTCTAAAACTGACTGAGGAAACTACACAAATAGCTATTTGCACGAGAGAGCTCCAAGGGAGTTCATGAGACATGCATCATAGATCTACTCTCTAAACAGGGTACCTGAACACTGAGAAGGAATACATCTCAGCAGACTGGCTAATAGGTGTTGCCAAATGAATCTTTTCTTAGTTTTAATAAAAAAAATACAATACAGCATGCCCTTAAAAATTGCAGATTTTTAATTCGCAGATAACACCCTGGATGCACCCAAGAATGTCTAAGGGTAGTTTTAAAGTTGCCGGCATTTTCGCGGCTGGGACAGGGAGCCATTCGTTCTAGAGACAGTAATTTCTTTTACCTGTATTGTATGTGTGTGTATACTGTATACAATACAGGTAAGAGAAATAATTGTCCTAAGGGAAAACACATAAAGGGAGTATATGTACATTTCTTTGCACACGAGTAAAAATGTGCCCCCTCCGTTCAGCAAATGTTATTCGAGGCCATTTTGAGAACCTAACCCCCACAAATTTTAAGGGCATACTGTACTATATACAATATACCAATAAAACAAAACACACCATTTTCTCATACAGTAATACTGTTATGATGGCAACAGTAAATGAGAATCACCAAAACTGTCTATGGAGTAAGGCATCTTTTATGATTTTTGGGGGGCATAAGATATTATCATACATCAGATATACTTGGCAGTGATGTAGCTAAAGGATGCAAGAGTTCAGAGGATTTTTTTTCTTCAGAAAATCCTATTTTTCTTAATTGCAGCTAACCAATAAAAGCATGAAAATTGGATTTAAAACTCCCCGACAGCTACATATTTGACATAACCCCACTCTCACCACAACAGTAATCCCTCCGTTCGCCAAATCTTTGATCTCTGGAACTCTCTAGTACAAGGTAGCTAGAAATTTTTTTTGAGCCTAGTGATTGCATGGTGTGAATTGGTGTTTATCTGCCATTCAGTGAGGAGCTCTAAACAAGCATCCACAAACCCTTTCCCTTTTTTAACTTTTAAACTCTATAAAATTTTTAAGACAGGCTCCAAGCAAGAGTGAGTGAAAGAGAAAACATGTGTTAATAACTGTTGCAGATATTGTACAGTATTGGTAAGTTATAAATAATAGAGAAGTATTGTCTTTGCTTCATCTACAAAAAATCATAGTAACGTTTGACGAACCCTCACCATTACTCACAGAAGCCATCATGTGACAATTATAAGGTAAGAATTGACACTCAGGAATGCATTTATTTCAGCACCATGTTATAATAACGTCGATAAGCAGATTAATTCCTTAGCGAACACTTCTCTGGAATGTATCTTGTCCATTATAAGAAGTCTTCCTGTACAGTATAAGGAAAGTTTTTGAAGATAAGCTTCATTGTAAAAAATTTGCAAGTTTTTTAACCCATAGATGATCAATTAATTAAACCTAAGTCATGCTCAGTTTATCAAAGATTTTCCATATTCTTTTTGTTGGCTAAAACAACCCCCAAAGGACCCCCAAAATCATGTGTAGCAGTGAAAAGCACGCCGATAAGCTCCTTACCTAGTTTTTGCGACCTCCACACACTCATGTATTTATAGTGACGAGTTGCTAAGTCATATAAAACTAGATATTCTACAGATCTGGAACCCTTAGCAAAGCTTCTGGAACCCGAGCTTAACGTGACGTAAATTATGTCAGTAACCAATTAGTGCATGGCAAGGGATGAAGTAATTTATGTCAGTGACCATTAAGAGGTTAGATAAGGCAAACATATTTTATAAAATTTATTTAATACAGTACAGTATATATACAAGTATACAGGCTCTCCCCGACTTACAACAGGGATATGTTCCTGGACCCTGACCGTAAATTGATTTGTTGTTAAGTCAGAACAGTGTTAATTCCATAGTTTAGGTTAAGTTAAAGCACAACCCTGCCCATACAAAACAACAAGAATATCCCATATATAACAAATAATGAAAATACTATACCTTGTAAATTGAGTGATGTTAAACAATATAAATTAATTAAAATAATGTAAAAAAATGGGATTTTAATTTAAAAAAATTCCGATGAATGCATTGGGATCCCGTTCACAAGTGCGGATGATCGTAAGTCGGACGGTCGTAACTCGGGGACTGCCTGTAAATCCATACAGGGGGTCCCCGAGTTACGAACAGGTTCCGTTCCCGAGGAAGTTCTTAAGTTGGATTTGCACGTAAGTCGAAACACATGCTACTGTATGTGTTTACCGTACTTACAGAACAATGTTTAAAATCCCACTATATCATAGCCTAAGTCCTTATATACATCTAAAATCACTTAATTTAAGACAAATGAAGAAATAGAATGACAAAATAAAGTAAATGAAAGTAAAAAAATAAGACTTCAGGTAAATAAAATACTGTTTTCAAGTTTAACCACATTCCTATCGGTGGGCATTAGTAAGTCAGGGACCCTCAACTGTATAATACAACACTGTATATAACAATGATATAAATGTGAGCTCTAATTCATTTTTAAACTTTTTTATGAACATATGAACAGCAAAGCCATTGCATAATTTTTTTTCATAAATTATAAACAGCGGTGTTCCTTCACTTTACTGACACTTCACTGTGACCTTTACTATACAAGAACATAACTTTTATCGTCTATTTGGTTTGTTTCTCTTTGGTTTAGTAGGTGGATTGTCATTGTCATCATCATTGTTCTGCAATAAAAAGTAGTTTGAATTACATGATTATCCCATTATCAATATATTTTACTTTATATTAAATCAAATGTACAAATGAATCAGGTTTACTACATTTACCTGCAATTAAATCCTAGGCTGACAAATTTCTCTTGTACCTCAAAGGAATACTGTACTTCTACATTCCATTACATACTATTACTGTATATGGTACTACAACATAAATGTCATTAAACAAAAGTAAATTAGAAGATACAAAATAGATTCAGTTCATAAAATTCACTTCTGTTACAGATGACAAACTTCATGGCTCATGTACAGTACAGTGTAAGTTGTGCACTACTACTTCTGAGCATGGAAAGGCTCAGTCCCTTTTATACATGAAGGTGAAGGAGGAGGGTCCAGGCCCATTAAAACTTAAAATCTCGGAGATTATCCCCCACAAAAAACAAATCTTGCTTCATCAGTGTGAATAAATAAACATCAGTAAATTACGCTTTGTGTAATATTATCCACAATTCTCAACAAACAAACTGAATCTATGACAAGGGAAGAAAATATCTACTGTATTTATATATGTGGGTTGCATTACTCTATCATGACCTACCTGCTGCTGCCATTCCCGCTGTAGTTCAGCCAGCATCTTTGGTGACAGAAGACCCTGTGCTAAGAGCCGCTCTGTCAAACTGCCACGAGTAAGAGCTCTTTTGCTGGGTCTACCAGAAAGTGTTAACTTTTGAGTTTCTGGACCTTGGCGTAGATGTTCTGAGTTTCCCAAAGAGAATGTGCGATCTATAACAAACATGAAACTTAATTGATAAAATAACAAAATCAATCTATTCATTTTCATAAGAAAGGATTGGTTGAGTTTGTGAAATCCTTTTTTGTGTTTTGGAAGGAAAATGGATACACTGTAACCTGTCAGTGCAATACCACTGCTTTTGGATTGAAATATCTGCCAATTTCCAATTCCAAAATGACAGCAGTTGTCAACATTAAGTTTGCTTCCTTAGGCAGGTGTAAACAAATTGGACTTGAGTATGAAGCTCCAACACTCTATGGAGTATAACATGTATATGAGAACTCAAAGTTTATAAATCTTTTTACTATTTCAAACTACTGTACGTGTACCTAGCCACAAGCAGGTAGTCAGAATTACTATTTCCTTCCTCAGACTGGTGGTAAAGGAATGATATGAAAAGACCACATATGAAAATGGCATTGATAAGACTTGGATTGGATTAAACATGCACAGCCAAAAATGTAAAGGAACATTCAAAGAAATCATTTCAAACAAATAATACAACTATATACTCATAATAAATGTAATTTCCTATGATGTGTGACTTTATGGACACCCTGTAGAACATCAAGAATTCATGTCATACTATTATTTGACCTCTAATCACAAGGATTTTCCACAGAACAACCTGTTGTATCTAAAACAATGGATGAGGGTGAAAGTAGAGAGAACAAAACTAATAATGTCATGGGTGAAAAATCTGTGGTGGAAAATGGTTATGTGCTGTCTGTAAGAAGGATGTTCGTAACAATTCAATATTGTGTAGTGAGTGTGGAAGGTGGGTAGACAAGAGGTGCAGGGTGTAAATGGCAGACTACAGGATACTGCTGAATTTGAATGTGCTTATTTGCAGGTGATCATGTGGCCTTTGCAAGGCTGGAAAAGGTCAACCATGGGGATATATCCCTGGACTGTGTCAATGAATTCTGCTATGGTACCTGGATGACACGATCAGTGCCATAGGTGGTGCAGAAGCTAGCTCAGTTGCAAGAGTCAAAGGTGGCTGGAAGAATTTTAGGGAGCTATTGCCTTTATTGATGCAGAGCATCAATTCTTCATGTGAAAGAAGAGAAGTATACCACAAGTGTGAGAAGTGTGATGTATGGCAGTAAAACATGGGCTGTTATAGAGAATGACACACATAGATTTAAGTGAGCTTATATGAAAAAGAATTGGGGAGGTTTTGCACAGAGACATGCTGAGATGGTTTGGGCATGTGAAGAGAATGGAGAAGACCAATTGGGTCAAGAAGATGCATAGGCTTGAATGTGGAGGAGAGAAGAGCTAGGAGCAGGCCAAGAATAACAAGATGAGAGGTTGTGAGAAAATACCTAAGAGAAAAGAACCTAATGAGAGAAGCTGCAGCTAGGAAATCTGCACACATGGGTGGAAAATGGTAATAAAATAATGATATTGATGATGAAGATATCAGTATTAATTACTGTATTTTGTTTACAAATGAGAAAAACCCCAACTGGCAAGTCCCAAGCATGCCAAATAAATGGTCCCATACCTGTACAGTAATTGTATAAACATTATGTGTACTATGTTTGTTCAATTTACAGGTAGTAGGTATTAGGCAGCTACCAAGAGGTACTACCGCCTGGGAAGATATTGGAAGCATAATGTGTTGTCTATGGTAGACCCTGCTGCTGTATGGCATCACAAAAATTGTGACCAAGTCTCAGGTTGCTGATCTGACTTTCTGCCTCAATTACACACAATTTCAGGGTCTCAATTGTTTCACTTACTATTAACAACACAACACACATATACAGTATTGTTTCTCACTTTTGATCTTTTTTTTTCATATTTGTATTTCTTTATGGTTCTTTATTATTACTGTATTATTATTATTATTATTATTATTATTACATTCCGCCCCCCAGGCCCTGATGTGGGTCAGTGACCTGTGCCAGGGTGGGCTAATCCCCGTAAAAAAAAAAAATGAATACCTATGGAAGAGTCAGTTCTGGTTTATGGATAATTTGGCTTACAGATAGCCTCCAGGAATGGAACCCATCTGTAACCCGTGGAGTGTCTGTAAGTCCCTTACTTTACATGGGGAATGAATTCCAGATAAACAAATTTCTTTACTTTTGAAAGACTCTCTCCCTCTATCCGTCACATACAACACAGATAGCCAAAAGTTTTACAAGTACTGTAACTTATACAAGATACCTGTCCAGTTCAGCATTCTACTGTCTACTGTATTTATTGTACATTATGTGAGAGAGGAGGAGGACAGAGGAAGAGAGCAAATTACAAGGTTAATAATTATTGGTATGCACGACAAAGAAATATTTTACCTCTAAATTTGTTCTTCTTCCGTTGATCCATGATGAACGTGTCCTCTGTGTCTGCTGCAGTGTTTGAGATACGAGTGTCCCCGTTACGGAGAAGTCTGACAATCTGTGTAACCCCATCATCAATCATTCCATCCAGTTCAGTCTGTAGGTCTCTTACTAACTCTCCTTCAGGAAACATGTCAGGAAAACGATAACTGAAAAACAACAATTTACATAAACATATATTTGGGTCATGTTTTTTACTATACACCTATCTGCAGTAGCATCCCTACATTTCTTTAAAATACCAAACACTTCAAGTAACATCTAGCAGCATAAATTACCTCAAATACTTGATTTACCTGTAAATTAACCAATATTATTTTCTAAAGCAAATAAATATGAATATAGTTAAGGTACACTATACCCTTATTAATTCAACAAAAACGGGGCTCTGGGTCACTCAAATTACCGAAAAATATGAATTAACCGAGTTCAGAATAATTTCACATTATTCAACAATTTCTGAATTTTTGTGTTCGTTTTCTGTTCAGTTTTTGCACCTTGCCTTGCGTTGGCTGCCACATAAAATATTCTATTTATAATTACTGTGGAAAGATATTTATTTTTTAAATGTACATACAGTAATAATAAAGTAAATAATACAGAAATAAAAAATATGCAACGCACTGCGAAGTGAGCTGGTGAGGCAGGGGTTGAAGTGACGAGGCAGGAGGTGAGGTGATGAGGCACTTACACAGCACACACAGTAACAGCACTACTAAACTGTTGTCTTATAACATTTTAATTTCTAATTTCTATTTTAAAATTAATAGATACATGATGGGTAAATTTGGCTATTTTTGCACTTAACTGATCAGTGAATAAACCAGTGCACATGGAGATGCATAATATTTTTTTTTTAAGTTCTGATAAATAGGCCACAATATTACAGGGTTCGCCAATAATATGTTACCAATTTTAAATAATTTTGTTTTACTTGCAGATAACTGAAGGAGACACTTGGGAGTTTACGGCAATATGGTTTTGACTACGGCAAAAAAAGTGAAAGTTGTCGAATCGTATATTGAAACAAAATCTGTGGTACAGACTCAACGTTGCCACTGTTGTCACTTTAACGTCAGAAGAGGGCCAACATCAAAATAAATTCACCGTAAAGTGAAGTACATTGGGGAGAGTACAGCTGTATATACTTGTACTGTATATGTTATTTTTGGTTTCTGGTTCAAAGATCCTATACTGTACATGTACAGGTACTCCCTGACTTACGACGGGGCTAGGGACCGACATCCAGGTTCTTAAGTCGAAATGGTCGTAAGTCGGAAATGCTTAAATAACACATAGAAAATCGAAAATTTGTGTCTCTTTTTCTTCTCAGCACAACAAAACACTCACTTTTAAGCTTGCCAGCCATTTTAAAGTGAATTACAGATGAAAATTTTGTCTGTGTACTGACTTTGGGACTCAAAAATACATAATTTCACCACATTTTGGTACGACTGAGGCGGTTATAAGTGCGGGTGGACGTAAGTCGAGTCGGTCGTAAGTTGGGGACTACCTGTATATGTACACGTACAGGTATACCAATTCTATAAACAGTAGTATGCAAAATGGTCGCATTCTACCTTTTGTAACTTTCTGTGTTGGATGCAAATTCTTGAAGGTGTAACTGTTATTTTATCCAAGGTCAGAGCATACCACAAAAAAAAATAAATAATTCTTGATAATATGGCAATTTGCACATCCAGGTAAACGTGTATATGAAGCACAGACAGTTCAAATTAGTTTAACAAACATCTGTAAAACTAAAAATTAAGTCTCTAACCTTAACCAGAGGTAAAGATCGAAGACATCGTAAACTTCCTCTAGGTGTACCAAATCTAAAAGAGTGCTTGGAGTTGAAAAGGGCCACTTGACTTGATGACACAACCAATCTAACGTGGCCGGCTCATTTTGAGAATACTGGCGAGCAAACTGTGGAAAATGAAGAAATGTATTACTCATCCTAATTCTAAAGATTATATTCATTATTTTTACAGAATCAGAGACCATACAGCAACCCAAAATTCATATTTAATGAGTCACCCTGTGAGAAATTTCTGAAGAACAAAGAGTCAAATCACACCACTTATGCAGGAAGTGTTCAGTATGGCGAGTTTAGCAAACTATACTGTAGAAAAGTTCTCATCAAACTTTCTTTACGAAGACTAATCTTCACAGTCTGCCAAACTGGATTAACTTCCATCCACCTTCATCAGACTATAAGTATCTTAACCAATAAGAGGAAACAGAATGGTAAGACAAGGTCACAATAAATTCCTTTTTTGTGTAACTTGCTTTTTGGCTAGTGTATCCCAAGCTAAAGAAAATTAATATCCCCGTTAGTTGGAATTTTTGATCCGCAGAACTTTTCATTACCTGGAAAAATAAAATTCGAGCACTAAAAAAAAAAAAAAAAAACTCTGATCCCAGAATTCTAATGAATTTCTGAGCAATTACATTATGTGCTGACACATGCAAAGCGCATGGGTGGGTAGGCTTAGAGTGCTCATGCATTATGATTGACTACTACTATCAAGCGACTGCAAAGGATGCCTATGATTGGCTGATGTATCTCATGGTCTATCTCCTCACATTCTAGTACCATGAGACCCTTAGCTCATTGTCTGCTGTCATTATACAAGTTTGTTCGCTCACTCACTGCATACAATCTGTGTGTGCAGTACATTACTGTACTAGGACACAATCAGCCATGAATACCGTGAAGTGAAGTGAAGTGAACGTGTATGTGGACTCGGCATGTTGCCAGTATTCACTCCCTACCACATCACTCACCATCATCACCACCAACACTCATAATCATCACTACATTCACCACCACTAACTAGTGTTAACAGGATTAGAACGTGTTCAAAATGGGTTGACAGTGGCAGCCTGCAGGCTAGCAAACTAAACATGTGGCTGGGCAGGTGCTAATAATCTGATTCTATCATCCAGCAATTAGGATATTACCCCACCTCCTTGGTGAGTTGCTAGTCTTCCAAAATTTTGTTCCACCACTGGCATGTGCATCCTATGATGTAGGATATTAATTTTTTGTTGGAGGCACAAACAAATAGTGTACTAGAAGGGAGCCATATCCTCCATTCCAATTGGGAATTGAACGAATAACCATTTGCTTGCAAGGTCATCACTCTACCATCTAAGCTATGGAACCATAAGGGTGGCTTCCAAATTCAATACTGTATTACCAATTCTAATATGTTATATTACCTTTAGAAACATTGCACACACAAAAGGCATTTTCTTATTGATTGGGGAACAGCAGAAGACATAACGAGACCGTAGTGGGAGAGGGATGTGTTGAATCAAATCAGCAAGGAACTTGAAATCATCCATCAGGCACATGAAGTATAGTGACGAATCCACAGTGCATAGATTCACAAAAACATCCTGTTGGAAGAGACATTTAAGGATTACTGTAAATTCACAATATAATCATCCATGTACTGACTAACTCAAAAACTTATTGCAACTAGTGCCTAGATGTCTTCCTTTATTGCTGTTCTGCTCATTGTAAATTTCATATATTAATTAATCATAACCTAACATGTAGGTTCTTTGTATAAAGTAAAAAATCCACCTACTCTTCAAATGCTTCTTTTTTAGGTCACATTCACTTTACAGTATACCAACACTGTTCCCCTTGTACACTGACTTCCACTCTTCGTTATCTTTCCATTAGAACTGTCAAATCTGCTTCACCCTCGTATTCTCTTATTGTCTTGTATCTTTTATTTAAGCAAAAAGACTTAAACACAAGACTGTGGTGTTTGTTTACTAACTTTTTAACATGTAAACTATTTCAATAAGAAATCTCCTGATATAAATGAGCCATGTTTAAAACTTTGAGCACACTAACAATGTTTTGACTGAAAATGGTATACCAATACAAATGTTAAAAAAAATCACCCAAGCATATGTTTTACAACAGAGATAAAAGTTATTCTAAGATCAGTTACACATTTTTTAAGCACTGTACAGTGCATCTCTGTTAAACTGGACAAATTGGTAGGAGGGATCCTGATTTTGCAAATTTGGAATAATCTAGGAAATGTTTCACAAGATTTTAAAAAAACATTTACATTCATTTCAAATCTATGTTTATAGCCATTTCACATAACTGTACCCTGTTTCATCTTTGCTCCATTCAATAAGTAGTTATTCAAATGTAAAGGCAGAAAAAAAATCAAACAATTCATCATCATCTTCATAGTTACCATGTTTACACCCACCCAAAACCAAGGTGTGGGTAGTGAAAAGGCAGAATGGTTATCTGAATCACTAAACAACCAACTGGATAACTACAGGATCATTTGGATCACTAACAAGTTCATTTAGATCACAAATAGATAAGAATCCCAAAAGGATCATTTGACTTGCTATAACATCATATGGATTACTATGCCATCACTTGGATCACTACATAATCATTTGGATCCCTAATGGTCAATTTGGATCACTGTAGGAATGTCACTAAGTCTCTTAAATTTGTGTTTACAACAATAGGAAACAGAGGGATTTAAGGGTAAGGAAATCTTATCATGTGACTAACCTATAAACACCATGACATATGTCTCCAGGCTACGGGTAACCTGCGTGTCAGAGTTAAACACAATAAAACTCATTATATCTGAATGCATAAAAGTATATTTTGGTTTAAGAGTAACAGGCCTAATATTTTCATAAGTAACTGAAAAAAAGAAGATCATGTTAGAGAACCTGACAGCTCTATAAATATATGATTGTTGGAGATCTGTGGTTAAAAGAAGTCTAGATGTGATTATTATATCATTATTAACAACATTACTATTATTATTGTGATTATTATTGAAAATATTTTATGCTTACAATGAGGTTGGAGAGAGTATAATTAGGCAGATGAAAAGCAAACAATTCTATTTGGTCAGCTGTCGGGTGGAGCCCTGCCTGTTCAATCTCCTCCGGCACATGTGACAGAAGTCGACTTAAAGTTGAATGATCTTCGGACTTCATGGTAGTTACATAGCCCTGGGGGAAATATATAATATATAATCAACGACCTCACCAGCAAGGAATCGAACCCTCGACCTACTGTCCGCGTGTTATATGGACTAAAAATGAAGTATATATATATATATATATATATATATATATATCCGACTTTTCTGTTCCTACAATGATCTAATGTAAGAATGCCGAGGCACAAGCTACAACCTCAGTGACATCATAGCTATTCCCTCCCATTAATTGCTGACTAACCAGTGGCATTACAATTTGAAGTGAAAGTATCAATATGAATAAGAAGCAAGTAAAAGGGTGAGGGCAAAAGGCATTTAGATGAACACAAGTGATCTCTGAGTTGATACAGACAATAAACTAAAACAAAATTAAGATGTTTATTTAACTTTTCACATTAAAAAAAAAAATCCTCCAAAATTTGTCGGGATAAGTAAGTAAACAAATAAAAGATACACCGGGCAAGTAAATCTCAAAAGTTACTTCCCCGGAACAAGCAAATATTCCACATAGATTGATTGGTCTGCTTGGTCTTGGTTTACCCACCACTCTACACAAGCCTGCATCACCCATAGTGTCTGCTTAATCACACAAGATACTACTTCCCAAAGGTCCATTCCCTTACTTCTGAGTTTTTCCCCTATCCTTTCATCTCCTTCTTGGTTTACTCTCTCCCTCTTACTATCCACCCCTGAATTATAAACCCTCTTTACTAACCTTTCACATCCCATTCCCTCATTATGTCTATGCCACCTTAGGAGACCCTGACCTTTTCTTTGCCCAATATACTACTTTAACAACTAATTTCTGGAGTTCTTTTCCTTCACATCCAGTTTATGCCACACACTGCTCTTGTACATGTCGTTTCTGTCACTTCGAATTCACTATGTTAGGAAAAACTTATATTTTTAAAATATATGAATAAAAGAACAGTGTGTAATGTAAACCATGAAACAACGAAAAAGATATAAATTAACTAATCGAAAGAGAACATATATTAAGACATTTGAAAGTACAGTAGACACAACTTACGTGATCCCATTGTGTGCCATAGCGACCAGCTCTTCCGGCAATTTGTAATGCTGAAGATACACTGATGGTTTCCATCTCCTTTTCTCCCTTCTCATTAATATTTGGTCGTATGAGAGAATAGAAGATGATGCGACGAATACTCCTGCAAAGATAATGTAAATATTCCATATTATATACTTGAGTACCATTTGACCAGAATTGTGTTCTGCATAGTTACAGTGCACAATGCAAATTGATTCACAATTTGTGGGAAAAACATGGTTTGATATATAACCAATACAAAATGGCCATTAATTTTTTGTCGCAAATTTGTCTAAAATATTTAATGAATTAGAGAATGGAGATAAAACGCTAATAAAATGCTAGGATATTGCCCCCCCTCCAAAAAAAAAAAAAAAGATACAAAAGTTCCTACAATGAATGCTCATCGTAACTGAAGGATAAATTTCAAGAGCTACTAAAACATACTAAATGGGAAAAATATGAATTGATAAGGGTACAGTGGTGTACAACTATACAGTATAGTACAGTTCAATTACAGAAATACACATTTAAAGTGGAGAAAATGTGTCTTTATCTTTACTTTAGTGTGAAACTAGACACTGCATACTGTCCACTAGTGCTGCATAGTCTGGTCTGTATCCTGAGAGGGCAACTGTGATGGAGTCATCACTCAGATGCTCATCTAGCAGATGGGTTCAAAATTTAGATTTGATGCAGTTCATGTTGGAAAGACAGAATAGGTAGAGACATACAGGGAAGCCAGTTTCATTGGTACTTTACAGATGTTATGGTACCTTCCTGTGTCCATAATCAGGGTCTAACACCACACTAATACTGTATGTTGGCGACCCCTGGTTTAGTGGTAACAATTATGTACAGACATCAAATTACACAGTGAATTTCTTGAAAACCTAAAAATACATTTGGTAAAATTTTATAAAAACAAAATTCCCAAAACACTTAACAGTTCAAGTTAAACAAAAAACTTAAATGTTGAACTTTATTGCATTTCAAATACTAAAAAGATGAAAATTTGTAATGCACATTGAGACTGTAATGATCTGAAGAATATAACTTACAGGTTGAGGCCCATGCCAATAGCATCTGTAGCAACAAGGATCTTGCAAGGATGACTGGGATCATTGAATTTAAAAGCTTGAGCAAGTTTGGTGCCTGGAGGGAGGCCTGAAAGACATAATACAATAAACTGTAAATCCATTGGTAGAAATTTAATGAAAGAGTTGTTTCAGTTTAAACAACCAAACAAAAGAATACTGTATATAAAGTTATGAAACATGTTATACAGTACTGTATTCACCCTTTTCTCTCACTTGATTGGGAAGAAATATTAATTCTTAATTGCATCTTTCTTCATTTTTTACTAAATTGATAATTTTCTTTTATAATATATATTGAATCATATTACAGATAGTCGACCCTCGTTAAAACGGACCCCTTTAATCCGGATATCGATAAATCGGACGAAATCTGAATTAAGCGAGGGACTGTCCGTGTCAAATTTCTGGTTCTGGGATTGTCCGATAGATGGCGCGTGCTCGCCAGACCGCCAGTCATTGTTGACTTAGCGCCATATTTGAGTATCAGTGTTGTGTTGACCTGATATTTTCGTTGTTATTTCAGTGATTAGGCATCTTTCAGCCTTGTATTTTACATCATGTCTTCAAGGGGGAGTAATAAAGAGGAAGTATGTGACCCTTTCTGTGAACCAGAAACTGGAACTAACAAGGAAGTTAGAGGCTGGTGCTTCGGTGTCTAGAGTTTGTGATGAGTATGGTGTTAAAAAGCAAACAGTTTCGGACATACACAAGGCTAAGGACAAACTCACTGTATTTTCTTTGAAATATAATGCAATATTATGCAATATTAACCCCTAAATCGGTTAATTCGGACAATCGGCTAAAACGGACACCCTTCCCCCCCCTATTAGTCCGTTTTAACAAGGGTCGACTGTATACAGAAAAATAGCAGCTTATTCACACAAGAATTCAAATGATTCTATTTAAACACTTAAATGATAATCATCATCAATAGATAATGAAAACTTTAGGTCCTTCAACAAAGGTGATCATCTACAGTACATAATCAGGATCTTTCCGTACCCGAGCGATAATTTGTAACTTGTGGCAACTTTTCCTTTATTAATGGCTTTTATATGCTTTTGCTACTGACGTTTATATGTCCACAATTTTAAGTTTTAATACTACAATGTACAATTTAAGCTACTATTAGAGGTGAATCTAGTGATTTGAACAGAGTCTTTACAGTCAGTTACAAAGGGTTTACAGTATACAGTATCCTGCATTTGTAATTTTTTTGGCCTGGTGCTCCAAATTACAGAAAAAAAAAAAATCTGGTAAACCCCAAAGCATGTCAGATAAATGGTCCCATGGTTCCATACCTGTACATATAGTAAATTCATATGGGTATCCCTCATTTAGTAATAATTCACTGAATGTTAATTCAATTTATCGCTAAAATTTTTTTAGGCCCTTTCTCACTAAACGTCAGGTCAAAATTTTGTTTAGTGATAGCTTAACTCACTGGGAAGGGGGGAAACTGGGGGACGAGGTGGTGTGTGAGATGGCATGTTGCCTTTGTTACATGTAGTGAAACTGTAAAGTTGTGCAGAAATCATTACAATACTGTACAGTACTCTTATGTGGCTATGTAGTTTTTTCATCTTACACTCCAATTATTCTGAAACAACTTTAAATGCCCAAGGATCCCTCCAAAACCCCTTTAAAATGGGTAAATCTGCCATCCACTGGAAGACCACTATCTCTTGTAGTCAGAATTAACGTTGCTTCCCTCCCCCTTTCTCTTATCGGAAAATAAAGAGTGACTGGATTTATAATCTTCTATTAAGAATCATCACTTTAAAATTACCTCACATCTGCATCACACAATTACTGTAAGTGTCACAGGCTGCACACAACATATAGCACAGTAATCAAAAGTTCAGCAGAGGGACAACCACAAGTCCAAGTAGGGAGGTATTCACATGCCTAACCTTAAGTCTGGATGCTACAGTTAAAACACTGTTGCCATTAGTAAAATTATGAGTTATTTTTTTATGGATCACAAGCACAAGATATGTTCATAACTAAACAAGGAGCTTTCCAGACCAATAGAAAAAAACCCACAACAGAATAAAAGCTAGCATCTCTGAAATCACTACCCATGATTTACAGTGTTATGAGCCAATTGTTCAAAACATCGTTAGACTTCGAGTGAACACTTCTAGCTTGTCTGAAAACAGATTCTGACTCCGTGAATTAAGTTCCTTGAATAAAAATAAAACCAAGTTCAGTAGATAAAGTAGATTCCACCCAATTCATGATTTGCTTCTCCAAAGGTCATTGAAATGCAATAACAATACATGCATAATCTGCTCAAAACCATTGCCTTTCACACCATGTTATACTGAAAATTTCATAAAAATACCCTGGAAAATATATTTATGGGGCAATTATAACATCAAATTGTAAATAGGTATTCACAATTACACATTAAATATTGTATAAAATATATGACCTGTGCCCGGGTAAGCTATTCCCCGTAAAAAAATAAAATAAAAATAGATGGCAGGTTAGCCACAAAACACTAATTAACTTACAATAAATAGATTAAATTAATAAAGAAATGATAATGTGTAAAAAATAAAAAAGGAAAGCAGCAGAGCAACAGTTGACCACATGTGAAGTTTAGGATATATCTTTAAGGCTCAAGGATTTGAGGCAAGTGAACCAACCACGGGATTTGGCTCAATGTATAATCGCGAACAAGAGTCCTGTCACCTCTTCTGCTGCTCCATGAACCCCAAAATTCAGACTTGTGAGTCTGAAACTCTGGGTTCGACGAGCAGCAGTAGAGGCAATAAGACTTTTTGTTTGTGATTGTCCCTTGTGGGTTTCTGGCCTTCAAAACAATAACTTGACCAGGGTTGTAGTTAGTTTCATAATCTTCATTTTGACTGGGATGTTTATACACACCTTTAGATTATCCAACAGGACATTATCCTTGGCTCTAGACTGTAGAGCCTCTAGACAAGGCAGGCTTTACTAAGGGAATGTTCTAGTAGGAGAATCTTGCGGGTCACTAATCAAAACATAGGCCATAAATAATAACTAATTATCCAAGAAAAGCTATACTTTCTCAGACTTGCACTTTTCCCAACATTTCACTTACCTCCATAAATGACAGCAACTTCATGGCCCCTCCGTTCTATTTCACGTGAGACGTGGTGAATGTCTCTCTTACTAAAACAAACAATGCAGTCCCCTGGGTGAACATTGTCAAAGGTTTGCAGAGCATAATTCTCGACAGTTAGATCTGTCAACCTTTTGTATCTTCTAATCTGTACAAGAATAAGAAATGTACCATGAGTGTGGTATGAGTGCTTAAAAAATGAAAACAATAATAAAAACAATATTGGGCATTGTATACCAGATCTACATTATATTTTACTTGAAAATCCCAAACTCTAGTTTTAAATTCCAAAATAAAAGTACAGGGGTATTTCAGAGTTAGCTATGAGTACAGTACAGTATATAATAAAACACCACAAGCTTGCTCACTGAGGGTTTGCATTATGGCTCAATTTATCTCAAAATCATATGAACTGAGTTAATGTTATAAAAGTGCAAGTAGTAGTTTGTATTTTCCATACACAATAAAATAAACAAATTGTGAAAAAAATATAGAATCTTCAGATAAACTATTGGTACAAATATTTTTTTAAATGCTGTACAATTATTTAATTTTGGATTTGTTCATGGTGAAAAAGATCAAACATATTCCAATAACAGCTTAATATATATATGAAAGAGAGAGAATTTCGTGTACTGTAACAGGTATGTATAACATGAATATGCATTTATGTTTTCACATGCAAAGATCATTTTTAAATGAGTACTAGATCACTGGGGTGAAGTGTGGACATGGCATTGTTACATGCACCTGATATTTCTGGTGAGATCCTACAACCCTATCTGCCAGCATAATAAGTTACTTGTATTTGGCAAAGCTGTTATGTTTGCTAGACTCTTGGTCCTGAGAATAGTGTAAAGTAGGGTTTCAATGTAAAAGTATCCAGAGTACAGTATGCGAACCCGCTTTTGAGCAAGCCAACCCACCCAGCATCTCTCACTAGCTCCTGGTATTTATCACTTATCTGCGCTCATTTGTGAAAAATTAAAAATATAATCATTACAACAGGTGGCTAGGTAATTAAGAAAATATAATATAAAACTACAAAATAAGACAAATGAAGAGCATGGACTTGTATGTGTGGGAAGTGAATGTTTGTGTGTGAAGGCAGCGAGCTGTAACTGCAGCGCCCCTTCCTCCCTTCCTCGATGTGAGTCAGCTGGATGGCTGAGCGGCTAAACTGTGTCACATCGCCCAGAGGTGCTATTCGTTGTACATAAAATAATATATACAGGGTACTGTACTGTGGAATAAATAAAAATAATACGAAGACATGTTTATTTTCTGCAAGTTTTTGACCATATGATAATTATTTCTTTTATATCCTATTTTGCACATTCTGTAAGAAAGATTGTGTGTGCATGTAACAATAAAAACATTATGAAGCAAAGTTCATATATCTACCTGAAATTATAAGTTGCAAAATAACCATAACATAGTTCACCAGCTCTGAGTGCTAACTCTGGCATCCTCTTTTTCACAATGGTTCCATGAACATCTCCCAGTCATCCACACTGGTAAAGTTTTTCTCTACTGGTATATTTTACAACAATCATGGCCCCTAAGAGGAAATTTAGTTGCAGTGCTAGTGGTGGTGAGAATGATGAATATATAAAAGAACATACAGTGAAAAGTTTTGAAGAAAAAGTCAAGATATTGGAGTAATCAAGGAGTGGCGTATCTAACTCTGAAGTGACACATTAGTTACACATGAAAGAGTCTTCCGTGTGCCCCATCAAACATTGTAAAAGTGAGATACGCAAACACCTTTTGATTTTTCTATTATAAAATTTATATACACTTATTGACCATTTAAGATGTTTCTATACTGGACAGGGTACATGGTTTGTGGACATTCACACAGTTGTTTACGTTGGGTAGGGTTAGGTTAGTACAAAAAATGGATTCAATATATACATACAGCGGGGACCCAAATACAGTACTGTATACGTGAAATTCGATCTTACATGAGGCTCCCAGAATGTAACCCCCTATGTACTCTGAGATGCTACTGTACTGTACTGTACTCAAACTTGTGGCATTCTCCTGTATTTCAACAGTGTAAATCATATTCACAAATTTGAGAATGCAGCAAAATTATTTCAATAGTTAAAAAATAAAATTTGGCAAATGCCATCGATACAACAGACTCTGAAATACCCAAATATCTTCACCACAAATGTTAGCTGTCCAATGGAACTTCTTCTTGAGGCACTTCAAGCTTAAGAATGCAACTGCTTATTCATTCGTTTGATAACACAGCAACCCATGTTTATAGAGTATCCTCCCCCCCCCCCTCCCATATATATATAAACTATATATATTTCAAATGGAGGACTGATACTGATATCTCTCTCTCTTGTGGAACCCTAAAGCAAGTAGTAAGGTCTTGTAATACCAAGTGAGTTTCCAGGAGGGCCATCAGTTGATTATCATTATACTGTACAGGACCTCCAAAAGACAGTTTGGGTTAATATGCTAATCCCTTGGAGAAACTGATTACCCATCCTTCCTATTGCATTATACTGATAGGTCTTAAAGAAGGAGGATTTGAAATGATGTTTTTTTTTTTTTAAAGACTTTAAGGTCTACTCAAAGTTGTAACTAACCAACTACCACGCCATCATCCTAGTAAACCTGACTCCCTGACGTCTCTCCCACCAACAAAGTCTCTTGGTGACGTTAGTGTTCAGGAAGAAATTCTCAAGAATTTTACATAGTAACTCACTAGCTCCAGTAAATAACAGGAGCACTCATAGGCTGACATGTACAAACATCCAGACTAAAACAAAATAATGTATTAACTTTTCTATATTATCTTCTTACTTAACCTTGTTCGTATTAACTTATTAAAGATGGCAGCTCCTCATAAATATAAAATCTTTTGCATGTGACACTTATTACTCCTCAGAATCTTCTCTATTTTGTGTATTAAATTTTCTATCTTAATTACTTGAAAATTTTAAGAACTTCCATCAAATTCTCAAATCAAGATATCCCATACCTTCTGCAGTAAGTTATACTGTTCTAATAAACAACATTTCACAGACTTACCTCTACTTCTTCTCCAATTGCAACTGCAAGTTCATTTACTAGACCAATAGCTGAAGCTTCCCCACAGATGTGAACCTCCTTCGCACAGAGACCTAGCAATGCTCGAGTCCAAGCCCAGCCGCGCATTGGATCACGTATCATCTGAATTTCATCAATTATAGCAACATCATCTGCAGAAAATAGGGATATGTTATCAAAAAATTATTCATTACTGTACTACAGTAACAACTTATGTACAAATGGCCTAAGAAGTGATGTCACTTTTTCCAGTTCGATTCATTCAAAGAGCGGTACTATCTGGCAACTTGGTGGAAGCTAAATGAATCACCGATCACTCTCCAGTGAGCAAGACAGCAATTATAGGAAGACAGTGCGTATATTAATGAACTCCCGAGTTAAATTTCTCACTCCCTAAGCTTTTTTGGCTTTTCCCCATATTGTAGCAGGTAAAAGGCCTCCAGATGGGTAGTAAAAGTAAAAGAGCTATATCCCAATCCCATGGCTGAAAGGTGAAGATAAATGCAGGAAAAAAAGAACAGCCTGCCTAAGATGATAGAGAAACACAAGCCAATAATACAGAGAAGCCCCAATTATGACCGTTCAAATAATGATGATTCACATTTATAACTCTGATTAATTTAGAACCTAATTCAAGTTACACCAAATATTTATTTGTATTTAATAAAATTTTGTGTACAATATAAATAATACATTTATATTACACTGTATTCAAAATATATATACTGTATATTAAATTTCAAAAAATCCATAAATGAGCATGAAGCTTGGTGGGCTTAGGCTTGATACTGCTGACGTACTCAATAAAAGTTGATAGTAAGTTTTTACATTCATTCATACATACATACGTACACTCACCCTCCATTAATAAAGGGACTAAAATTTAATTATTTTTAAGACTGGTACAACTTGGACTGTGATGATTCACATTACTGTACAGTAGATCTTATCAAAATGTTTTTAAGAATAAGATAAATTAATATACAGTACAGTAATACCCCGCTTTACGCTGTTTCACTTTCCGCGATTTCGCATTTACGCGGTACCTCGCCAGAACCGGACTTTCACTTTACGCGGTGCATCTACTCATATACGCAGGAAGCGGCGCGGGCAGGATACGCACAAGATCGCCCAGTCATCAAAACATTATTGAGTTCTTCACCCGCCACCCACCACAGCCGGCCCAAGTCAGTGATAGTGATAGTGAGGATATGGACTTGTATGAACTTTGAGGGGTTTGACAAAGAGGCCCTGTAAGCCTATGTGGTGGATAGTGATACAATTGATACAAGTGATACAGGTGAGGGCCAATAATCTGCCCTCTGCCTCGGAACCAACCCCCCATCCCCGTGTGCCCAGCCATCTTTTCTACTAATGTAAGTGTTAAAATACCTAATATTATTGATATTTCTCTTAATTATTAATTGTGTGTGCATACCATCATAAATTTAAGATGTTATTTTTACTACAACGTAGGTAGACTGGCCCGACCCCCAAACTCCAGTCTCTATTGGAATTAATCCCATATGTTCTGTTGTTCACTTTACGCGGTTTTCACTTTCCGCGGTACCCCATGGGTTCAATTGACCGCGTGAATCGGGGTACTACTGTACTGTATATTGTCCTGTACCAGTAAATGTGAGGAATTAATAAAAAATACTACAGCAAAACCCTCTTCACTCAGACTTTTTATCCGGATTCTGGCAAACTACTATGGACTAATTTTTGTTAATGCGGATTGAGTCTGGATTAACATGAATAGTTCTGGTCTACCCATGTGGGACCCCTATAACTAACTCTTATTTTAAATTTTGTGGTAAAATATTCATAATTCGTGACCAGGCACCGGCTGTCGCAGTGTTTATTTCCGTAAGATACCATAAAAGTTGAAGACGTATCATTTCAATGTTTTAATTTGACTTAAAAATAAAGAAAATTTAATATAAATATAAATTCAATACTGTAATGTAACTTAGATACAGAAAAAAAATGAAACTGTAAGAAAACTGAGAAGTGCGAAGTGAAATGTATGTGGGAGTTGTGATGGTGAGGTGGTGGACTGAACATTCCCCCATTCCTGAGTGCTTGGTGCCCCTCTGTCCTTCTTACTTAAACAACATGTAATTTCAGCAAAATTCCCATAATACGGTATTTACTTTTACGTATTTGGTATCGGGGTAATAAAATATTATTGTAAAATAATACCCCCCCAAAAACAAAACAAAACTGCAAACGAGTTATTGTGGTATTAAATTCCATGAAAAAGAGTTTTAAGTAAATCTGAACGACTTTTGTTTTGTATTATGTACGATGTTTAGTGTTTATTAAAGCAGTATTGGAACAGTTTACAGTACAGGGGGGGTATAGGTATTTTTTGGCCTCTGGAACCATACAAATTTAATTTAAATTATTTAAACTACGTATACTGTAATCCACGATTTTATAATTCACAATGTCTTCTTGTATCTAACCCAAGAATTATCGAGACACCACCATGTCATATATAACAGTGTTTCATTAGAAAATACCGTATACATACTTAAATTTTAACGACAGGTATCCCTCATTTATCAATCATTCACTTAGTGATATAAAACTTTTTAACACCCTTTCTTGTTTAACGATGGTCAATTTTTGGTTTCGCAATGTTCTAATCAGTGGGCAAAACTCGAGAGGAAGTCGGAAAAACCAGGGATTCTGTGCCCCAGGTGCATATCATTACAATACAGTACTCTAATGTGGCTTAGACAAAGAAAATACTGTACAATATAAAACTATAAAATATAAAAAATGAGGAGCATTGGTGTGTCTGTGTGTGTGGACTTGGCATGTCCCCCCAGCTCTCCCCCTACCAGGCCAAGCTGTGTTATTTTTTTTATCAGTATTTTTCAACTCATAACTTTGGGTAAATATACTGAAAGTAATTTAATTTTCTATTTTTTTTTTTTTACTCTGTTCCATGTACACACAATCGTTCACACAAAAAATGAAAAAAAAAAACATATTATAAGGATAAAAACATAATGAGAATATACATTTCTTACACGTGTGTGAGTTAGTGTGCAGATCTTGGGAGGAGAGGAGAGCGGGACAGCAAGATTATTCACATGATCCTTACAAATTTCTCAATATAGATGAAACCAAAAGTAGTTTGCATGTGATTCACTCAAAAATATAAATAGAAAAGACCCTAAAAAACATTGGGAGAACCATAGGTTAAGGTGGAATTCTTCTTTGAGCATTCTGACACTAAGAGTGGTTCTTAGTCCTCAGTCAAGAAATTTAATAGAAGTAGACTGTTTGTCTAAAATAAGACAGAGTTAAAATCAATTATCTACACTTCCAATTTAGTTACTCAAATTTAAAAATATCAAATAACTTGTGAATTTTAGCCATGAGTCCCGAGCGGTATTCTGGGCTTAATCCACAGGTATAATGGACAAGGATCTTTAGAAGCAACAGTTTATCATTTAAAGTAATAAGGAATGAGCTGTGAGCACCACACCATAAACACAACCTGACCTTCATCTGGCCCAGTCTCAGTGGGGTTTCAAGTGTCAAATTCAATCAGTTCCAGCGTATTTCTATCTGAGTTGTCAGCTACCAGGCTAAGTCATGAAATGGAATAATAGGGCTAGTCCTTCATTTATGACTAATGCCTTTCAGCCTTTCACTCAGTAACTTGTGAATTTCAAGCCAACTAGAAAAGATAGGTAGTGGCTGAGAGTGCTCCAAGTACTAACATAGCACACACCCCATTAGATAAATCTTTCAATGTAGCCTTCCATCTACCTATAAAGCTTTCTCTTCTCCTCAACATAAGGTGGAATAAGTGTACAAACAACTAACAAGCGTTATTCACAGATGCCATTTCAACAGTACACGCTACATGTCTTGCTGCCGAGCCATCAGTGTTGCCAAACCTTCTTTCTTCTCCAGTCACCAAGTCACAGGGTGTACCCTATAGGAAAAAACATGATTACATAAATATAACTTTTTTTAATGAGAATCTAAGTCTACTTTGTCTGCCAATGCAGTAAAAAAGCAGACAAAAATTACCCTAGCCCATCACTGAAAACTAATTACAAGCTTTTAATATTATTAATATATTCAATAATACTAAATATTCACCTCACATAATAAGGAACAGTGGCCCAGCCATAATCAATGCAAAAACAAGATTAATTAGAAGTCATAAGCTTGTCACTAGTACTGCATAGTACTGTACCGCTCTAGCCACTGCTGCTATAGCTACTGTTTTAAACATATATAAAATATTATTACAGGTAAGAAAACTGATGTTTTGTATTGAATACTAAAATAGATATTTACACACACACACACAGTATATTACTTCTGAGTGATATATATGGCTTGAAATTTGGCTACTTGTGCAGCTGCATAATACACTACCTTGTATAATATTATTGATTAATTGTTGATAAATACACTATAATGTTATTTAATAGGTGCTTAAGAGAGATGTTGTAGTAAGCATAAGAGATGGAGAGCACTGTTAACAAGGTGAGGGAAAGAGAGTGATCAGTTGTTCAAGCTTGAAAATAAGGAACTTATTATGACGCAATGATTCATCTGAGGTTGAGTGTCAGATTAATTTTTCAGTTAAGTTGGTTATTGTATTTCATGATAATGTTATATCAACCCAGTACCAAATGAACCTAAATAATATAGGAATTATAGTGAAACGGCATAAACACGTGTTACAGTAGTCCATCCACCAATGCTACCTCCTGCCACCTGTTGCTCCCAGTTTTTCTTTATTCATAATGAACACAAACACATTAAAATGACATTTCCGCAAATTCTGTGGTTACGAGCAGTAATGGAAATGTATGGGTACAACGGTACATGGTGTGTACGTACCTACTTCTCAATTATGCTTTTTTTTATTTAATTTCTGTACAAATGGAGATGCTTAATTGTTGCCCTTTGTCAAGTTTCTATTAACCAGCGATGATTTTGTTTGTTCTATGGTAAATATCGACAACTCTATACTGTATATACCATACCTGTTTGTCGATATAATATAAATTACAGTATATGTTGGATATCTTGATATTTAGTGATAATTGGCCATTGTAACCTGGCATTTATGGTTCAAATTGTGTGCCTAATGTGATGTAGGTGTGCAGATATTGCACACCACATATATGGAATCAAGTGTGAATAACAGTGGTGACAAATATCCAGTAATTTCAAAACAATCCAAAATGTTTATTTAACTGATGAATCAACTACCATTGATGGCAAAACTATTCTAGTAGTGTGCTTGAGAGCAGCAGTTGGTGAATCTTCCCATCCTATATCATTCTATTTTGACTTAGAATATATGAAACTTAGTGCAAAAGCAAAATCTATATATGATGGTCTTCTAAATTGCTTATAAATTGGTGGTTTTTAAATGCAGTACATAAAAGAAAATGTGATATCACTTGTAACTCTTGGAGCATCAGTGATATTAGGGAAAAATTCCAGGATTGCTAAACTATTTCTGGACTTTTCTAATGCAACTGTTTGGCACGGTGCTAGTCACAGGCTTGACCTTGGTGTAGATGAGGCTATAAATGAAGTTGCAGATTTAAATAATTTACAGATATTTTGTGATAAATTATATTCCATATATCATAGGTCTCTTAATAATCAAGATGAGTTAACTGAGTGCACCGAGGCTCTTCAGTGTCAACTGTTGAAAATTGGTTGTGTTTTTAGTAAGAGATGGGTTGCTTCATTTTACTGAACTGTAATGGCAATATGGCAATTTCATAAAGCATTTTTAAAGAACAAACAGTGATGCTTCAAGATCAAGTGCAGAGAGAGCAAAGTATTAGGGGCTGAAAAAAGTACTACAACCATCAGCTTTTGTAAATAATTTGGGCTTGGTGATGGATACTTTGCTAAAGTTGTCAGAACTGTTACTTGAACTGCAAAACCGAAATTGTACACATGAAGAAATCAACTGAACTATCATGATTTTAGAGTGTGTGTGTGTGTGTGTGTGTGCGTGCTCCTTTTTTCCCAAACATGTACCTAGTTCTTAAAACCTATTTCCATTATTGGTTACCAGTATAGTATTTACATATGACAATTTACAGTATGAAACAGTCATATCAGTGAAAACAAGTGTTGACAATCAGACGTATGTCTGATTTTCTTGAAATAGTCCAGAGAAGTAGGGTTATGTCCATCCCCCTAGATTCACTTTTTACTGACTGGGGTCTGCCCTAATTAGTCCAGTGTATTGAGGTACAACAATAGTTTTCATTTTTATTATAGTATTTTGGGTAAGCTATGAGGATGAGCCCCATTACATCAATATTTGCAGATCTACTGCGTGCTCAGTGCTGCACACTAAGTGAAGTACAATGCAAAATAAAGCTGTATGTACATAAAAAAATGGTTGTTAAACTATATGAAGGACTAAGAGTTACCACTGTCATTGTGTGTTTTTTTTAACCTTCCCTTGCTTTTGAGAGCCCAGACATTTATACACTCTCTGCCACCACATCCACTCACCTTTAGATCACACACAGTTATGTTTTAGCAGAAATTACAGCAAAATATCATCTACAGGTATACTGCATATACACAATAATGAAATGCTATAATTCAATTACTTTACATACAATATTAATAAGTACAGAAATAATGCTTCAATATTAAATGTTTTCCCCAAACTGGTCAGCCAAGGACAGCCTTATTGTAACCTGAGATTATATTGACCTATTCAACATGGATTAAATCATAAATGGGTTGTCCAAGAACTTTATGAAAACCCCATCAAAGCACAACTCTGCTTATTTAACTGTTGTTGATTTATACTCACCCTGCTGTTACTTTTATTAAAGACTTCAGTAGCTAACAGCTTCAAGGGTCCACAATATATCCCAGACTCAGCATTCAGAAACTGTTCCAATGCATGATACGTCTTCCCACTATTGGTAGGTCCTGCATGAAATATTATCTTGCGGTTCAATGCTCGTGCCTCAGAATACCTGAAACAGAAAAATGAGGAATGACCAAAACACAATAGAACACAAATCTAATGCAATAAATTCAATCTATTCTAGGAACACAAAATAAAATACTTCAATTTCAGTAATGCTTACTTTAATACTCTAGATGGTTGTAAAATAACTCTCATTTTATAAATTGTAATACAGTAATCTCCCCATTAGAGGGAACAATTGGTGTTTACGGGTTTGAGATATTTCCGGGTATTGAGACAAATATTTTTATCCCCGTAAAAATTGAACATCTAAGGAACTTTTCTGGGCATTGGCGAATGTTTCCACGTCTAAACTGCGTATCTCACACAGTGCACTGCTACTCCACGAAGGAAACATTTAAGACATAATTTTTAATGGTCTTCTTACACTCAAGGTCACAGTCCCAAGTAAAGAAAATTCAAAATTGTGAAGTTGCACAGTAATAACCTACCAGAAAATGTTGTTACAGTAAGAGTTGTGAACGGCTGTACATTAATAACCTGCCACAGAATGTTGTGACAATAGGAGTTGTGAACTACAGGTATTTAAAAAACCTGCATTAGTATAAATGATACATATTGTTGCCTCATAAAAACCCATTGCACCTGTAATATTGGCAGTGTGGTCTCCCTTTTCAAAATGTTCCATCACTTTCATTTTCTTCTCTAATGAAGATTTACTTTGTCTCTTGCTGTCAACATCATTCTTGTTATTTTTGGGTCACTTAGCTTTCACAGTGGTGAGGGGCTAATAAGGACAACTGAAAAAAAAACAAGAGATATCTGTGTAACCCAGAGAGCAGCCAGAGGTAGCAAACTATCGGAGACAAGGTGGCATGATGACACTGTGATATGGTAACAGCTCACGTTAAACCGGGAACATTTTCATAATGTGTAAACAGTTTCCCTTATTGGTTCCTCATGCTAATGAAAATTTTATGTAGTGTTGTATTTTTTAATATCAAATTTTACACTGCAGAGAGAAAGTAAAAAATAATACAAAACTTCAATTTGGATACCCTCCTAATACAGTGAGTTCTGCTATAATGCGTGTTTTGATAACGCGAATTTGCTCTAACGCGATTCATGAATTCGGAACAATATTTGTATAACGCGAACGCTTGTTTGCTATAACGCGATTTTTGCTTACTATTTCTCCAATTTTGTGGTATTAACTGTGAATATGGTAAAGAAGAATATCTCCAAAAAGCGTTCTGATGATAGAATTCCCGGTGATTATCGTAAAAGAAAGGATATAACACTTGAAGAGAAGCTCGATGTTATCAACCTCAAAATCACCCTTCTCCCCCATCAAGTTACATTCATATTTTTTCAAGGTAAAGTGTTAAATTTACTGTATGATTTCATTATTAGATATGAATGTAACATTTATTTAGACTGTGCTATCCTTTGTGTTAGGCTAACTACTAAATTTTTTCGATTTCGAGTAATCTGCACCTAACCCTATTTTCTCCATAAGCCCTGTTATTTCTATTACGCGATTTTCTATAACACGATATTTTACAAGAACACAATTATCGCGTTATAGCAGAACTACCTGTACAGTACAGTATATCTTAGTATAATGTAACAAGTCAAGGGTTACTTACCAGTTTGGAGGATTTGATAAATCTGATATCTTATAAAGATCATCCATACAGATTAAGTGTGGGAATATCTTCTGGGCATGCTTCATAAAACTTGTGTATATGTCGTGGATATGGCCTGCACCCTATGGAAATATATCACTAAGTACATTATGAAACTTGGCAATAACAAATTAGACATAATCTTTTTTAAAGAATCAAATATTATACAGTACTGTAGTATACGATTCACAAAGTGAGATACTGTACAGTACTCTCAAGCAAAATAAAAAATTACATGAAGAGAAAATAATTCAAAACAAATAGCAAATTATTGAATGATGTATACAGTATTGTCTATATCTCAACAAACCAAACGAACATGCCCTAAATCTCACTTGAATTATATCACTAATGATAATGTGGAGATCAACTGGCAACGATTCTGAGTCAAGGCAGAACTTTCGGAAACTTATGAAGGTCTGTTGATACAGGTAATCTGAAATAAAAATTATGAAATTTAAAAGAGCAACTTCAAAAGAATCATGAACTGATATTGGTAAGTCTCATTTTATGGCTGGTACTTGATATTAGGATGTCATCCAGACAACTGTCATTAGTGTAGTTTCATTGAGGGCACCTGTACTGCTATCTAAAACTGACATTCTTAGAAAATCACACAATGTAGATGTACAGTCACAAACCAAAGTTTCTTTACGCCCCTGGCTGGAGAGAAGTCAATTCCAAGGCAAACAGACATACACTCATTCAGTAGTTTGGTGAACAGGTACCATGATGGTGGGGCTCACACACCAGCACCTCAACACAGTCACTCAGACTGTATTAGCTTAAATAAGCATATCTGTAATAGTGTAATATGCTGGTTATTGCTTTGAACAGTTGTACCTCCCTGTTGATATGGACGTCCATGTAATGGATTCTGTCTGAGTAACGACACCACTGTGGCTTAGTTAATCTGGTACTCGGGTTTCTTTTTACTGCATTACTTTCATAATTTTAGCTTCCATTTCATACTGTACAGTAATAGAGAAAATATGTGTCAAACTAAGACCAATTTCAGGCACAAATGAGGATAATTTGTGAAGGATATATTCTGAAATAATACTGTAAAATTTCATATATCAATACCTGTACATACAATAGAGAATTGTCTCAACTGATAACTTTAAAACGATATACAGTACGTACTGTATTCTGTTGACTAGTCTGAACATCAACTGTCACTGCGGTGACTGGGCATGGTATGTTCTGACAAACAAATTTGCTTGAATTGTTGAATTTCCCATCGATATTTGGCATGTGTGACCACGCCTTTAGGAATCTGACAAGATACTACAAAAGATCGTGTATCAGTGAGTGCTGCCATCAAGTAGTCACGGATAACTCAAGTGAGCATAGAAAATAGAATTAAAATGATGATACTGATGACTTGTAGGCAGTTTTGCTTTCAAGATCAGCAGATTATTACTGTATTATTTACTCCATTATATATATTAATGATACATTTTTGGGAATATGGCAATATTTCTTGGCACCAGAATCAAGCTTCAATTTATAGCTACACTGCACATGTTTTACTTTTTATTAATGAACACAGTACTGTACTGTATTATATTTTTATGTCATAAATTGGAAAATTATAAGGATTCTTTCACCAGACTTTAGTTGACCATCTTGTGGTTTGGGGATATCAAGGGTCTGGCACCTGTCTGATCCTGAGGGTGCCACAGGAGAGGGTATTGTCCTTTCACTAAGGGAGAGGGAGAAAAATTAAAGAAATGGAAAGAAAAATAAGGACAAAGTAAAAAAAAATAAAATAAATGAGAGAGAGATGGAGGAATAGTAAAAACCATATAAATAAAAGTAATATAGCTTTTTTTATTTATAAAACACTTACTGTCTAATCCATTTTCTTTAGCTAATTCCTTAATATCTTCATTGGTATAGAAACGGTTCAGGACACGTAAGATGTCCTCTTTCTTTAGTGGTCCAGCCATCTCCTCGCCCACATTAATTTCATCCTGCCTCGCCTGTAAGAGAAAACTTACATTATTCTATTTTCTCCAGTCTGTATAAGATAGAAAACGGTTCTATTCCATTGACATATAGTAGACCCCGATATATGACAAATCAACTCGATGATTTCAATGCAACATAACACACGCCGTCAAGTTCAAATTTGCCTACAGTAAGCCCAGAGCTCAGAAAAAGATCAAATGGAAAAATATGAATAATGTCAGAACTGGTGTTAACTGTTGAGCTACACTTCAAACTACAATAATTACAGTAGGGGGGGCCCCCACCATTGCGGATTTTTATTTCGCGGTCCTCTATTATTCGCGGATGACACCCTGAATGTACCCAAGAAGCTCTGTGGGTAGTTTTAAAGTTGCCGGCACTTTCGAGGCTGGGACAGGGAGCCATTCGTTCTAGAGACAGTAATTTCCTTTACCTGTATTGTAAATATGTGCGCATGTGTAGACACACACACAAAACACATAAATAATAATTGTAAAATCCTTTCACAAATAATCAGAAACAAATTTAATAAAAATGTAACAGTCTACCCTCAAGTCCGTGCTTTATTAATAAGTAATAAAGCACGGACTTGAGGGTAGAATGTCATATTTTTAATAAATTTGTTTCTGATTATTTGTGGAAGGATTTTCCAATTACAGTACATACAGTATTATTTATTTGTCTGTGTGTGTGTGTACACACACACACACACATACAGTATATACAATACACGTAAAAGAAATAATGTTCCTAAGGGCAAACGCATAAAGAGAATATCCAGTACATTTTTTTGTACACAAGTAAAAATGCCCCCCCCCCCCTGTATCTGTACATTACAGCTAGGGTGGAGATTCTTCAAGTGGTCCATCTGAACTACCATACTGTACCAGGTAATATACTGGATGGTATTACCCAAAGTTTATATCAAACTTGAAACATTTCACAGTTCTTACCTTGACTGGCACTGGAATGAAGAGATGTGATATTTCATCTTTACCCCCACCATCACCACCGCGAGAGTATCTGTGCTTTAGTCTTCTCCCACAGCTAATTACTGGTGGATGAATACACAAAGGCTGATGTGCCTTTTGTCTGAAATAAAAAAAATAAAAATAAGCAAATTATCCAATGACACAGTGGAAGAGCCGCTCAGCTGATCCTGACATCTCTATAGTGATGAGATGATGACCTAATGATGAAAGGATAGCTGTGTGTGTGTGTGTGTGTGTGTGTGTGTGTGTGTGTGTGTGTGTGTGCATATTATGATTGGCATGAAGTAGAAATAATATTTTTGATGTACAGTACAATAAAAATAATGTCTTAACAAACATTTCTCCCACAAGAATGTTTTGTTGTTAACACGCACTTTGATCTGTTTATGCACTATAATAACTCTCAATGCGACTTCTGACAAAAAAATTTCTCCCCACCCTTTGATACATATGAAGTCAACAGCCCGAATAAAAATATTTGTAAGTTATGCTCAGAGACTCCATGTAGTGTTGGTGATGATACTGGTACAGTACAGTACATTGTAATTAAAGATTTAGGAACATTTAGAAGAAAACTGAAAATCTAGCCTAACAAAATGAAATTTTAACGAGTGAAATATTGAAAATAGGCTACCATCTACAGTTTGACTGGAGATGTTCATCTACATGTAGCAAGGTAGCAAGGAAGGTGAAGTTAAACCCTAAACAATTCCTTCAAATGTATCAAACTAAAACACGAGACAAGATTGGACCAATACCGGCAAGCGAACTGTTAACGACGGAGAAATGAGCAATAATCTGAACAGCTAGTTTCAAAAAATTTTCACCACCAAAAATTTAAACATGATGCCCAAGGCACCGAATATATTCAAAGATAGTGAAGAAAATAAATTAATCGAGATAGTAGTGACTAGCGACGCTGTTAGTAAGCAAATAGACAAGCTAAAGCCTAATAAGTCACCAGGTCCCGATGAGGTATTTGCCAGAGTATTAAAGGACTGTAAGGAAGAGCTTAGTATGCCCTTAGCAAATTTGTTTAACATATCATTAAAAACAGGTGTAGTACCAGAATCCCGGAGGATAGCGAATGTGATACCGATTTTCAAGAAGAGAGATTGATCACTATCCTTTAACTACTATCCAGTCAGTTTAACATCAATTATAGGCAAATTGCTGGAACCAAAAGAGACATAAAACATAACTTAAACTCATTCCTGAACCTCCAGTCAGATACTAGTTTGAAGAGTGCAAGGTGGGCCGAGTTGGAGGCACACCCCTTAACTTAACCTAACCTAACCTAACTTACCATAATTTAACACATGCATTGAGTGAACTTACTGTTACTGAGATAGAGGAAAGTGGCTGTAAAGTCTTCCATAATAACCAAAAAAAATTATCACCTCTAAAATACTTACGGTAATAAGAACATAGAAAAAATTAACAAAAATCCAACTCCTCCTGGTGTTACTAATCTCAATATTATTACCACAATTTTATATCAAATCCATTAAATAACCTCATACTTAATTTATTTCTTAGTTAATTACCTTCTGACATTATCCGTAAATGTGAGACTAGTACAATTATATGATAACCAGGTACTGAAGGCAGACGACCCACCAAACTGTCTTGATATATTTCTGGACATAAAACAGCAATATCTGTGTAAAGTTCTTGGTAAATTAAGTCTATGTGACATTTTTATATAAGTATAGACTCTTGGACTACAACAGGTAACACATGTTATGGTAAGTATCTTTCACACACTGTACACTCGTCCGTAAACAACACTTGGATGTTATATACTACAGGTTCAAGGTCAACTTTTCTCGTTTATATGATAATCCACCTTTTGATGTTAATTTAACGTTTATTAGTGTCCTTAATAATTTTAAATAATATTAGAAACTCAATAAGTATGTCCCTATCTTTATTAAACAGGAACCTTCCCACACTCACCTACTGGATCTAAACGAATATTGATATGGTAATATTTTCAAGAGGCAGCGACCCTAAACTATACTATATGTAAGAAAAGATATATATTTCAAATATGCCCTTGTAACTTTAGCCTAAAAAAATTAATAAAATAAACAAATACATACCCATGTGTAAATTTTTAATCTACATTAGACCCTGCTGCCATATGGCATCACCAAAATTCTCAGGTTGCTGAACTGACTTTCTGCTTAATTTACATACAATTGCAGGGTTTCAATTGTTTCTCTTACTGTGTCAACACAACATACATATATAGTTTCTCACTATTGATCTTTTTAAATATTTTATATTTATTTGTGGTCCTTTATTATTTTTTTTTAGATTGCCCCCCGGGGGTTAGTTTATTGGGCACCCCTTACACCCTGTGCAAGGTGAAGCGTTTACAGCGCCTATCTGGGAAGCATGCGGAGTTCATACTTGCCTCTATGACTCATGCATTAAGGGCGTAAAAGCCTGAAGGGTCATGGGTTTTGTCAGCACGTTATATAAAGTGACAGAATGATGAGTGTGTGGGGGGAAATTTCCCGGTACAATTTATCTGTTTATGGCAAAGCGTTGCAGGTCCCTAATAATGCCAAGTGCCAGGCCATAGGCATTAACAATATTGAGGGACATATCTTTTAGTGTGATTGTGATGGCGTGTACGGCTTCAAGGGAGACGTCGAGAGGTTGGTAGGGGACGTCTTTCTTGGCGTAGATACGTAGTCCAGTAGCATGTCCACATGGTGGTCAATTGATGTGGAGAACTGGAGTGGATGGGCCCCAGGTGCCGGCATGCTTGGTGGGGGACAGGGAGTATTATTATATTTTCGCCCCCAGGCCCTGATGTGGGTCACTGACCTGTGCCCTGGCGAGGCTAATCCCATAAAAAAAGGAAAAAAAAAAGAGGCTAATATGGAGGTCTTCACAGCCGCTTCCCCGCCTCGGTAACAATGAGTTACCGAGGCGGGCCATCAGACTGGTCCCTACACTTCGGCACCTTAACTACCCTGAGAGATTGGAGCATCTGAACTTGCCTAACTTATACTAAAGACGGGCAAGGGGGGACCTAGTTGAGGTGTATAAGCATCTCAGGGGGCACTACTCAGTCGAGTGTCCTTACTTAGAGTTGGCGGACGCTCGCCCCACAAGGGGTCACAACTCAAGATTGAAGAAGCCGCAAGTCCAGAAAACTGTGAGGGCAAACTTTTTCGGAGTGAGGGTTGTAAACTCTTGGAACAATCTACCAGCGAGTGTTGTGACGGCACCGAGTGTGATCTCTTTCAAGACCAGACTTGACCAACACTGGAGCGGGTTCAGGTACATTCAGGAGCCGGTGCATGCCCAGTACTTGCCAACAGTACTCCAGATGGGGAAGCACTTCACTCTTGAAGATCATTACGAGGGACGGACCATCTAGAGATCTGAACGACCTTCTTAAAAGACCCAATAATTTATTTGCCTGATTTACCTTCTTCTCGTAATGACCCGAGAACTTCAGCTCCAGGGCCGGATTCAGGAGTGGGCAAAGTGGGCAGCTGCCCAGGGGCCTCTACTATCCGGGGGCCTCCACATGTGCGGTAGTAGCTATATCAGGGCTGGTCGACTTGAAACCACATGAATGACTCCAGTCATGCCTCACTTTTGTGTGTGCGTGTGTGTTGGGAATTTGTACACTATCAATAAATATACAGTTAATTAAAAATTTCTCAATGTTCTAATTTCCTCAATATAACTGCATGTGGCTTCAAAATTCTCCAAGCATCCTGTTTTTATACAACAGTTTCATAACTCCTACTATATTGGGTTGATGGGTCTTGAGTTAAGTTTCATATGCTGCTTTCTTGTTGAGAAAAGTATCAGTACTGTACAGGTAAACCTCTGTTTGCAATGGGGTTGGGTTAATGGAAACCCAATTGCAAATCAGATTACTGTATTGTAAATCAGGTTCATTATAACATGGGGTTCAATGGAATAGGTTCCTAACCAGTTGGACACCCATGTATATAAAAAAAATCCTAAAATACTAATAGCACTACAACACAATTAAACAACACTCACCACCTAATTAAGAAGTCTAGTCGTCATCACATGCCCATGTCCCCTTCAAGGCTAAGGGGATTCTTACCGGAGCACGATCTGCAAATCGATTAACATCCAGGTTCCCAATTAGCTGGGTAGACAGAGGCAAATGGCGTAAAGAAACTGCCCATAGTTTCACCCTACCCGAGGATTGAGCTCAGGTCCGTTCGCTTGCGAGGCGAGGATGCTGACCATTACACCACAGGTAGGTATACTGTACACCACTGTATATGTGCAATATATCATAAAAAAATAAAATAATGTATATTACTATTGTCGTCTTGAGCCTACAGAAGGAATATACTGTCTAATCTGCTGAATGTAATAATAACTGTAATCACTTTTTGCATCTTTTAACCCTTAGGCCCCGGGTGACGTTCCAGAACGTCTGATCAGCGCACCCCGGGTGACTTTTCAGAACGTCCGACCAGCGTGCCCCGGGTGACATTCCAGGACGTCCGCCTATTCCCGCCACTGTTTAAATGCCCAGTGTGGGTTATCCGGTTCCAGTGTGACTATTTGCCTGTCACACCACACGCTCGGCCACAGGGAAGCTTCCTGAACATAATTACCTACTTTTGTGTTTGTTTTATTTTCATTGTTTGTCTATTTTACCATGTTGTATCAAAGTAATATTGCTAAAAGTAGTGTAGTTATATTGTAGTGTAGTATTACTGAAAAATAATGCTATGATTATGTTATAAATGTATTTAATTGTGGAATTATTATTATTTTATGCATTACTTGCTCCACCAAACACAAAGACAGACAGGCAGACTGGTGAGTGTTCCCAGGCACTTTTTATGAAAAATAATGCAAATAAAATATTCTAAATGAATTATTTAGAGCAAATAATTACTAAGATCAGTAAATACCGGTACAGTATACAGTATGTATTATTGGCCACCTCTGACACAAAGGTGAACTAAAAATAGCTGCAAAGTGCGTAAGAACCACGAGCGTCAGCTGTCAAACCAACAATGTCTCCTCATCTCTCCCCCTCCGCATGACCAGGGAAGTTTCTAGAGGGTCAATATATAGTTTTTTCTTACTTATTTTTTATTGTTTTATCATTTAAAAAGGTTAAAAATTATTTATGGAAAAGTTGATTTTTCTCTATTTACCCCCAGGTGTGGGGTACTGCCAGTGGCACACTAACCCGGTGCTTAAGGGTTAACACTTATGAAGGTGTGATAGGGGATTAGTGGGTGTCATGTTAACTGGCCTCACCTGATGCACCACCTATTGTATATAAACTCCTCTCATTTGCAGTAGAGGTGGGGTGGAGGGGTTAGTGGTCTCATATTACAGTACTGACCTTCCGATGTAATGTCCGGTTGGGGTGGGGGATAAGAGCGAAAGCACTTCAGTCAGAGCAAAAGAACTTCTCAGTCACTAAAACAGAGAAAGCACTTCACAGTCACATATAAAGAACTGCAGTCACTAAAAAAGAGTACAGTACAATGCAAACTTTTGTGATGTCCTCTCATTGCAAAGTAGAGGAAAAAAAACAAAAAACACTGATGATGTCCGATAAGCAACAAGCTCCATTTTTACACACATGTAAATAAGAAAAAACAATGCCTGAACTGTACAGTAGTTCACTAGATGGCCACGAGGTGACATTTCAATTAGATGACGCCTCAGCTGACAAATGAAGTGAGTGATGTATTCTATATGCCAACTTGGCGGAATGATGGATATCGTTAATGTGAGTTTGTTTACATTGCAAATAGGAAAGTGGTCTTAATATATCAGATCGTTAACGTGAATTATCTTAGATTGGGATACCGTAAACAGAGGATTATCTGTACGGTACTGTTCTCACTTCCAGGGCTTGAGCTGGTAGACTGTTGATGCTACCCTGAATATGAGTGAGCTTTGTCTTAAAATTTCTCTGTAGCCACAGAAAGGATGCCAAAGGCCTTCAGATGGTATGCAAAAATACGAGTCAATTGATTTTAAGATTTTGAGCGCCAAATAATAACCTTGTACATGTATGAGGTCTCACAATGGGTCTCGAGGGGAACTTTATATGAGGGTGCTAAGGCTTGTGGGTTATTAAAACAACACCTGTTGTAGGGTATTAACACAAACATTTCTTATTTTATAATAGTCTATGTACACAAACTTAAACTTACCCAGTAGTTAACATGAACCATTATGGCACCCCAGCAACCCCCTAAAATTAAAGTCAGTAGATGTCTTTTTTTTTTTCATGTTATCAGTTATTGCAGAAAGATTTCTGTACAGCTATGTGTAAAGGCCAATTGAATTAAGTTTAAAAGATATAAGCATTATCTTATATACTGTGACACATTAGTAAATTTTTTCTTCAAAATTTAAGGGAGGTCAATCATATATTTGCTTATAAACAAAATCTTCATAAGAACTATTATTGCACAGAAGTATCTAACCTGATGCAATTGTGTTGGACAAAAAGTATTTCAACACTGTCCTGACAGCATTTTAAACATATATGTTAACAAGGACTGAAAGATTAGCTAATAAATATACATCTTCAAAGATATTAAACTGCAATGCAAAACAATAATCACTGACAATCCTATTTTTCAAGTCTTCTGTCCCCATCCAATTCATTCTTACTTTTATCAATATCAAATGCCTCGGCTATTTAAAAAAAAACAATATTTTTTCAAATCTGTTATAATTTCTGGATGTGTCTTTCACTGTACAGGCAGTCTCAGGTTTATGAACTGAATGTATTTGAAAACCAGATCATTAATCTCATATAAGCAATGAAAACAAATTGTGCCAGATAATAAATAAGCAGTACAGTAGTTATCAAAACATGATCATTGGTACAGTACTTGCTTTACGATTAATATCAGCTGTCAATGTTTCATACAGCAAATTAAAAAAAATTTCACCAAATGAATGATCATTGTAACACCAAAACTGCACAATATATAAATAAATAAATGTATGGCACCACATGTACAGTAACTGCAAAATAAATCTTTACATTTTTGGTGCAAATTAAATCTTTACACGGCATGCAGCATAAAAATTTTAATTGCTTTCCCGGGTTAACAAAAGTGGGAGGAGCTTGTGATCACGTAACCCCCTCCCACGCACCTCCAGCCACCAAGGCTACTTGCATCAGTGAGCCTCGCGCTTTGTTAGAGAGAAATGCAAATATATGTATCTGCCACCCACCATTCTCCACATGTGTGCCAACTTTGAGAGCCTATATCTCCACTCAAACTGAACAGAATGGGTCACAACAAGCGCACACTACATGAAAAAGCTCGGGCTTTAACCCAATTAGAACTGGGGATGTCTGTGATACGTGTAGCCGCAGACTTAAAAGTTTCAAGGCAAGCCATTTACAACCTCAATCACGTGGCGGCGCCATTACCATCCGGCGCTATACCGAAGAGGAAAGTGAGATCTGGGGCAGTTCGGAAGACTTCAATAAGGACAGACAACATCCTGAAGCGTGAAGTGATGTCTGATCCTGCTGTAACAGCTTCTACACTGAAGAAAAAGCACCCAGACCTCCTCAAACATGTGGCAATCAGGACCATACAACATCGTCTTCAGAAAGACCTCAGTTTACCGACTCGGCGCGCAGCTATGAAGCCTCTTCTCACAGAAGCGATGAAGAAGAAGAGGATTAATTTCTGCAAGAAATACCAGCACTGGACATCAGACGACTGGAAGAAGGTGATGTTTAGTGATGAAAACACCTTTAGGCTGGTGAGGGGTGCCTCGAAGATTGTGCATCAGCCCAAGAATGTGTCGCAGTACTCTCCAAAGTACACCGTCAAGACAGTGAAGCATCCAGATAGTGTGATGGTGTGGGGTGCTTTTAGTGGTTGTGAGGGCAGGGGAGGCCTGTACTTCCTTCCCAAGAATGTCACGATGAAGGGAACTAATTATATCGAGGTGTTAAGGGACCATATGCTACCGTTTTGGCCAATCCATCAATGTCATCATTTCATGCATGATGGTACCCTTGCCCACAAGTCAAAAACAGTCACAAAGTTCCTCAGTGACAATGAAATTGATGTGTTAGAGTGGCCTGGTAACTCCCCCGACTTTAACCGGATCGAAAACGCTTGGAACGTGATGAAAAACAAGATTCAAGAGGCCAGACCCAGCAACATCAAAGACCTGCAGGACGAGCTGATAAAGTTGTGGGTCAACATGGACGTCACCTACTCTGCCAACCTCGCCCAATCAATGCCAAAACGACTGCAGATGGTATTGAAAACGAAAGGCAACATGACCAAATACTAAATGTAAGGTAAATACTGTAATAAAAGTCATGCAAGTCATGTTTTTAAGTTTTTATTCTCCTCCAAATCTCAAGGTGAACACAATGTCAACATTTCTTTTGTGGCGACTGTATTATAGGAGGATGCTTGTGTGCAATATGCCAATGCAGTGTTCATTTTCCTGCATTCTAGTGTGAGAATTCCTGTGTTTGTATGTTGTGTGAGTGGGGAAAAAATTTCAAAAGACTGAAACTTGGTCAAAAAGTATAATGTTTAATACCTACAGGTATATGAACTTATGTTTGTATAACAGGTGTTCAGAAACCGACTATTACCTGCATAGTATTTGCCAAAAACATACATGCAACTTTCTTGAAATGCGCAAGCTACTTATTAATTAGATATAAAATATGTCTATAAGTAAATATGATGATTCAATTGCTTATGTGCCAAGGAAATGCAAATGCAGAATCTTTTAGGAAATATTTTAAGCTATTCCAGTCTTAAATGGTTACTCGGCAATACACAGTGGCCACATGAGGGGAAATACTCGTAAATATGCAAGGAAAAAATTAAATATTTCTCGTACTTAAGACAACCAAAATTGAATGACTTATTATACAACAGACACTTGTAAGAACTACTTAATTTTCTGCACACTGTATAAATGAACTTCAAATAATACTGACCTTGAAACCAAACTTATATTTTCCTTATCCCACTAAATTCCAAGTACAGTATACATATATTAAATCTTATGACTAAAATATTCTATGTGTATAATTAAAAAAAAAAATCAGATGCAAAATAATTTTTTTTTTGCCAATTATTCTATAAACTGGCATATGCTCAATAATATAAGCTCCATAATTTCTAACCCATTTCAAAACTCACGAGACATTCTTATCATTTACATATAAACCTGAAAAATTTGTAACATGAGAAATTTTCGATATTATCTTTACTTATTTGTTAAAGGCAGTCCCTTTAGAATAGGAATCATAAGAATAAGTAATATCTTCAAACATTTAAACAATATCACAACCATTTTTAAGCTTGAACTTGGAATGCAGTTGAAAATTACAAAGCTATTATGTTGGCTTCACAACAACATGAATGTAGAATCCTGGGTCTTTTACCTCTCCTATAGGTTTAAAATCTCCATACACACAGTGCTCCGACCTTTCCCCAAAAGCTTCCTGAAGTAGTTCCCCAAATTTTGCGACTCGGTGAGGAAAATATGAGAGACGGAAATTACTGTAGAAGAAAACAAAATTTTAGATGAAATACATAGTTACCTCATAATTAATTGTTTCATGATAAGGAAAATTGTACAAAATCATTTCAAGTGGACAAAATAACTTTTGACTTTTTCATGTTAGTAATAAAAAGCTCATTTTGCCAAGATACAATAATACTCAAGCGTGCCCATGAGCCAATTTTTGGACTCTTGAATGTGAAACAAAATTTTAAGCCAAGTCCAGAACAAATGTTACAAGAAATATGGACTGATCCTGAAATTCCATTTTCTAACAGATAACTGACTAGGAACCCAGGACTACAGTCTGGCCCCTAACAGAAGCAGCTGGGAACTAAACACAAGATTATCTACAGGTATCCCTCATTTAACCATCATTCACCGAGTGATATTTTGATCTAGCGATATAAAGTTTTTATCAACCTTTCTTGTTCATCGATGGTCAATTTTCAGTTTAGCGATGTTCAATTCACTGAGAAAATATTGGGAAGGAAGTTGGAAAACTGGGATTCTGTGCTTCAAGTGTGCATTATTACAATACTGTACTCTAATGTGGCATAGAAATAAAGAAAATAGAATAAAAAACTTTAAAATAATAAAAATAAAGAACATGAGTGTGAGATGTGAACATATGTAACTGCGGCCAGCCGCACTCTCCCTTCCCCCGTGTGACGTCACGATATACAGGCAACAGCCACACACGTCTCTTGTGTCAGCTTAGTGACTGCCTGGCTGAACTGTGTCATGCGTATAATGTACGAGAAAATGTGAGTTAAAAAATAAATAAATAAAAGAAAAGAAAAATACTGCATTACCATTTGGCAATCATCTTGCTCAATGCGAGACTACAAACAACAGAGAGATCCCCTACACCGATCTCCCCTTCCCCCATGTGTGCTAAGTCCAGCATACATAAGAAATGTTCATTCCTTGTACGTTTTGACCTTATGATTAATTTTTCTTTTTCTGCATGAAGGATTGTTTGTGTATGTAAAAAAATAAATAAATAAATAAATAAATATATATATATATATATATATATATATATATATATATATATATATATATATATATATATATATATATATATATATATATATATATATATATATATATATATATATATATATATATATATATATATATATATATATATATATATATATACTGTATATATATATATATATATATATATATATATACACATACAGTCAACCCTCGCTTTACGCGGTCCCACATTCCGCGTTTCCACGTTTACGCGGTACCCTGCCGAAACCGGAATGCTCACATTCCGCGGTGCGTGTACCCCTTTACGCGGAGAGCGGCTGGCGAGCCGCGCCATTTTTGGATCCAAACCTCCCGCCCTCTCCCGCCATGTTGTGTAAGCGGCGCGAGCAGGGTGCGCACAAGGTCGCCCAGTCATCAAAACATTACCGAGTTCTTCACCCGCCACCCACCACAGCCGGCCCAAGTCAGTGATAGTGATAATTATAGTGAGGATATGGACTTATATGGACTTTGAGGGGTTTGACAAAGAGGCAGGATTAAGAAGATACTGACAGCCTTCTACCACAGCCTATCCAAAGTTGTTAAGCTTAATTATTTCCACTTGTCTTTGAAAGTGTACAATTCCTGTAAAATAGCTACAATGGTAATCTTACCTTTTCGTTGGACCTTCCACTCTCCCCTTCCTGGAGACACCAGAGTCTGTGTCATCACGTGATGCAATTTTAACATCCATTAAATAATCCAGTGTTACCAATGAGGGTTTTCCATTAACATATAACACAGAGGTTTTGATGTCTTGAATGTGTTCACTCTGTAAAATTCCAATACATTATAAATTAAGAAATGCACAGTAATTAATTATTTATATTTCTACAGTACAGTTAATTTTTCACTTAACTTTCTACAGTATAGTCTCGATTTATGCGGTCAATTAAACCCATGGAGGTTCGCGTATAACAAAGGCACTAAAATCTAAATATTTTTATTACCAGTACATCTTGTGCCGTGATGGTTCACAATACTGTAGATATTATCAAAAGGTTTAAAGAAAAAAATTTAACTGTGAGGAATAAGATAAAATTATATACTGTGCCCGTATACTGTACACAGGCCTGGATTATGGGGAGGGCGTACCGGGCGTACGCCCAGGGCCCCCCACAACATTGTAAAAAAATTTTTTTTTAAAAACCTTTACCACATAGCGATAAACAAGCGGAACAGATTGCCTAACACTCGCTGTGCACCACTTACCATAACTCCACCCGGCCGCCACAAATATTTCCTACTAAAACTCATGTTTGGTGAACTGATTTAACTTATTTAACACAGAGATTATAATAAAATAATAAAAAGGCTGTATAAATAAGTGAATCATTACACCACACAAACTTCAAGATCCAAAACTAATTTTTCAATCAGCAGTAAATTCGCTGGTTTCCTTGAAATGTTTTGTTGAAAGAAAACGAGACAGTTTTGATGCCTATGAGGAAAAAGCAAAAGATCTGGCAGGAAGCACCGAGTTTGTCCATTCAGGTCGTAAGAGGCGATCAAACGTACGGCTCGCTCCACTGGATTATGGACGTTCAAGTGAAGTGTATCTCAGTCCAAGAGACAAAATGCTTCCTCACAGTCATTGATCACCTAGTGGTATCCCTAAACGAAAGGACTTCTTCATACACATTGGTGAAGGAGCGCTTCGGCTTTTTAAGCAATTTGGAAACCATGTGAGCCGATGCCATTCATTCTGCTTCAGAAAATCTTCTGCAAACTTATGGAAAAGATATTGATGAAAAAATCTCCAATGAAATGATTCAATTCTCGTCTCTGGTAAAGCTGTGTGTAAAAGCCGCGGAGAGCCCAATGAGTCATTTTATTACAGAATTATAAAGGAAAAAGATGGCTTACAATCAGCATTTCCAGATGTAGAAACGGTTTTGAGGATATATCTGGTGTTAATGGTCTCTACCGGGGAGTGTTCCTTCACAAAAATGAAACTGATCAAAAACAGGCTGCAGACCACGATGCTCCAGGAGAGACTCAACAATTTGATGCTATTAAGCACCGAGTCAGACATTTCAAGAGAATTTCCATTTGACAATGTGATATGTTTATTTGCTAGAAAAAAAATCACGAAAAGTGCATTTGTAAATGAATGTACTGTATACACTTTCTTTGAATGGAATAAATAATTTGTAAATGTGTCATTATTACTAGATTTTATTGTTTCTATTGACCTTGAATATTACCTACTATATTTATTTTCAGTTGTCAGCAAGGGACCCCCTCACTGCTAGGTGTCGCCCAGGGCCCCCCCAACCCCTTAATCCGGCTCTGACTGTACATTAAAAAAAAAAAACATAATTTGAAATGATAAGAGGCTCTAGCCCTTAGGCAATTGTGAGATTTTACGAAAAATGTGGGACACTTTCTCCCGAGGGAAGAACAACAGTATGTTTCCATTATCCGCCCCAAATAAAAATTTAAGCATTTATATGTACAATACCAGATTTAAGGTTATCAAACATAAAGGCTCAAACGCTGGGCAATTATGGAAAGACAAGTAGAAAAAGCTTGCGTGATAGACCATAGATGTGCATTCCACGACTGCTCAGCATGAACTGACCGACCGACAACACGCGATGCGTATAACACTTGTTCACACCGAGCAGGGGGGGTTGCTACCCATGGCCAGATTTTTTTTTTTTTTTTATGGGATTAACCCACCAGGGTACAGATGCGTATGTACACTTCAGTCTTGAGGTGAATGTACATAAGACTCAGATTCTCTTTCAGCCACACCTCCACTATCCATCCAACTTAATGGTACTACCCTCTATATGTGGCACACTTTTGGTATCTCGGCTCTCACCTATCCACCACTGCGGACATCGATGAAGATTCAACATTGGATCAGATGTGCATCTCAAGTCTTTGGCAGACTCCATACCAATGTCTTCAGCTATAGGGAACTGAAATTATCTACAAAGTTGCACGTATATCGAGCAGTGGTCCTCCCCACCCTGCTATATGGCAGTGAGACAAGGGTCACATACAGGAGGCACCTCAAGGGACTTGAAAACTTTCACCAAAGTAGTGTAAGTTCTATCCTCCAAGTTCGCTGGGAAGACAAGAGAACAAATGCTGACACCAACTGTAGGAGCATCGAGGCTACCATTATCCATGAACAACTACGCTGGGCTGCAATGTTACCCGCATGGATAACACTAGACTGCCAAAGCAGCTACTTTACAATCACCTAATGAATAGTAAATGTAACGCTGGCGGGCAAATGAAAAGGTATTTGGATGGTTTTAAGACAAACCTGAAAAAGTGCCAAATCGACCCCCTCACCTGGGAGACAATTACTGCACACTGTAAAGCTTGGAAGAGCACCACACAAGAAGGTGTCAATACTTTTGAGTTAGCCCGACTACATACTGAGGCAGACAAGCGCCAACGCTGGAAAGACGTTGCAGCCGCCCTCCCACACTAGATGTAGCCCTCCACACACGCAACATCTGTGGACGGCACTGCCGGTCCCGTATCGGCCTCTTTAGTCACCTCAGAACTTATCAATGAAGGTGACATCATTAATAACTAATATAATTTTATCATAGCTGGATGATCGTCATACTTAATGCCGAGTGACAGCAAAGTAGTAGTAGTAGTAGTAGTAGTGTGTGTGTGTGTGTGTGTGTGTGTGTGTGTGTGTGTGTGTGTGTGTGTGTGTGTGTGTGTTCGTTCTTGGCCCCAGCTACTTAGCACTATAATAGGCAAGGGAAACTAAAATTTTTGTAATCCAATGGTAGGAAGGGTTAGCCCACACTGAAACACTGATGGGCTGGAGATCAGCTGAGCAAACACCACAGCAGAATAATGTCCAACCAACAATGCCTGGCCATGTTATTAAATCCATATCTCCTGAGATAAGAGTTCAGAGTATTATCAACTAAGCTAAGAAGCCCTCCCCCCCCATTGTTTTTTTAACTGTTGGCAATCTTACTAACATTATAATATATGTTGTGGGAAGGAGCTGACCCTGAGTCAATGATGTTGTCATAATTTCGGTGATCAATCAATAGTACGCCTCCTGGTTTCACCATATGAGCAAAGTTCTTCAGGGCTAACCTGCAAGAGTAAGAAAAACCTTTATTTAGTGTTGTAAAATAACTATATCTTAAAATCTACTGAATGCACACATTTGATGCAGGAAACATTAGACAGGCACAAACAGATAACAAATTGACTTTTCTACATCCCTCAAAAATGTCTTTTTTTTTTACTGGGATTAGCCCACTTGGGCACAGGTTACCAACCCACATTGGGGCCTGGAAAAAAACAGAAAAAAGAAAAAACAGGAAATTCCCGCTTTCGGAGAGTGCATTTAATATACTATACTTATTTTTACCCACAATAATACATACTAAGACAAATTACGTATCAGTGCAGGGTAATACTACATTATGCAAAAACTAAAATTTTAAACAATCAGAATCACATTGAAATACAGTATTACACGGCCGTCAATATAGGTGGGAAATATGACCGCGAACAACTTCATATTTCCTGCCTCTGATGACAATTAGGCAGCCAAGGTCCCAGTCTGTCACACTCATCCACCAACTTTCAGAGGCCGTGTAATATTTCAATGTGATTTTGATTGTTTAAAATGTTAGTTTTTGCATAATGTAGTATTACCCTGTACTGATACGTAATTTGTCTTAGTATGTATTATTGTGGGTAAAAATAAGTATATATTAAATGCATCCACCAAAAGTCTGAATTTGCTACCAGAGGTTAACAGTTAATTCATGTATAAGATTTCTGATAAACTTCCTCTGTGCTCATGTCTGAAATAATGAATGTATGTATCTTTATATAATTTAGCTAAATATCTTTCTCGTCAGTAATGGTTATCCCAACGATGATGAATAAACTCATATACACATACATCATTATTTAAGGACGAAATCGGACAGATTTACAACAGCCAATCAGCTGTAACTTTGAGGAGGGGACGGGGCATCTCTTCTCAGCTGGGGAAAAACGCACTATAGCAACGGTGCTCTGTGTGACAGAACCTCTGACTTCCACACTGCTTCACAGTGGAAACCCGTAGATACGTCTGTGTGATAGCAGCGTGAAAGGGTTAATGATTATTATGCTTGTTCGCCGGTATAGTTTTTATGAGCGAGTGGTGCCCTCTGCTGTATGAGGAGACTGTCTAAGCTCACCACCAGAGAGCATGTTTCTAGTCCGTGTAATATGGTTGATGTGGCGCAAATGAGAGGTTAATTCTGAGCGAGTGGAGCACCCCTACAAGGCATTAGCTTGGCCTATGTGCTCCCTTACATACTCGTCGCCTACTTGCTCTCCCTGTTTACACCTTGTTTATACCCTGCACTGTACACTGAGTTGCACCAATATACACCTGGATGTTGTGTTTATCTACACCTGCTAAACGAGGACAAGACCAAGCATCGAAGTGCGAACAAAGTACTTACAACTTTTACCCATTTTGTTTTCACTTTCTGTATACAGAATTGTGTGTCCATGTACTGGAGTGAAAAAAAAATACATAAACAGTATCTACCCAAAATTAGAAGATGAAATATAACAATAACATATACACTATGTAGTTCACAGGTGGGGAATGTTTGGATATTTCCTCACTCAGCCCAGGATTTACTTAGCATTCATTAAAAAAAATAAAAATGTTCCAGAACATAGCCAGACTTTGTTGTGTTCTGGACACTGGGAAGTTGGATAAATGGTCCCATATCTATAGGTATTGCCTTTTATTGCTCTTATTTCACCCAAACTATTTGCAAAGATAGGAGCAAGTGTTAGTGGTGGCACAAAATGCCACAGTGATGTTTCGGTATGAAACTTGAGTGATTTATACAAATACTGTATAACAAAGACACAGAAAGAAAGTATATTCTTTTACTAAATTTTTGGAAATTTAGCTTACACTATTCTCTTAACTGCTTGGACGATCAGTCACATATCTTTTATGCACTGTTGGGAAGTAGTACTATATTGGGCAAGCACTGGCTCCAGAATGTATCTGTACCTGCGTTAGTGTTGGCCAGTTCTAGTATTGAATGAGCTCACAGCCCCGAAAATTTTTTTAATTTGTGACTACAGTACAGTACTTCAAACTTGAGCTGTGAGCCCATAGTGGGGTGGAAGTTCACTATAATGGAAATGGTTACCTGTAATTTAAGACTAAAAATCATTTCAGCAGATGATAATAATGTATGTGGTTAACGTTTTCTCCTCCCCCCAAAAAAGAAAAGAAAGAAAAGCTATAATAAACAATAAAAATGAAACATAGCAGATCGTAAAATACAATAGCACATATTTTATGCAGCCACATAAAATAGCTCTTGGTATCATCCAGAGTGAAGCACACAGTTCTGCCAACCTCGCAATTAACTCAGAGACATGTCTGGTTGCTGTTGTGCGATGTTGTGTGCATGTCGTGCGGTCATATCTAGGGAGGCAGTGCAACTCGGCTCACAACGCAGTTACAACCCACTTCCCACACATGCATACCCATTCTCTTATTGTTCTTTATTTATAGTTATACTCCTGTACTGTATATCATACGTTAAGTATTTTATTTCAGATTCACATTACAGTACTGAAATGATTTTTCCTCAACATTTAGTTTCATTACAGGTAGCAGTCAAAGCACGGCAGATGAGTGAATACAGCAATCGCCTTCTGTTCCAGGAATAAATTTTTACCAAACCTAATCTAACCAAAACAGAAACACTAAAATAAGAGAGCCTAAGGAACTAAGAGTAATGACTTGCGTATAAGGATACATGACTTTTCCAACCGAACTTAACAGACTCTAGTCTGCCCAGCCAAGAATTCCTAGCTAACTAGCCAGTTCCCCAAATAATAAAAAAATAAAAAGATCCGTGTTGCAAGACTAGGAATGGTGACTTCTGGTGCAGGGAGTGCCAATATAACATGATTTAGCTACTTAAGTTTAAACATGAATGCACACTACTTGAATTTAAGGGGGGTTGAGTTGGCAGAGGATCTAGTTGATTGGGGGTTGAATTGACCCAGGGTTGAGTTAATTGAGGATAGGTTAACCAAGGGTTGAGTTGCATGTTGTTGTGTTATATTGTAGTCAAGATTTTGTTGTGTAATGAAGTATCAGAGGAAACCACAGAAAAAACATCAATAGTCTGGAATGCTGCTGATCCCAATGATACCGGAAGATCAGCGATCAACCTGTATCACAGCGTAAAAAGAAAGTTGTAGGGCAATATACCAAGAGGGTGATCAAAATACAATCTGGCTGGAGGTATGACAAAAACTAAGATACACATGTTAACGTACAGTAGTTATTAAAATGCAGTTATCTTCACTTCATATATTAATTGTCATGCAGGTGATTTTGTTAAATAAAAATGGTTATTATCCTGATGCTGACTATTATGAGGATATAATTAATAATAATACTGTAACTACAGTTACTCACATCCCAGATTTTTTTTTCATAGAAATTGGGGGCTGAAACTCCCAAGCCCCTTTGTTCCATGGCCTGTACTGTACTGGCAACTTATGAGTATTCATGATGCAGCTTCCACCACAATTGAGAGTGAATTCTGGATACATGATAGATATAAAATTAATTTCATATATTTCATTGATGCAACTTTAAATTCAATCCTATCCTGATTGGGTAATGCAAAGCTTTTACATTTGCTTAATGGTGATATAAACAGCTGTTATACTACATAACTTTAGGTCTTTACTAATTATTCAGCAAAAATAATTATGGGTCCATTGACCAGTATAATATGCCAATCTGTTTTGTAAGCATGAAAGCTAATTATAATTTCCAAATTCTTAGCACAGATTTTTGATAAATCTTTATTTGACATCAATGCAGGGTACTAAATGCACAAAGCAGCAGAGTCTAAACAGAAAATCACTTCTTATATAACGATTGCCTTAACTCAGGCAGGAGAGACTTTCACACTAATTTTATTCCCCAAGTTTATATATTGGAGACAGCAGGTTTAAGGGAAAGATCCTCACAGATTAATCACTGACTAACCAATCAAAATTCATGTCAAAGGAAAAAGACATAACCTAAACTGTAATTAGCCCTCTTCATGTTTCTGTGTAGTTAATTTTTCATACTAATAGTGAATATTTTTTCACCGAGTAAAGCAAGAAGATGCAACAGTGTCCACATATAATATAACTCTGCAGTAGCCACAAGTGCAAAAACCACTGCACAAGTTCAAATTCTCTGGTAAAAAAAAATTAATAATTTAGCCATATACTGGATACCAGAATTGGCAAGTTTCTAATGTACTGTACCAAGAAATGATAAATAATTCCCTTAAATCAATTTAAATTACCGTTCTTTGTACAAATCATTTGCCTTACTACAGTATGTTGATTTGAATGATATCTTATCTGAAAAATAAATACAATTAAAATCATGCCTCAATGACTAAAAGCTGACTAAAGTTTGTTTACATGACTAAACCTTAAACAAAGGGAGCTTTTTGCATAGACTATTTGTTCTGTTATGGAAAATTGAGTTTCATAAAATGGATAAAATTATACAACTTCCTGATGAAAAAGGATAAGCTAGTTTTGCTCACTGAATACAGTGATGTAATTATATTCCCAGTATGCCTGACAAGAGCCACGAACAATGGGAGAGAAGATACTGTGTACGTGACCAGGTTGGGAGGTAGGGGGGTTTGAGGTTTGCCACATGGGCTAGTTTTGGGAGTGTTTTCATAATTGATTCCTTATTACCGTATATTCTTGTATGTACAATTCATCATAAATAATGGAAAACATACAATATATATCTATAATTTGACCTGAGAAGATAAGGAAGAGCTGTATCGAAGGTAGCACCTCACTTTCCTTCCTCTCCCTACCATTGTAGGATAATGGAAGATTTCAATAAAGCGAGTTATTAATTTTGATGAGAAATAAATTCAATGAAGTATTAAGATAAAAATAATTACATACTGTATTTGTTTTTATTTTCATTTTATAATAATGGAGACAGACTTAATGAGGCTGGGTTGACAAGGAATGTGAATTTGAGTCATTATAATGTACCTGTACTTCCCAAACACAGGTGTCCTCAGATGGTCACATTTCTTCCAGTAATCATAAAGAACAGGTTTATGAACATGGAGCATCAACATGGTAAGGACGAAAAAAAAGAAAAGTACAGTACTGTATATTCATAGTGGTGCTGTGCCATTATTTTTCCACACTAATTTTGTAACCCAAATCATTGCTACCGCTACAGTACTTCAGTCTCTGCACCACAAACACTTAATGCATATGCAACATGTGGAGAAGCACTTCTACCTCATTTTCCTTGTCACTTTCCTCTTGGTCTCTAAACACCTCCTATAATGATGACTTGTTCATCAGTGTCCTTATTACCGAAGTTCCTATACGAGCTATTATTTCTGAATTCACTCAGTGAATTCGCAAGTTCTTCAATCTCACCATCACTCTCTGATTCCCGTAATATTTTACTTATTTTTCTGCGTCAGGGCAATACTACTGGAGTGAGGGTCTTTTCCGCCTGACATATCACTTGAATTGTCAGATAGTTCCTCCATGAAAACAACAAATGCTAATGGTCAAAGGACCAACAAGGGGAAGGAAAAGTTGTCACGAGTCACAATAAATCAGAAATCAGGCGTAAAACTTAAAAATTAGTGCGGAAATATCCTGATTACTGCATATAGATAATTACCTTTGTTACAGGACAAAAGGTACTCATCACCTATGTATGATTGCCATTGTTCAAGGGTTAAGGAAGTGACTGGAATGTGATTATTAAGCATTGTGACTCCTTGATTACAGCTGAGGAAGGTTCACACCATTAGACAGTTTTATGAGGCTATTTCAAAATCACACTGACAGTGTACAGACACAGACTCTACAATGCAAGTAGCTCAAACTATGGTTCCTTTATCCTGCTTTGATATGATTTATTAACAGTGTGAATATTATCAATATATCATGCTATTTTGATGGTTATACAGGCTCCATCTAAAATAAAGAAGGACGACCTTACAGGCCAAGTCTGATATCTCTACCAGTCATTAAATGCCATAATTACCTTAAATACAAAATGTACTGTTAGCTTACTTATGTTCTGACTGGTCTCCAGATACATCAGGCAGATGTGCAAAGGAATTTCCAAGACAAATGACAGCATCATAAGTTCCAGCACCTTCTATGTCTTCTGGGAGTGTTAACCAGTTGGCTTCTTCAATCTCTGAAGATAAGATGTTATTAAAGTTAACTATGTGGTCAATCACTGGGGCATCATGAAAGAAAAATTTCTAACTATGGATTAGTGACAATGATCTGAACTTACAATAAGTGAAGACAACACAGCCAAAGATTACTAAGCTCTTGTTCTACATGAAGTCATTTGTATACAATGAATGTCCTAGAAACAACATTGATATAGGTTGGCAAGATATAATTAAAACTATGGTACTAAAAAGCATTGCATGTCAAAAACATTACATATAGAAAATAAAGACATTGCAGTAATTGTACACACACACACAACTTAAGTACCCTGAAGTAATCACATCACTTTAATTTTATACTCAAGACATAATCCTACTGATCAGTCCAATGCAGCTGCCACAGATATAAACTCAACTACTGTATATATTATTATTATTGTATATACAGTACAAAGAATAGCTTCTTCCACACTCAAACCATCCTCTGGGCAATGTGACACGTTCAACTGCTTAGCTTTTATACGATAATGTTAGGAACCACAAAAAGCCATCGTTAAGTGATCGATTGTATATTGATATTAATAATTTATGGGGAAAATAGGTTCCATTCCTGAGACCCTGTAGAGCCCACATAAGTTTTATATTCTCCTGCTATGACGATAAAATAATGTCTAAATACAGGGGTAACTCAATTTATAAATGGACACAAAAATAAATTTATATAAAATAAAGACAAAAATAATAATTAATAAAAAATAAAGACAAAAACAATAAACTTATAAAAAATAAAGACAAAAAACAATATTCATTATCATTTACTTTACATTATATGTACATGTACAGTACAGTCGTAAGCTGCGATACCCCAGCTGTCACTACAAGCGGGAGCTGGGGGTTATTGCACATCACTCTTTCATAGTGACAATGTAGGAAAAGCAGAGTGTGTGTGTGTCTCATTTTATGAAAATATGCAAACACATACAAGATGCTAATCATAATGTACTGTACAGTATATCTTTCTGTACTGCACAAGTACTTCGAGAATTATATTAAAAATTTCAGTGAATGTGTCTCAGCAGGTAGAATCATTTAACAGTCACATCTATCTTTACATACATGCCACTGTCACACATTAATTCCTAATACTGTACACAATAATTCAGACAAGGAAATTAAAAAGTTAAAACAGTAACCACAGTAATTATTTCCCTCCTTAAGATGTATCACTCACCCCAGTTGTCAAAAGCAGGCTCCTTGCGTCGTCTCCATCGGGTCTTGAGAGCAAATTTCAGCATTTTGTCTGAGAGGTCGACACTTGTCATTTGAAAACCTTCTTCCAACAGCATTATACTATCCACACTATCAAGGAAAGTATAATTATTAAAACACAGTACTGTACATTTTAACTATGAAGGTATATACAATACTATACTAATCAATATAAAAGTCTGCAGTGCATTATTCTTTTCTGTTCGTATATGTAAACATAATAAAGGATTATGGAAATTTGACTACTTAAATAAAAACAAAGCAGAGAATACTGTACCACTTCAAATTAGTCAAAATAATGGTTACTATACAGATTACATAGAGAATAAAAGCAATTAAAGACATTAAACAGAACTTAAAGGATTAAATAAATCATAAGGATGCAATGACAAACAAATTAGGAAGAATTTGATAAGAACTGAAAAGTAAAGTACTGGTACCTGTACTGTATGGTATTGTATATAAATAGTTCTCAGTGGCTATTTCTTTCACTACTGCATTCATTAGTCATTTTCCTGGCATTCTGGGATAAACTACATACAGGTACTATACGCAAATTTAATTTCCTATGATATTTCTCATGACTACTTTTTTTTTAAATAAATTCTTCCTTTAAAGCAAAGTCTGCATCAGCTTTACCATGGACAATTTTGAAAATTTCAGACTTTTAACCCATACACTTTTTTTTTTAAGGATTTTAGTCTTCAAACTATCAGCAAAAGTCTTGGGCACTATAGTACCGATTTTATCAAATGGAAATATTTCAGGAACTTGAGTTACCAGAGATACAGTTCATATCAATCAGTGGTAAATACAGTACAGTACTGTATTACCATAATCATGAACTATTTTGCAACTGATTGTTGTCAACTGTTCATCACCATTACTTTCACTCAATCAAAAAACCTGCATCACAAAAAGCATCTCCTCCACTGCCTGAAGTGTTCTCCTTAAGTTCAGGACTTTGTGATAAACAGTACTGTAGAGTATATTAATATTACTCACCTTCTAACTATGACAGTGTAAGCCTAAACCCTGAGTAAACCTGTTATACATAAATCACACACACACACACACACATAAATGGTTCCCTGTCCCGGCCACGAAAATGCCAAAAACTCTGTAACTACCCTTAGACATTCTTGGGTACATCCAGGTTGTTATCCGCGAATAATCGAGGTCAGCGAATTAAAAATCCGCATATTTGAAGGGCTTGCAAAAAGGTTGAGAGTAATGCATTTGAACATGGGAACTACAGGGACCTGAAGCTGTTAGATCCGGTTATGAAAGTTGTGGAAAAAAAGTTGGTAAGGCATTATTCATGGCCAGGTAACTACAAGAAAAATATCTAGGGAAAGAGAAAAATATTTTCTGTGTATCTGTAGACTTAGAGAAGGCATTTGACAGGGAGAGGAGGCAACAGGTGGTGGGGGAGGAGGGAGGGAGTGCTGGCTGGACTGAGAGGACAACTCACATCCTGCGCTCATCAGCCCGTTTCCCTTTGACATGTGTTTATGCAATTTCACCATAATTCTCATATTATTATACAAAAGAAACGTCTTTAGAGGTAGCTTTGCATATTCTGTACATACTCATAGAATATATCAGTACAGTATTGGTGTATTAGAAAACATATGATCTTCCAATGTTTCTATTTACAGTTCAGCTTTAAAATCCAATAAGGCTTCTAAATAAAACAAACAAACAATCCTCTAAGGAGTCTAAGGAATCTTAACACCTCTAATAATTCCTACAGTTATGTAAGTGAAGATATAATTTTACAGACTGATCTTTAAGTTTATAGCACAAAAAAATGGAATTAAGATGTATAGTATAATCTTACCCTGTTCCACAGGCAACATCCAGGATATTATGGCATTTTTTTTCCCTCAGAAGCTTAGTAATAAACTTGCGGTAAATATCAGTCCTCTTGTTCTTGTCACCAATGTAAAGCTCCCAGAGTTTAGCAGCAATGCCATCTGCATACTGGTCTTTCAAACCCTCGGCTGGGATACCAAGGGTTCGAGTACGATAAACACGATTATCAGTCATTTGGGGGCCTTCTATGCAATCTTCTCTTGCGATATTCTATTCTGAAAAAATAAACGAAAATTATTATACAAGTATCCCTCACAATATGAATGGGTAGGTTCCTTGAAAATCCTAATATTATACCTGAAAAAAAAAATTGATTCACAAACAAAAAGAAAAAAGCCCTGTCTAACTACTACTATAAATTAGTACCTCACTACAGTACTGTAATTTAATACCTACCTAATGTAATTTAGTACCTAACTTCTGTATATTAGTACCCAAACCAATAAACAACTACTGTGGTTAAGTGAAATACTGTATACGCTGTACAGAACAGTAATACAGTCTCTCCTCGACTTACGACGGGGTTCCGTCCCGACGTCCAGGTCGTAAGTAAAAAATAATACATGGAAATTCTATAATGGGCGTCTCTTTTTCTTCTCAGCACCACGAGAACTCTCATTTTTACGTTTGCCAGCCATTTTGAAGGGAATTACAAACGAAAATTTTGTCAGTACACAGTGCAATCACTAATGTCACTAATTAGCATATGAAATTTGAGAATACTGAACAGAATAATTTTTCATTAATTTTCCACATAATGTACTGAAGAAAGTTTATGTGGAAAAAGACCAGAGAATACTTGCCTCATCACACCTGAAATCATCAGTCCATGTATTCCATGTTGTGGTTAAAGCCAACAGTAGACTCAGGGCAACAACAAGAAGTCTTACTTTTACGGAAAAGGAAATATTTAGGTATTATTTTAGTTATGTACAACCATCTTATTTGGGGATTTTGGCATTTGCAATCTATAGATCTTATAATTCTATGACTCTTTTCTTCAATGACACTTGCCTCGTAAATGTCAAATAACGGAGATATTGGATGTGTTTCATTCTCTTGTTATTATCATATATGGGAGCACCTGCCACCTGCTTTGTTTACAACCGACCCACTCTATCCGAGCGTACTCTCATGTCCACAAAAAACATAAAATTTACACCAAGACGCTACAACAAAGTTGCTTTCATTGAAACCAGATATCGAAATAAGTAAATTCTCTTCAATATGTCAGAGGGTTAGCCCCCCATCTATGAAGTAAGGTTAGGTAGGTTTCTTTGGTTGGTTTGAGGTCAGGTTCTATTAGATTCATTATTATTCACTTGTGATGGAAGAGTATAGAATGAAAGTTAGTCAAAATGATGAGGTGCTGTATATCCATTGCATGTGTTAAAAATCCCAGATTCAGGGGTCCGACTAATTACCCAAATGTAGCCAAATATAGCCGGAATGAAGTCAAATAATGGTCCTAGATGAATAAATCGGACTGCCAATCACTTCTCGACTAGTATTTGGTGTCAGAAAGTCACAAAAAATAGGAAAACTTACTTTAATCTGAGTTAATAGATCGCGTGCATGTACCGACGGAGCGAGGAATTACCCAAATGTAGTCGCAATGAAGTCAAATAATGGTCCTAGATGAATAAATCGGACTGCCAATCACTTCTCGACTAGTATTTGGTGTCACAAAGTCACAAAAAATTGGTAAACTTAATTTAATCTGAGTTAATAGATCAAGTGCATGAACCTAACCTAATCTAATCTAATTTAACCTAACCTAACCTAACACAACACAACTCAGATTAAATTAAGTTTACCAATTTTTTTGGACTTTATGACACCAAATAATAATCGAGAAGTGATTCACAGCCTGAATAACGCTTGTACGACCATCATTTGACTTCATTGCGGCTACATTTGGGTACATTTGGGTAATTCCTCGCTCCGTCGGTACATGCACGCGATCTATTAACTCGGATTAAAGTAAGTTTTCCAATTTTTTGTGACTTTCTGACACCAAATACTAGTCGAGAAGTGATTGGCAGTCCGATTTATTCATCTAGGATCATTATTTGACTTCATTCCGGCTATATTTGGCTACATTTGGGTAATTAGTCGGACCACAGATTCAGTGTTTGTAATAAAGTAAAATTTTACCAATATTTGTACTAATGTATTAGACACTAGAAGGACCCATCACTGAATATGCTGGACATCTCATCTAGCCCAAGAAACTTGATTAAAAAAAAGTGCAGCATTGAGCAACAAAACTAGCTATAGAATTAGCACATATGCCTATTAAAACACATGAAAATCCTTGGGCCTAGAAACATTACAAGACCAGAAGGAGAAAGAAGACATTAATAATTATTACAATAGATAAGACACAAAAAATATTCACAAGAAATGTATTGAACATATTTTCTAATTATACAGACAAGTTGAAATAATAGTTAACTCGTATTAGTTATACCTGGAGCCTCAAAAGAAATGTATTGAACTTGTTATTTTCTAATTATACAGACAAGTTGAAATAATAGTTTACTCGGGTTAGTTATACCTGGAGCCTCAACCTCTTGGTCCTCACTCTATGCGACTGAGAGAATTTAGTCCAACCGATAGCAGCTGTGTAACTGATTTATCTTCTCCTGAAACTAGAAAATTCTGGTATATTCTGGGTTTTACTGAGTTATCAGATAATTTGATGGTTTTCAATGCCAATGACACTGCCTAATCTACATACAAGTTAACTGATGGGTATTACGAGCCACCTCAAGTTTGTTTACTGCATTATTTTGTAGACTTAAATTTTAACGACAAAATGTATAAATAGATTAATTTTGACCTTGAGTGGAAAATCCTAGATCAATTTCATTTGATCAAATATATAAGAAAATCTATACCAAATACTGGAGACAAGAAGTGCAAGAAGGAAAAAACGTGATGAAAGTTATACGCCAAAGTTAAAGTCAGTAAAATAAAACAGCTGTTTTCACACGTGTCACCGGCAGCTGGGTGACTCAGTGTATGAATAATGATTAACTGGGGATCACTTCCGTCATTAACATTTATTAACCTCTACGGACTCGGTTCAATTGATACAAAAATCACAGGAAATTATAATTATGAAAGGGTGGGGTAGAACCTAACGTAGGCGCAAGCGTAAGAGCAAGACAGTAGTAATAACTATGACAATAATTATGAAAATACATACGGCACGTACATACAGTGTGTGTATATATATAACAAAGAATTACAGTATGTCTGTTTGTTTGTGTGTGGTGTGTTTGTGTGTGTTTTTTTAGTTTAACAAATTTATTGGCAGAGCTTGTAGTACAGTTTACCTATTGTGAGTAATTCAGTCAGGTCTTGACACTGAGGGTAGTATCACTTCTCACTGTCACGCAGGACAGAGGTTCACACACAAAGAAATACATCATATTCATTAACGACTATAAATGTATATAGGTCAGGTTCATATGGATAATGTCACTGTTCACTGCCATGCAGGACAGAGGTTCGTACACAAAGAATGCATCATATTCATTGACACTATATATAGTGTAGGTCAGATTCATGTGGGTTATGCCACTGTTCACTGCCACGCAGGACAGAGGTTCGTACACAAAGAAGGAAATACACCATATTCATTAGCAGTATATATAGGTCAGTGGATCACATACATTGGAGTCATATTCTAATTGAAGACTATTCAGTGTGGGCTAGCAAATTTGGGATAAACAGCAAGAATGTCCTCAAGCACACCTGATTCAATGAAGTAATTATATAGTTCAAGATACAGTAAGTCAGGTGGCCTGAAGTCTTTGACAGTGTCACATTCAATAATATAGTGTTCAAGTGTATGCTTCAAAGGTTTATCACAAAGTTTACATGCTGAGTGTTCCGGTATGGGTACAGCGTTACTAACTTGCCAGATGTGTCTGTATCCTAGCCTAATTCTGGCCACGACTACATCATATTGTCTGGTTCTGTCCTTATGCTGGCCATACCGGTACCTCTTGTTACAAAATTTGTCATATTTACTAATGCTACAACTGTCAGGTCTCTCTGCATTTCTCACTTCTTCTAGATCAGAGTTCATGATTCTGACTTGAATGTGTGTGTCCGCACGAGACTCTCGGAAAGTACTTTACCGATCTGTAGTGATGATGGATGGTGTTATATGTAGTGATGATGGATGGTGTTATATGTAGTGATGATGGATGGTGTTATATGTAGTGATGATGGATGATGTTATATGTAGTGATGATGGGTAGTGTTATATGTAGTGATGATGGATGATGTTATATGTAGTGATGATGGATGGTGTTATATGTAGTGATGATGGATGGTGTTATATGTAGTGATGGATGGTGTTATATGTAGTGATGATGGATGGTGTTATATGTAGTGATGATGGATGGTGTTATATGTAGTGATGATGGATGGTGTTATATGTAGTGATGATGGATGATGTTATATGTAGTGATGATGGGTGGTGTTATATGTGGTGATGATGGATGGTGTTATATGTAGTGATGATGGATGGTGTTATATGTAGTGATGATGATGGTGTTATATGTAGTGATGATGGATGATGTTATATGTAGTGATGATGGATGGTGTTATATGTAGTGATGATGGATGGTGTTATATGTAGTGATGATGGATGATGTTATATGTAGTGATGATGGATGGTTATATGTGGTGATGATGATGGATGGTGTTATATGTAGTGATGATGGATGTTGTTATATGTAGTGATGATGGATGGTGTTATATGTAGTGATGATGGATGGTGTTATATGTGATGATGGATGGTGTTATATGTAGCGATGATGGATGGTGTTATGTAGTGATGATGGATGGTGTTATATGTATGTGATGATGATGGATATTATATGTAGTGATGATGGATGGTGTTATATGTAGTGATGATGGATGGTGTTATATGTAGTGATGATGGATGATATTATATGTAGTGATGATGGATGGTGTTATATGTAGTGATGATGGATGGTGTTATATGTAGTGATGATGGATGTTGTTATATGTAGTGATGATGGATGGTGTTATATGTAGTGATGATGGATGGTGTTATATGTAGCGATGATGGATGGTGTTATATGTAGTGATGATGGATGGTGTTATATGTAGTGATGATGGGTAGTGTTATATGTAGTGATGATTAGACAATAAAATAATAAGTTTTATGCTAAAAAAATATACTTTGCTGTACTGTTGTAGTGAAAAACATTGTTGAACTTACATACACCGTTAATGAACTATTGATGGAAGAAGAAGTTTTGGGGACTGAACAGTGAGACAATGTGTAGCTTCCCGGAGGGTGGCGTCCTACCGTTGCCTTGCGGATGAGCCTCCCGGTGGGCGGTGATTCTGCTAGTGTATATATATATGTAACTATAATGAGACAAAACTCACCAGAAGAGGATTACATAAAGGTAGAAGTATAGATAGTAGTAATGTAAAGATAAGAAGGTTTGGTAGCGGGGACGGGATGTTATTTACTTTGAGTCAATACACTTATCTTATACGTCAATACACATATATTACGTATCACGTAGTACGTTCTTAAGGAATAACTTGTTAAACACCTCTTCGATACAACTATTTATTAATTCACTCAATGACATGGACACGTTAATATCATCATTATATCGGAGTTCCTAGCACATTATTTTACGTTACTCGACACTGAATCGGACACAGACATGAAAGGAATACACTTCCCACAGTAGGTTACTCACCCGAGGAATAGTTCTGACAAGACTCACGTGTACCCTGACGTAGCCCCAGTGGGTGCTTGGTTGTGACCTGGGGGGAGGAAGAACGTGACTCTGGTGAGTGACCAGAATGACCTCTCAATGACCAATGACCAGAATGAGCTGAATGAGCCAAATAGCAACCAGAATCTGAATGATCCCGTGGGCAGGACTGCCGAACCCTTATATGGGGGCTCACAGCCGGCGTTCGACCTTAACCACTTAACACTAAACTGGTTAGATCTGGACAGCTGTGTCCAGGTGTGGTCATGCCCAGGTGTGTCTTGGTAGGTAAGGTCATCCGGCTAACTCAAGTCATTAGCGGACGAGGTCAGGTCCCTTGGGTCTTGGGGTGTGTTCACTTGGTATGTTCTGGTACCATGAGGTCTCTACACACTCTCTGTTATATGTATTCGCTGTTATATGTGTTATGCTTCTCTGGGATTGTAAGCTATGGTCTGATATTTAATATATATATATATATATATATATATATATATATATATATATATATATATATATATATATATATATATATATATATATATATATATGATCACCTGAAGAATCGTCGCCCCAGAATGTCCACCTGAAGAATTGTCACCCCGGGACATCCCACCTGAAGAATTGTCACCCCAGCCTGCTCCACCTGAAGAATCGTCACCCTAGCCCACAGTGAACATAATTTGTCGCCTGTACTGTATAGTCGCAGACAAAAGTTCGTTTCTCGTGCTGAAACTGACTCACAGGAATGAGTGCGAGATTACTGTCGTAATTTTAACTCGTAAACACCTGCAATTGCCCATTTGTTTATAAACACCTCAGAGGACATTACCCAGTCGAGAGTCCATATTTAGAACTGGGAGATGCCCGCCCCATAAGAGGTCACAGCTTAAGATTGGAGAATCTACAAGTTAAAAAATTTATCAAGGCTAATTTTTTTTTTAGGAGCAAGGGTTGTGAACTCTTGGAACAACTTGCCAGAGTGTTGCGACGGCACCGACTGTGAGCTGTTTCAAGACCAATTGACCAGCACTGGAGCAGGTTAGAACATAAGAACATAAGAAAATAGGGAGTCTGCAGTAGGCCGGTTGGCCTGTGCAGGGCAGCTCCTGTCGAGAGTTATTACCACTCTCTATCATCCATGAATCTATCTAGCCTCCTTTTAAAACCTTCCAGCGTTCCAGCACTTACTACAAAGTTGCTAAGCTTGTTCCACTCGTCCACCACCCTGTTTGAGAAACAGTTCCTTCCTATCTCCCTCCTAAACCTAAACTTATCCAACTTAAATCCGTTGCTACGAGTCCTATCCTGCTCGGATATTATAAGAACTTTATCTATATCCCCTTTATTGATTCCTTTCACCCACTTAAATACTTCTATCATATCTCCCCGCACTCTTCGTCTTTCTAGGGAATGCAAGTTTAGTTTCTTTAACCTATCTTGATATGGAAGGTTTCGAAGTCCCGGAATCATTTTCGTCATTCTTCGCTGCCCCGACTCCAGTGAATTTATATCCATTCTATAATAAGGGCACCAGAACTGAACAGCATAATCGAGGTGCGGCCTGACTAGCGCAAGATATAGTTGCAATAAGACCTCTGCACTCTTATTACTTACACTTCTAGATATAAAACCTAATACTCTGTTTGCCTTATTTCGAACATTAACGCACTGTTTTCTAGGCCGTAGGTCCGGGCTTACAAGTACCCCTAAGTCTGTTTCACAAGTCGACTTCTCTAGGTTGATGTTGTTAAGGCTGTATACATTGACAGTATTTGTTCTTCCAATATTAAGTACGCTGCCCTTGCTAGTGTTGAATTTCATTTGTCATTTCTCTGACCACTCCTGCAGTTTATTTAAATTCTCCTGTAGTGCATTTGCATCCTGCCCTGCCTATAACACCATCTGCGAGGGAATTACTACAAATTGTCAGGCCCCTCATAACACCATCTGAGGGAATTACTACACCACGTGATGCCACTCATGACACCATCTGTGAGGAAATTACTACACTACGTCAAGCCCCTCATAACACCATCTGTGAGGGAATTACTACACCACGTCAGGCCCCTCATTACTCATAGCACCACCTGTGAGGGAAATACTACACGTCAGGTTCCTCAAAACACCATCTGTGAGGCAATTACTACACCACGTCAATAGTAAACGTAACGCCGGCGGGCAACTGAAAAGGTTTAAAGATAATCTTAAGACAAACCTGAAAAAGTACCAAATCGACCCCCTCACCTGGGAGTCGATTACTGCACATAGTAACACCTCGAAGATCACCACACGAGAAGGTCTCAATACTTTCGAGTTAGCCCGACTGCAAACCGAGGCAGACAAGCGCCAACGCCGTAAAGACGCTGCCACCGGTACTGCACTCGATGTAGCCCTCCACATGTGCAACTCACGTGAACGACTCTGCCGGTCCCGTATCGGCCTCTTAAGTTACTTCAAAACTCACCAATGAAGGTGACATCCCTAATAACTCATATCATTGTATCCTAGCTGGATGATCGTCATACTTGATTCCGAGTGACAGCAAAGTAATAGTAGTAGTGTGTGGTTGTGTGTACAACAGTAGAGTGAAAAAAACATTAAACTTTGAAGTAACATTAAAGTTAATTAGACAAACTGTTTGAGTCAGGGAGCCACTCGTTAGTATGTATGAAGTCGCTGACTTGCTGGTTTTGCCGCCCTAGTGACCACACAATGACACAAACACTTGACTGAAATCTTCAACGTCGATCGAGATATGGCTGTATCCCTTGTTCCCTAATGGCCGTTCTTTGTAAATATAATTGTCCTTATTGGATTAAAATTATTTGAGTGAAATGAAAAGCAGTATTAGGACATATTTACAATAATTGTAATATATGATAACCGTGCTAAATATAGGAAATCACTACGGGGGTTCAATATAACGAGGTTCAATTGTGATAAAACACTCCAAATATAATAGCTCCCAATTGCTTCACTTGCAACACAGTGCTCCTCTTACTTACTGGTTGATGAGACCTGTCCCCTCAGAAAAAGAGTTGAAGACCTCACTGTTGCTGAGTAGCTACGCACTCAGACTCACACCCCTCTCAAGTCGCTGGAACACCTCTATCCCTACCAGTGCACAGCGGTGATCGTGTCCCTTCTTGAACTTCCTGCCACAGTAGTGAAGGTAAGTAAAGGAAACATCCTACCGAACAATTCTGTTATGGTATTAAGATTGTAGTTAGTTTTTATGATTATGAAAATTAAAAATATTTCCGACAAACATTTTTGGACGATATTATGAGCAAGAGAATTAAAGCAAATGTATGTCGACTCAGTTGAATTTGTTCAAATGTGTTTTATTAAACATAACAGAACTTCTATTAGATTTTAATCGCCCATGTAAATATAGTATTCCCAGGTGTGTCTTTCTATCTGTATATTTTCCATTAATACCCAGCGGTAGTCTGGTAATACCAGTTATTTTCCTTCAGATTTTACTAAATTCCATAGTGTCGTACAGTACAGACAAGAAAGTTATTTCCCAGGTAATTAGAATAGGATTACATTTAAATTGAACCGATAGAAATTATGATATACAAACTATCTTTCTTGCATATTTATTTTAGAACTGGATTATGTATGTTCCTCAACCTAACATATGACCAATTAAAAGCGGATTGTGACATTAGGCATCTTTACGTGTACAGTACTCTACACCTAATGCCACTAAGACAATAAAAAGTACTTTGAGTCATGAAATTCATATGTATGAGATTGACTTTATTTGCTGAGCTATCTCGATCTTGTTTACTCCACACAACAAAGCAATAAAAAAGTTTCATGTAAGTCACACTTCCAGTCACAGCTAAGGGGAACAGTCCACACACACACATCCACTTCACACACTTACATCCTTGCTCTTCATTTTTCTTATTTTATAGCAATATGCCATCTCCACGGAGATGTACTGTAAACTTTATAATACTATTTCATTCATATTAAGCTATTTATATGTACTGTACAGTATTGACTAAAATTTAATTAAATGCACAATACTGTACAGAACAGGAAATTTGGCTTTGACACGTGTTATCCACGGCCATGGAACCTAACCCCCTATTTCCCATAAGCCTTTTGTTTTGCCAACTGTGGATTTGTCAACCACGGGGTTTTTCACGAACTCAACCCCCGAGGTTGGCAAAGGACTATACTCGTACATGCAAAAGCGCTTACTTTGGTAATTCGTCCAAATTACTAGGAACGTAAGACTATAATCAACTTAATAATCAACTCTATTACTTCGTATAAATATTTTTTTACATTTACATTTACATTTATCGTGTCATTTTTCGCGACAGGGAGGTCATTCAGGTAAATACGAGGGATCTGAAATCGAGTTTTTATTTGAAATTCCTAATCTGCGGGTTGAAGTTAGTAGAAGAAATTATGTTGGACATTCATATTACCGTATCCTCTTCACCACTGGCAGGTACCCGAGGGTTCACGTTTTTCCAGTGTACAACTGAAACTGAGAGAAAATTTTAATAACAAACAACAATAACTCGTGTTTATGAATATTAGTCGTATTTGATATTATCGCTAATAAAAAGGTAAGCCATAAGTATTCTCAAATGAGAGTGTTTTGCCGCTTTGTACTGTCGACGATTTTGTGCAACTGTACGGTGGTGGGAACGATGTAGTAAAGAATCGATTCCAACAAAAAACTGTCAAAGATTTTATTAAAAGACATTCAAGTTACGTAACAACACTGGCTATTACTTCAAGTGTCTGTGATTCTTGTGAAACGAGATTTATCATAAAGTTTTGTATAAGTGATTGAGGAAAGATTAATCTTAAAGATAGCGGTTATCTGAATGGTACACAGAGAGGGTTAAAGTTACTTACTGTTTACCGGTCTTATCATCCTTGGTTGTGAAATTCTACTTACCTGTTTTTCGTTCTTCATTGTGATGTTGTGGACGCCGAGACCTGGGGGGTGCGACCCCTGGCAGTTTATGGGCCCGGGCTGCTTTTGTGGCGGTGTCGGTCTCATAAAGGAAACCCAACCCTTCGCCCCGTTCTCTGCTGCCGCTGCCGGGCAGGGTGAAGCTGATACAGACAATCCTAGAACAATCGTATCGCCATCGGCCAAGCTGTGTTAAATCACGGCACCTTTTTCTACTAAAACTCCCTTCCATCCACCCTATACCCTTCCACTGAACCTTCTTCACCCCTGTCACTTGCCCTTTTACTTTTACTTACCTGGGAACTCAGTCTGCTCTTGACTCACTTCCTTAACGGTGCTCTGACCCCCTCCGCCAGGTACCTATGAACTCACCAGCCCTCCGTCGGTGAGTACGGACTCCAGTCTCTCTCTCTCTCCCTACTACAGCTGTAGGTGTCCAGACCATCCGCCCGGATCCAACCGATGACACGACCCCTCTGTCGGTCACTATTGTCATGCCGACCCATCCGTTGGGAAGGACAGATCCCCCTTTGTCTTCTGGCTTATACTGTATATGTTAACCTGTGTATTTTAAGTCTTCAGCGTGGAGTAATATTTGATTGTTCGATGGTCTGTGGGACCAGGCTAGGAAATAAGATGTAAGGGCTCTCTCACTAGGACAGTAGAATATTGTTGTATGTACAGTAATGAATGCCCTTGTGTCAGCATCATAAGTCGCTGTCTTTTGTAACAAATCTTCTTAGCATATTCTGCGAGTTTACCTTCACCCAGGGAATATCAAATCTGTACCCTAACTGTGGCAATATCGATAATATGTAACTAGACTTTGTCAAGGCTTTCGATAGTGTACCCCAGAAGAGGCTGAAAATTAAACTAGAAAGTATACGGAGTTCGGGGGAGCGTCCTAGCAAGGAGCGTGTGGTGATTAATGGCTTGAAATCATCGTGTGTACCAATGAGAAGTGAGGTATACCACAGGACAGTGTAGTGGGACCGTTGTTGTTTGTCTGTTTCATAAATGATATGTCAAAACTATACTCCTTCATACAAATGTTTGCAGACGATGGTAAGTTATTCAAGGAAATTAGGAATCAAATGGATTATGAAATGATACAAGGAGGTCTCTTTCAGCTTCAGGAGTGGTCAGAGGAATGACTATTAGGATTTAAAGTCATGAAATGCAAAAGTATGTACCTAGGTCGTACTTAACGGTAAGGAGACGTATTACCTGTCCCAATACAACGAAGAAGCATCATTAATTAACTGAGACCAAATGAGAAAAAGACCTGGGTATGTGTATTGTTAATGAACTGAAGTTCTCGAACCTTTGTTAAAAAGGTGAATCAAGCAACTCAACTAGTAGCTCTTATAAGAAGAGCGTTCACACATCTAGACAGTCTGACTCTCATCACAACTCTCCCCAAAAGGAAGGCTTCCCAGTTTGGAGTCCTGTCACCCCGTCTGGTACCCCCGATATGGGAGACTCAATTGAATGAAAATATCCAGAGGAAGGCCACCAGGCAAGTGCCTTCACTACGGCACCTCACTAACTCAGAGAGAGTGGAATGCCAGCAATTGCTTAGCTTATACTATAGGAGGGCAAGGGGTGATTTAATAGAAGTTCTTAAAACACCTCTGAGAACATTACTCAGTCGTGTGTTCATAATTGTAACTAGCGGATGCCCATCGCACGAGGGAACACAAATTAAGGTTGAAGACCGCACAGGTTCCAAAAATTGTCAGGGCCAACTTTTTGGGAGTAAGAGTTGTGAGCTCTCACAGTCTTGTCCCATTTTAGCTCACATTCGGTGCCGTCACGACACCGAATGTGAGCTAAAATAGGATAAGACTTGACCAACACTGGCGCAGGTAAAGATACATTCTGGAACCAGTACACGCCCAGTACTTGCCAACGATGTGTAAAAGAGACGCGATCGATTGCCCAAGCGGCTAACAAGCCGAAATGTGGCAAAGAGGATAAACTAAAGCTGCCAGGAGTTTTGTCAACTCAAGACCCAGGAGCTTGGCAACAAGAGTAGCTTCTCCCAATATATTTGAGAATGCTGCTTCTGCCACTGAAAATTAATTTTAGAAGTCAACACTTGAACTTGATAATGGTTATGATCAAGGTCAAGGTCCAGATCAAGGTCGAGTCAAGGCAAAGAAAGATAGGAAGGAGAAACGGGACATACAGTTCATGCAAGGTGTTCCGTAAATACCTCTCATAAATCAGAGGCTGTATTTCTGAGATACAAATAAAGACAAATGGATAAATGACCAGGTTGTCAAATCTCAATAGTTTTGGAGTTACAGCCCATGAAAGGTTTGGTAGGAATGTGATGAACCTATATGAAACATTGACTGTTGCAAGTGACGTTTATTAACAATAATAATGCCATATGATTTGCACTGATTTTAACATTTAGAGCAAATGTTCAAAGTTCCGCCCCTCTTGCTCAATGCAGTCTTCAGGCCGTCGCACACGTTCAAAGACCCCAGGGGGTGTTGCGAATGTGTGCCACACTGTCCTGTACACGGCGCCACAATTCCTCGCGGTTTGGGACCTCTGTAACATACACCTTGCTTTTTATGTGACCCTACCGTAGAAATAAAGGGGATTTATGTCAGGTGACCGAAGTGGCCATGAAACATGACCGCCTCGCCCTATCCACCTTCCAGGATACAAAATGAGCTGGAGCACCATCATGCTGGAACCATATTAGCTGCCGAATTCCGATGGGCACATACTCCAGCAGCAGTGGCAACGTGTCCTTAAGAAAATGTCTGTATGTTACACCTGTCAGTCGCTGGGGTAGAATATATGGGCCAGTAAGGTAGTCAACAATAATGCCAGCACAAACATTAATTGCGAATCGTACCTGACTAGATCTAAAGGTGGATTGTCAACAGACCCGGTAGGTGTCATCATATCCCTACCAAACCTGCCGAAACTATTGATAATTGATAATTTGATCATTTAGTCATTTATCTTTATTTATATCTCCGGAATACATCCCCTGATTTTTTAAAGATATTTACGGAACACTCAGTATAGTACCTCAACTATTATTTATTTGGGACAGTTGTGGAAGAGCTAAAAAGATGGTGGTGGTACAGTACAGCATTAAGGGGCATATATCTCACCACCTTATCCCGGGTTCAGTCCCTGATCTGAGACAGATTTGAGAAGGTTGTTATTTAGTGCGACCACGTCTCTGTTACACTTTGTTGGCGAGTACTGGCACCAGACTATATCTGTATCTGCGCCAGTGTTGGTTAAAGTCTTGTCTTTAATTCACTCACACTCGGTGGCATTACTACGCTCTCTGGCAGATTGTTCCAAGAGTTCACAACTGTCACTCCAGAAAAGTTTGCCCTGGAAATGTTCTTAACTTGTGGCTTCTTCAACCGTAAGTTATGACCCTTAGTGGGCTGGGATCCGCTCACTAGTAATGCCCTCTTGAGGTGTTTATAGACTTGTATTAAGTCACCCTTGTCCGCCTATAGTATAAGCTGAACGGCCTAGATTTTTTCTTGAGGTGTCTATCTCCCTGTTTGAGTATAGGACTCACATAATCCATTTTCCAGTCACGGGGGATCTTTTGCTCGTCCAAGCATCTGCAGAATAGATTTTAAGGGGTTCAGCAAGCTCGCTGCATGACTCTCTTAGCACTCTGGGATGCAGGCTGCTAGCGCCTGGGCTCTTATGAACCTTTAGCTTTAACAGTTGTTTCTAATACACTCTTCGGAGAACACAATGTGCATAGGAGCTGCGTCAAACTGTCTGTCTTCAAATGCAGGGAGAGTGTTAGCATCCCTCCTTGTGAACACTGAGGAAAAGAATTTGTTGAACACCTCCGGCTTGTCATGATCTGAGTTTGCGTAAATACCATCTTCAAGTCTTAGATCTGATACTCTCACACATGTAACTATTCAATTTCGATTTTACAAACAGTAAAAAGCCTTTGTGTTTTACTTGACCTTGCTTGTAATCCGCTTCTGGAACTCTTTTTCACCTTTTCTACTCTCGGACTTTTCTTGGTTCTTGGAAATGGCATAAATCCTCTTGTCCTGCTCATCATTTGTCCCAACCCATCAACTGAATTTATGAGATTTTTTTCTATTGCCTCATTCCTGGAGCCAATGGGTTAGGTCTTGAGTATATATTTATCAATAAAATAGTTCACATTACTGTCTATGATATTCAGGGTAGTATTTGCATTCTTGTTTCTCTATGAGTCAGACCAGTGAATACCCCTTATCTCCTCTCTTATCGTGTCGTAATCTTCCTTGTAATATTTAAACTTCTCTAAGCTCTTTATCATGAATCAAATAACAATTAAACCTGAAAGTTTACGTCACGTGGTGGCTGGTGCCAGTGGGGCTACATGTTCCGGCTTGGTCACCATATGTCTTCGTTAATTATGATGAGGTCCAGCGGCTTGGGTGTTTGCTCCCCTCTATAGTGAGTTGGATATTAAACATGGTGGAATATACAATTGTCTCAGAGTTTCTACAAAAAGAGGAGCGAGATTATTAATGTCATTTGCGTGGTTCCATTCCTCCAGTCGATGTCACCATAGTTAAAGTCCCCCATGACAAGGAGGTGGCTAGGGTTGAGCGTTGTTACGTTGTTTTACGTTACATTGGTTTAATAAGCTGCAATTCAGAATTCTTTAGATTCATCCAACAATGAGTAAGTCTCCTCCCTTCAGTTTAATTTTACACTTCGATTCTTCAAAAACATCTTCCCCCTGGACCCTTACCTGGCTGGCTTTAAGATCATCTCTTGCATAAATAACCATACCCCTCTTGCAAGTTGCTTGAGAAAGGTTCGTAAATGAGTCGTATCCATCTACGGTATATTGAACTCACAATCCTCCTACTTTACTTTATTCTCTTTGTCACTGATCAGCTTGTTAGCCGGTCACAGCTCTGTTACGCACTGTTGGCAAGTAATGGGCAAGTACTAGTTCCAGAATGTATCTGTACCTATGCCAGTGTTGGTCAAGTCTGGTCTTGAATGAGTTTTCTGGTAGATTATTCCAAGAGTTCACTATATCGGGTTGATGGGTCTTGATTAGTTTCAAACTTCGCTCTCCTGTCCAGGAAAGTGTCAGTATTAGTGCCTTCTACAGAGGTAAGCCCATCTCCATTTTACCTCTTCTCTCTTGAAAAACATGTTTAAAGTAATATTCCCCCTGAGTTTGTAGCTTGAGTAGCAGTCATACGTAGCACAATTACTGGGCATGGCCTCACACCTTTATAATACCACTCTAAACTTCACATCAATATTGAGTAAATGTGTACTACAGTACAGACTGTACTTTTAATGTGTACCGAGCTGGATCAGTGGGCGTGTGACATCGTGCTCGTGAGTGGTCACGGTTTTGTCCACTAGTGAGCAGACTTTGTGTTCTTTAGACCTCCAATGGTAGTCTCACCCAAAAGTTGGTTAACTCTCCTAGCCAGCTATTGCTGCACTGCCTGCTTCAGATGCATGAACTTGAGTCTGTTACTTCGAATCTTTAGATTCATTCGTATCGGTTTCATGTTCTGGTTGGTACTGAGACAGTTTCAAACATCTGAAGCAGGCAGTGCAGCAATAACTGGCTAGGAGAGTTAACCAACATTTGGGTGAGATTGGACGACCTATAGGTGCATCCTCTTGTATTTCATAATGCTGAATCTCAGCAGCCATTCCCTTGGTTACTCTTGGAGCCGATACACGTCCTGCAGTTTACTACAGTCCGTTAGGTTATACATTTCTCTGAATAGCTTGGTGTCGTCTGCAGCCATTATTCATGGAATAATGAATAGTATTTGGCATGTCATTTAAACCACAACTAAACAACATCGGTCCTACCACATTGCCCGTGTATCAAAATTCTAGAACTTTTTTGCTTTTAGACATTGAGACTCGACGGGTCTCCTCTGATCGGCTCCATTAGCCGCTTGGGCTGAAAGTGATCATACTTTCTCCCATATTTACACTGGTCTGTCTCAACTAATCACTCACTATAAAAGTAATACAGTATTTACCTGCACTGGGAAAACTGCTTTCACTTTTGCGTCATCTTCTTTCTTTCCCTCAGATGCGTGTTTTGCTCCTGGCGGCTCTGATGGCGGTGGTGGTGGTAGCTGATGTAGCAGGGAACTATCTCCAGGATAACAGTAATACGCAAGAATTCTTCACACCTATTAAAGAAAATTGCACACAAGTAAGTAACTAAAATTAGTGATGGCCATAATTTTCTACACTTGAAACTTGTTACCTTTCTTGCAATGGTTTGAAAAGAGTTCCTCACGCCCTCCCACCCACTATCACCAATGATCCTCCAGTATACAGTACATGTTGATCACTAAATTATGTACTGTATTATAGGATATAATCTGCTCCCTCACTTCTAGGTCTTAAGAAAACTTAAGGTAAATACAACATTTCCTAAGTTCTTAAATTATGTGCCTCTAGTTTTACTCCAGTCCTTTGAGAATTTATTAATGTAGTATGACAACCACTTCTTCCTAACTCCCGAAAATATATTAAATTCACCATTTAAAAAAAACGAGATCCTCATTTTAAATAAAATTCAAGGAAACAATTAGGGAAATACTTAGAAATTGCCATGCAAAGGTTAGTATTTCATCGCGTTTGATAAAAATTTGTCCTTCATTTCAAGTAGAAATGAGTAGTTATGGAGATATGCCTCCCTACCCCACCCCCCCCACCCCGCCCTCCTCAAATTGCCAACAATGTTTATGCACAAAGTGGGTTGATTTTGAAGTAGAGAGAAATTGTGGGGGTAAAAACACACACACACAAAAAGAAAGCCCCTAACCAGAGTAACCAGAAGGACCTGACCTAAGCTTCTAGCCAGGGAGTTGGACCCAGTGTAAAAAAAACTTGCCTTGGGGATTGTCTGTCTCTTATTGCCATGCCAAGTGTGCCGCTGTTCACAATACTGGCAGTCTGAATCACACCTTGGACACTTGACTGAATCAGGGAAAACACCACGAGCGCTGAAGACGTCAACAGCTGCGTCTTCGTTCTCAAAAACTTGCTGGATTACATGCCGATACACCAAAGAGCAAACTTCACAGACAAATGCCATCTTGCAAATAACCATCTAACATTTCGAAGCGTACGCATGGTAACGAGCCTTATGATCAATGGCTCATAAGTATCACGTGACATCCAAGCTTCCACTGATTGGTTGGTTAATAAGTAAACAATGGATATCCCCAGGATTTTTTTTATACTAAATTTCAGGGAAATAAAAAAATCAAAATAACTGAAAAATCTATCAAATTCTGTTGGAAAGGCGATAGAGTAAAGTCTTTCTCTCTCTCTAGCTCCCTATATAAAAAATCAATAGAATTCCATGTTTGGCAACTTCTAAATACTAACCAACAATTATTAAGATTGAACTTATCATTTTTTTCTAAATCTAGATTGACACTTAACATACGTCTGTGTGCAAATCTCGTTTGGCACCTTGTCCAAAGGCTTTGAATTCTTTGAAGCTTATGCTGTGTATTTTTTATGATATCTTCTGTAATTTTTATTTCTCTTAATTCATTTTCCTCCCTCCCCCTAGTCACAGGCCTGGCATTTGACATTATTAGGGACCTGCCACTCTTTGCCATAAACAGATAAAATGTACCGGGAACTTTCCCCCCACACATTCATCATTCTCTCACTTTATGTAACTTGACAAAACCTATGACCCTTCAGGCTTTTACGCCCTTAATGTACGAGTCATAAAGGCAAGTATGAACTTTTCATACTTCCCTGTTGGGCGCTGTAAACGCTTCTGCGCTTCACCTTGCACAGGATGTAAGGGGGTGCCCAATAAACCAGCCCCCTGGGAGGCAAATCTGAAATCTGAATTCATTTTCCAACTCTATTTTTGTCTTGCAGATATCTCCATAATAATTTCTTGTTGAATCACAAAAGACTTCATGTGACTATTTTTTCTTCCTTAATATTATGAAAGTATTCTCGTTCCACCCAATCCTTATCAGAATGCCATTATCAATTCAATATGAAATGGCATGTGCAGCTATAATGTTAAATATAATTTTCCAAACCCTATATTTCCTTCCCGCACTATCAAAATGGAACCCCAAGAAATAATATTTAGTACGAATAAAGTTATGATGACTATAATGAATAAGTATTTGTTGTCGAAAAACTGTATGCAACACAATTTTCTTTTTAAAAAATCGTGAAGCATTTTTGGGTTTTGGATTAGTTTAATCTATGCTATTACCATTTTCACTAGAAATAAAATAGGTATCACTTTTAAATGTAAGAAGTTCTTTAGTATGAACATCTGACAGAGTTTGGTGGAGCTGCTGCTACTGCGACAGGAAGTTCGTCTGAACCATCTGGTGGACATCGAGAAACAGTCTGGTGCCACGCTGCTCAGTTTAGCTCAAACACTGGTTGAGGTGCGGGACGCTCTCCTCAGTAAGCAAGACGCAGAAGCTACACAGAGTAAGCACAGAACATTTCAGGCTAATTTATATTCTGTACTTGTTTCTTTTTCTCTTAAGTTCTGAACATAAGCATTTTGCACTAACAGGCGATGTACAGCCGTCACACTTCAGACCATGGAACACTGGAACAGAGTCTAAACAGTAGGATGAGCACAGAGGAACACTGACTTCAAAAATTGTGGAATCCTTCTGTAAAAGTTGCAAAATATGAAAATGAAGCAAACAAACTTTGATATAGAGCAATTGCTCAAATGCAGTAGTATAAGTATTATTTGATATACATAAAAATGACAAACACATGACGTTAAGTTAATGGGGTTGAGTTGACTAAGGGTTGGGCTCACTAGGGGATGAGTTGACAAAAGTTGGGTTGACCCGGGGTTGGGTTGACCCGGGGGTGGGTTGACCCGGGGATGGGTTGACCCGGGGGTGGGTTGACCCGGGGGTGGGTTGACCGGGGGATGTGTTAACAGGGGGTTGAGTTGACCGGGGTTTGATTAACCAGGAGCTAAATTGACATGGAGTGCAGACGTAGTGTAGAAGTGAAGATGAGAGCGTATTTAAAGTACTACCGCCTGGGGAGGTATGTTGTCTAATGGTAGACCCTGCTGCCATATGGCATCACGAAAATTATGACCAAGTCCCAGGCTGCTAATCTGACTTTCTGCTTCATTTACACACAATTGCAGGGTCTCATAATTGTTTCTCTTACTTTGACAGCACAACACACTGTACGTACTGCATATCGTTTCTCACTCGACATATTTTAAATTTTTGTATTTATTTATGGTTCTGTATACACATTATTTTATTTTTTTAAGGTATTAAAATTTTAATTTATTTTTATTATTAATTATTATTATTGTTATTATTAGTATTATATTTTCGCCCCCAAGTCCCGGTTGGGTAAGTAAAAAAAAGCTATGAATATGGCCCTCAGAAACCAAAGTTCTACAGTTATCAGTATTTGTAACATTATAAATATATGTAACATCATTATTATTTATCATTAATGTTGTTGTAATATGATTCATACTTGCATTATATTTATAATGATGTAAAATGTTGCAACCTCTAAATTATTACACAACTTGCAGATCCCCAGTGTACATCACCATTCACATTGGTGGGCAAGAAATGTCTCCTGCTACCAATTGCAGAGCGACTCAACTGGGCAGCTGGCCGTCAGTACTGTGTTGCCAGGGGAGCCGACTTGGCCACCTTCAGTGATGCAAACACTTTTGCTGAATATCTGGGCTTTATCAACCAAGTCAGTTAGTATGAGCACGAAACATCAGTTATACTTTTGACAATATTAGTCTTTATCATCTGTGTGTTTTAAGATGGGTCATTTATGGAGTATTTTACAGTGATGAATGATCTACTTTTACTTTTACTTACTTTTACCCTCTTCACCACTGATCGGCTCGTTAGCCGCTTGGGCGATCGGTTACAGTCATTCTTTACTAACGAGCCGATGAGTGGTGAAGAGGAAGAAAGTAAAGTAAAAATGACATCCTTCTCACGGTTTGATTAACTTGCCCTTGGACTTGACTCACGTCACCATGCGTTTCTACCCTCAAACCCCATGTCTAGTATTGTCATCAATTACTGGTATACTAATAATGATTGTTAATAGTGTAAATACTAATAACAATAAAACAAGTGTCCTGTACCACATACAGCCTACAAATTAGTGTTTACCTCGTTACTGCTGTCAGACACATGCCACTTCACAAACATTCTCTAGCTCTTGGTGTTGCCAACCTACGGTAAGGTCATTTATTTATTTCCTCTTTATATTATTCATGGCCAGTTTATAAGACGAGAATTATTTTTATTTACTTTTTAATGTTTCTAAATATACCCACATGGGGAGAGGGTTTGCAGACCATAGCCAGAAGTCCAAGGGTTAATATAGGGAACAGGGAAAGTTTGATGGAAAGCATTATTCAAAGTGTAAATTTTAGTTATTTCTATAATACTTACAATTAAAGTTTGAGTGGCTTGCCCAGAAGGCATTTAGAATTTCAAGTGATATTACTGATAATAAATTTATAAAGCTGATCAAACAGAAACTAATCTCTCCCACTTTTCCTCTATCTACCCACATTCTTATTATTCTTAAATAAACACAAAAGAACAAGAGGGCAACTATTTCAATTATGTGATATCGTAGACTACAGCTCATAGTTCTTACCAAGTGCACAAGTCAGGTGTTCAAGGGAGCCTTGTTATTTGTGAGAGGTGAATACAGTAGATTTTACTGCACACACCCTTGTTCCTAGGATTGGATTACGACATCAGTGAGAGGATTGCATGGTTGGAATGTGAACTAAGGAAATGGGGGGTCGGTTACGTCTCTGATACGCACTGTTAGCAAGCATTGGGCACGCACTAGCTCCTGAATGTAATGTACCTGAACCGCTCCGGTGTTGGTCACGTCTGGTCTTGAAAGAGTTCACACTCGGTGCCAGTACAACATTCTCTGGCACCACATGCTCGCCACATGACTTAACAATGGTCACCCTTAGATAATTGTTTTGTGTACTTTTTATATGTAGGATTGTTTCATGTAAATCCACAATGACAACGTGGATAAGATAAATCTTGATAAAATCACACGGGAAGATGGAAACAACGGAGTACCTTAGCTTTCGTCTTTATTCAGTTGCCTCTGAAGATGTCTTGAATAAAGACGAAAGCTAAGGTACTCCGTTGTTTCCATCTTCCCGTGTGATTTTATCAAGATGTAGGATTGTGTAAATGAGTAAAAGAACAAAAAAACACGTGTATCTACCTCAAATTACGAGTTGAAAAATAACCATAACATATAGCTCAAAGTAGATATAGTATATAGATACAGCACACATTCAAATTTTACAGATATAGCAAATGCTGCAGTTGGAGTGTGGCTTGGTGGTACGGACGTGGAAATAGAGGAGGTGTGGACCTGGATCACTGGAGAACCAATGCCTAGAGGACCACCTTTCTGGGGATCAACAAATAGGTAATGATGCTTTTATTTCATCTTAATTTATACTGTATATGGTAGAGTCGGGTTAGGTTAGGTATGTACTGCTGTAAATATCTCTGGCTCACAACTCTTTCTTATGTATACCGTATTAGTTGTCAGTATCTTTTCACCGCTTCAGTAAACCTATTTCTCATTACACATTTATAAACACTGCATTTTAATTAAGCTTGCATCACCTAGCATGGCACCTCACTGCACTACATTATGCACTTTGTATCTACTGAATGAATCAAACTTCTTTTGAAAGTTGAAAATATTTTTATCCCCCCCCCCCTTAATAAAAAATAATAATATCCCCATTTTATGCTTTGAATAAATAATTACCATTTCATTTTGTGTATTTTCGTTACAATATTTCACCATTCATTGCCAGACCAAATAACACCCCTAAGCTTTCAGTAATTACCGGTAAATGAAATTAAAATAAAATAAGAACTACACTCTTTCACACTAACTTGGCTCGTCGGCCCGCCCCTCTTCCATACATAGAAAATTCAAACTAAATGTGCTTACAATTGGTAAGCAGCACTATCATAGGGGGATGAAAGGATTAGCAATAGTTATTTTTTTTAATACCCATCCCAACCATTTAACATCCCATTTCCACTGTTGATATATTATATTTATTTAGCCACATTCTTGCCCCATTAAGTGGTCTATACCATATTGTAAAATTTTACTCTCATACAGACATTGCTATTTTCGGTTTCCTATATTTTTTATCATGTAGCAATTTCTGTGTTTTCCCAAAGGTACGCTACATTTCCTGGTTTATTCAGGTAAACAAAGTATATTATTAACATCATTTGTTGTGGCTCACTTTGCTGTCTGCACATATTGTGTACAGTATTCCTATTTTGACGTCCTACCCACAACACTGAGGAAAGGCAAAGTTGACAAATAAAAATACGGAGTGAATAATCCAGGGGTTGAAATACGTGGATGAAGCAAGTGACGAGCACACACACAAGAATCACTGTTCATGACAGACAAATTTAAGTTACGAAACGGATAAGAAGATTATCATGTAAACTAAGTAATTTAATAAAATTTATATTAAGTAACAACTATGCATTCACCAAAATATAAGTAACAACTAAGAATTTGTCAAAACACTCCAGAATATTATCCAATTATTCTTACTTTAAACATTAAATACACATACTCTAAACAACACAAAAACCTGATAGAAATGGCAGCTCGGGTAACAAGTCTTGGTTACGATGGCCAACCACAAGTAACACGGGATTAATGCCGTAGTCCACTACCATCAAACTATCACAACACCGCCAACAGTAGTCCGTAATACTGTGCAATTCGTCGTCCACAACCCGGGAGAAGAATAACACACTAAACCGCAGAAAAGAGACTCAGCTACCAGACACTGGCAGGCAGACTCACTTGCATCGATACCTCTGTCACATAGTCAGACTGTCAGATTGGAAACTGGTCTCATAGTCGGATGGGAAACTGGTTCTGAATCGGTGCTCACTGGAGTCGAGTAGCTTCGTGAAGCAGTTTCTTCCCCTGGTGTCAAGTTGGAGCAAGTGATGGTTATGGTGGTAGAGTGAGGAAGGGACAGAGTCGTCACACTATGTTTTCATAATGTAGCCTGTTGGCAAATACTACACACATGAATGCCACATCAACATTAAAAATTATCCTCGAGAAGTATAGGTTTTTAACAAGTGTATTTGGTATTTGTGATAATACAAAATCTCGGCAGAAATCACAGTACGCTGTCCTCCTCAGTAATGTGTGATATCTTTTACAGTTATAAGGCTGAACCAAGTGGTGGACGTGGAGAAAACTGTGCAGTTCTCCATCACCCTGACAAGTACTACATGCATGATATCACATGTGCTTTCTCGACTGCAACTCCACTTTGTCAAAAGATTTTATAATCACCAGAGTTTTCAGGATTTTGTAGTTAAAAACTTGTCCTTAGTTGATCAAACAAGACCTAAATTCTGTTGTATTTTTATCTGAACCCTTCAAATGATGTATGTAGCACAATAGACTTTATACACATTATGCAAATCGTAAACATGTCAAGTAATATGATAATGGCTGTTATTTGAATTGATTTTTTTATATTTTAAAATTTTGTATTTCATTGCAGACACCTGCAAAACCTTTAATTTAGTGAGTGGAAGTCAACCAGCTACAGCATCTACTTTTTAAAGACTGTAAAACCAAATTCTGTAATACCCAAGATGTTAACATTGATATTCAAATTTTTACTGCATGAAGTAAAAATGGGCACCTCAATATGACAGTTAGTTCAGAAAAGGCTATTGTTTACAACAGCTCCCACTTTCGAATGAAGTGTCAACCACACTGCCTCCTTATTTACCGAATGCAAAGTGCTCTGTCCGCATTGCCCTAAACGGATCATCAGGCCTATGGGAGTATGGGACCCAAGTTTTGCCTCCACCCTGCACATGATGGAAGTTGAGCAAAGTACAAAAGTAACAGGGTGAATACATATAAAAAATGATGCCCAACTGCCTCACTTTAGGAATAAGTACAAATGTCAGTACAGTACTTTTGAATTTAGTGCTCTGTTAAGTCAATACTTTGCCCTTTATTTCTGTAAGCTTTAGGGTAAGTAATTAACCAGTAATAACTGTATATACTAGTTATTTATATAAGAATTTTGTTTTTGTAGAACGCCAAGATTTCTATTATTTTTACACTGGGAATTATGATTTCTTTCTATAATCTGAAAATGGAAATAAGATTAAGACATGCTGATTTATATACTGTACCACTCGACTTAAAATATTCCCAGGGCCGACTCTGGTGATGTTGGTGCCATGGTCACCACGAAACACTCTTGTTAGGGATTACCAGCTCGGTTTTATGCCGGAACGCTCCTGCTTCACACAATTACTCAGGGTACTGGATGTTTGGACCCATATTCTGGAACAGGGTGGTAATATCGACATTATATACCTAGATTTTGCCAAGGCTTTCGACAGCGTACCCCATGAAAGGTTGAGAATTAGACTGGACGGGTACGGGAAGTGTTCTAGCGTGGATCGGAGAATTTCTGCATGATCGCAAGCAGTATGTGGCGATTAATGGTACGAAATCGTCATGTGCATCCGTGACAACCGGGGTACCACTGGGCAGTGTATTGGGCCCGTTGTTGTTTGTTTCCTTCATAAATAACATGTGGACGACGCTAAGTTATTTCGGGAAATTAAGAACAAACTAGCAGACTGCAGAGCTGCAGAAGGATCTCCGTGAGCTTCAAGAATGGTCGAAGAAATGGCTGCAAATATTCAATGTCGCGAAGTGTAAGAGGCTGCACCTGGGACGTACCAACGGTAAGGAGGTGTATCATATGTCCCAACGGGACGAAGAAACTGCGTTAATAGAGACTGAAAGTGAAAATGGCCTGGGTATGTCTGTTGACAATGAACTGAAGTTCTCGGGCCATTGTGAGAAAGTGAATCAAGCAACGATTTTCAAGAGTAAGGTGCTTCCCCACCTGGAATACTGTCACCCCGTCTGGTCACCGAGATATGCTAGGGACTGTCAGTTGATTGGAAATGTCCAAAGGATGGCCACCAGACTGGTGCCTGCACTTCGGCACCTCAGATATTCAGAGAGATTAGAGCGCCTCCAACTTTTTTTTTTTTTTTTTTTTAGGGGAATAGCCCACCCGGGCACAGGTCATCGACCCACAACGGGGCCTAGGGGGCGAAAAATAACGTAAAAATAAATAAAAAAATAGAAAAGAAAAAGATTATATTAATCTACACAACAAAAACCAGGTTTTTGAAGTAAGACAGATTGTATGAGTATGGAAACACAGAAGAAGGCAGAGCATTCCGCAGTTTGGCTGTGTGAGGAAAGAAGGATGTTCTGTAACGGGTTAGTCTAGTGTGACCGACATCCACAGAGAAACGGTGGGCACCGCGGACAAGACGTGTGTTACGAGCCCGCGGCCTTACAGGCAGGACACAGGATGCCAAATCCACCGAACATTGCTCGTTAAAGTACGTGCAAAAGAGAGAGCGAAGCAACATTGCGGCGAAGAGAAAGGGAAGAAAGATTATCAACTAAAGGATTAGAGTTAATTCGACGAAAAGCTTTTGATTCCACCCTATCGAACAGTCGGGCAGAAGAGCCACCCCAGATATGAGAGCAGTACTAATGCTAAGCTTATACTACAGACGGGCAAGGGGGTACCTAATTGAGGTGCATAACATCTCAAAGGGCACTACTCAGTCGAGAGTCCATACCTGGCTGGAGCTAGCGGACGCTCGCCCCACAAGGGGTCACAGCTCAAGGTTGATGAAGCCGCAAGTCCAGAAAACTGCGAGGGAGAACTTCTTCGGAGTCAGAATTGTGAACTCTTGGAACAACCTGCCGGAGAGTATTGTGATGGCACCGAGTGTGAGCTGTTTCAAGACCAGACTTGACAAACACTGGAGCAGGTTCAGATACATTCAGGAGCCAGTGCATGCCCAGTACTTGCCAACAGTGCGTAAGAGACGTGACCGACCGACCACCCAAACGGCTAACGAGCCGATCAGTGACGAAGAGGATAAAATTATAATTAAAGTAAAAGTTTAATAAATTTCACAACTACACTTGTTTGACCTTTCCTTACACATTGAAGTTGAATTAGCCAAGCTGGTTGAGTCCGGGAGCCACGTGTTTGTGTGGAGTAGCTGGTTTTCCCACCATATTGGAGTTGCTGGTTTTTCCACCTCACAAACACTCACAACACCGACGGAGATATATGACTGTATCTCCTGTTCCCTAACGGCCTTTACTTTTAAATATAATTGTCCTTTTGGACTAAATTTATTCGGGTGAAATGAAAAGCAGAATTAGGAAAGAAACTTTTTAATAATTTTAATATTATAACAGAGTTAAATAATATAGGAAATCACCACGGGGTTCAGTATAACGAGGTTTTATTATGTTAACACCCAAAGTTTATAGCATCCAGTTGCATCAAGTACACCGACACAGTGGCCCACTTATTCCTGCTGAGACCTCAGACAAGAGAATACTGTACCTCACTCTTGCTACGCTCTCACACCCCTCTCAAGCAGCTCTATCACTTCTATCCCTACCAGTGCACAGCGGTGATCGTGTCCCTTCTTGAACTTCCTGCCGCAGTAGTGAAGGTAAGTCAAGGAAACATCCTATTAAACACTCTTCTGTTGAGTACAGTTATAGATATCAGGCACAATCAAATTAAAAGTTGTAACGTATTTAGGGTATTAAGATTGTAGTGAGTTTTTATGATTAGGCAAATGAAAAATCGGTAAATTTTCACTTGTTGCCACTACAGTATACGAAATCGAAGTTGAAACTAGGGTTTTCGATGGTTTTTGATGTGTTATAAACGAATTTGACCTTCATTTCTGCCACAAATCAATAATTTCTCAGATAAGCATCTCCCATCCCATCTCAAAATCTAGAGATTTGTTATATAAATCAAGGTAAAAAATGTCCAAAACACACCGAACCTAATTTAACCTACCTGGGGAGCTCAACAGACGTTCATGTTCTGGGTGTGTACCGCCACGTGCGAATATGCACAATAAAATGTTAAATATCTCGCTTAAAAGTAATTTGCGCCAGAATTGCCATTGAAAAAATTGTCTCAATTATCAAAACTACTGATTGCAACTATAACATTCTCGAGATTAGCTTAGTGGCAATAAGTGAAAGGTAAATTTTCCCACATACTATAATTTCAAATATCTCGCTTATAAGCAATTTGCACCAGAAATGCCATTGAGGAAAAGTGAATTCGAATTGTCAAAACTACCGATTGCAACTATAAAATTCTCTAGATTCGTTTAGTGGCAACAAGTGAAATAATACCGAACAATTTTTTCGACATCCATTTTTGGATCATATAAGTGCAACAGAATTAAAGCAAGCATATATGTAGACTAAGTTTAATTGGCTCAAATGTGTATTTTATGAAAATAATGCAACATCTATTACTCAAAACTTTAATTCCCCAAGTACATACAGTATTCCCAAGTGTGTCTTTCCATCATTACATTTTCCACTAATATCCACCAGTAGTCTGGGAATATCTCAGTTATTTTCCTTCAGATTTTACCATATTCCAAAGAATTGTACAGTACAGACAAGAAAGTTATTTCCCAGTTAATTAGTATAGGATTACATTTGGTATTGTATGAGTACACCGCTGCCACCAGAAGTTGTTTGATTTCCACTGATGTTTTATCATTATAATAAGGGTTAATACTGACGATGTACTGTACATACCTGGAGCTGGCAGACGCCCGCCCCTCCACTTCGGCAACAACTCAAGGTTGAGAAAGCTACAAGTCCAGAAAACAGTGAGGGTAAACTTTTTCGGAGTAAGAATTCTGAGTGAACTCTTGGAACAATCTGCCAGTGTTGTGGCGACACCGAGTGTGAGCTCTTTCAAGGCCAGATTTGACCAACACTGGAGCTGGTTCCGATATACTCAGATGCCAGTGCATGCCCAGTACCCGCCAACAGTACTACAACTACTACTTTGCTGCCACTCGGAATCGAGTTTGACGATCGTCCAGCTATGTTATAATGGTATGAGTTATAAAGGATGTCACCTAGGTTGGTGAGTTTTCAGGTGACTAAAGACGCCGATACGGTACCGGCAGGGTCGATTACAGAAGTTGCATATGTGGGGAGCTACATCTAGTGCGGGAGGAGCGGCGGCAGGGTCTTTCCGGCGTTGGCGCTTGTCTGCTTCGTTATGCAGTCGGGCTTACTCGAAAGTATTGACACCTTGTTTGGTGCTCCCCCACGCTTACGGTGTGGAATAATCGTCTCCCATGTGAGGGGGTCGATTTGGCACTTTTTTCAGGTTTGTCTTAAGACTATTCTAACCTCTTCAGTTGCCCGCCAGCATTACATTTACTATTCCTTAGGTGACTGTAAAGTAGCTGCTTTGACAGTCTACTGTCATCCATACGGGTAACATGGCCCGTCCAGCGGAGTTGTTCGTGGATAATGGCAGCCTCGATGCTCCTACAGTTGGTGTCAGCAAGAATACTGGCATTTGTTCTCTTGTCTTCCCAGCGAACTCGGAAGATGGAACGTAGACTACGTTGATGAAAGTTTTCAAGTGCCTTGATGTGCCTTCTGTATGTGACCCATGTTTCGTTGCCATATTGCAGGGTGGGGAGGACCACTGCTCGATATACGTGAAACTTTGTAGATAATATCAGCTGGCGACAACTGAAGACACGGTTTCGGAGTCTGCCAAAGGCTTGAGATGCACATCTGATCCGATGCTGAGTCTCTTCATCGATGTCTGTGGTGGTGGACAGGTGGGAGCCGAGATACCGAAAGTGGATAAGATTAGTGAAGGTAGTACCGTTAAGCTGGATTGATGGTGGATGTGTGGCTGAACCAGAGGCAGGCTGAAAGACAATCTGAGTCTTACATTCATTCACCTCAAGGCAGAAGTGCAGCCCAGAAAATGGAAGAGAGAGTTGGTGCCAGTATGCACCCTTGTTTAACCTCCGTTTGGATGGGGAAGAACTCAAACTGGGTGCAATTGCGCAGGACTCTGCCGTTCATGCCATCGTGAAGTTGCCTCACAATGGCGATGAATTTTGAAGGGCAGCCAGCTTAAGTAAGGACACTCGACTGAGTAGTGCCCCTTGAGATGCTCATACACCTCAGTTAGGTCGCCCCTTGCCCGTCCGTAGTATAAGCTAGGCAAGTTCAGGCGCTCTAATCTCTCAGGGTAGTTGAGGTGCCGAAGAGCACGCACCAGTCTGGTGGCCCTCCTTTGAACATTTTCAACCAACTGACAGTCCCTGGTATATCTTGGGGACCAGACGGGGTGTCAGTACTCCAGATGGGGAAGCACTTCACTCTTCAAGATCGTTATTGGGAACGGATCGTCTAGATATCTGAACGACCTTCTTATAAGACCTAATAAACTTTCAATGTGTACCGCGGTGGATCAGGGAACGTTGACAAGAGTGAGTGGTCACATTTTTATCCACTGGTGAGCAGACTTTGAATTAATGTACTCTTTAGACATTCATCGGGACGACCTGTAGGTGCATCCTCTTGTATTTCATAATGCTGAATCTCAGCAGCCATTCCCTTGGTTACTCTTGGAGCCGATACACGTCCTGCAGTTTACTACAGTCCGTTAGGTTATACATTTCTCTGAATAGCTTGGTGTCGTCTGCAGCCATTATTTATGGAATAATGAATAGTATTTGGCATGTCATTTAAACCACAACTGAACAACATCGGTCCTACCACATTGCCCGTGTATCAAAATTCTAGAACTTTTTTGCTTTTAGACATTCTGAGACTCGACGGGTCTCCTCTGATCGGCTCCATTAGCCGCTTGGGCTGAAAGTGATCATACTTTCTCCCATATTTACACTGGTCTGTCTCAACTAATCACTCACTATAAAAGTAATACAGTATTTACCTGCACTGGGAAAACTGCTTTCACTTTTGCGTCATCTTCTTTCTTTCCCTCAGATGCGTGTTTTGCTCCTGGCGGCTCTGATGGCGGTGGTGGTGGTAGCTGATGTAGCAGGGAACTATCTCCAGGATAACAGTAATACGCAAGAATTCTTCACACCTATTAAAGAAAATTGCACACAAGTAAGTAATTAAAATTAGTGATGGCCATAATTTTCTACACTTGAAACTTGTTACCTTTCGTGCAATTGTTTAAAGAGAGTTCCTCACGCCCTCCCACCCACTATCACCAATGATCCTCCAGTATACAGTACATGTTGATCACTAAATTATGTACTGTATTATAGGATATAATCTGCTACCTCACTTCTAGGTCTTAAGAAAACTTAAGGTAAATACAACATTTCCTAAGTTCTTAAATTATGTGCCTCTAGTTTTACTCCAGTCCTTTGAGAATTTATTAATGTAGTATGACAACCACTTCTTCCTAACTCCCGAAAATATATTAAATTCACCATTAAAAAAAAAAGAGATCCTCATTTTTAATAAAATTCAAGGAAACAATTAGGGAAATACTTAGAAATTGCCATGCAAAGGTTAGTATTTCATCGCGTTTCATAAAAATTTGTCCTTCATTTCAAGTAGAAATGAGTAGTTATGGAGATATGCCTCACCCCCCCCCAACCCCGCCCTCCTCAAATTGCCAACAATGTTTATGCACAAAGTGGGTTGATTTTGAAGTAGAGAGAAATTGTGGGGGTAAAAACACACACACACAAAAAGAAAGCCCCTAACCAGAGTAACCAGAAGGACCTGACCTAAGCTTCTAGCCAGGGAGTTGGACCCAGTGTAAAAACAACTTGCCTAGGGGATTGTCTGTCTCTTATTGCCATGCCATGTAAGAAGTTCTTTAGTATGAACATCTGACAGAGTTTGACGGAGCTGCTGCTACTGCGACAGGAAGTTCGTCTGAACCATCTGGTGGACATCGAGAAACAGTCTGGTGCCACGCTGCTCAGTTTAGCTCAAACACTGGTTGAGGTGCGGGACGCTCTCCTCAGTAAGCAAGACGCAGAAGCTGCACAGAGTAAGCACAGAACATTTTAGGCCAATTTATATTCTGTACTTGTTTCTTTTTCTCTTAAGTTCTGAACATAAGCATTTTGCACTAACAGGCGATATACAGCCGTCATACTTCAGACCAGAACAGAGTATAAAGTTCTAAACAGTAGGATGAGCACAAAGGAACACTGATTTTAAAGAACTATGGACTCCTGGTCCCGTAAATGTTGCAAAATATGAAAATGAAGTATGTATTTTTTATATAGAGCCATTGCTCATACATGCAGTAGCACAGTATAAACATTGCTGTATATGATATACAATACTGTAAGTAAAAAATAAGAAATACAGTACGTAAAAAAAAAGGTCCCTGCAGCACTCCAACTTCAAATATTGCAAGACTTGACTGGTGAAATCCAGGGAAGGAAGAGTGCTCATACTGTATAACACAACTACTTATGTTTTTAATCATAAATGTGTGTTAGTTGAATTTATATTGGTTGAGTTGACCATGGGTTGAATTGATGGGTTGAGTTCACAGTGGTTGGGTTGATGGGGTTGGGTTAATAGGGGTTGAGGTGACAGGAGTTGTGGTGACGGGTTGGGTAAAAAGGGGGCTGGGTTAACAGGGGTTGGGTTGACCAGGGGTTAAATTAAACGCAGATGTAATATAGAACTGAAAATTATAGTATAGTTGATGTAAAGAAGGTTATAGTATAGCAGATGTAGTTTAGATGATAGTGTAGTCACGGACACAAGCTGACCCTCAAAAACAAAAGTTCTACAGTTATCAAGATTAGTAACCTCATTATAAGTATTTATGTAACATCATTATTATTTATCCTTTATGTTGTTATAATATGATTCATACTTGTATTATATTTAGAATAAAGTAAAATGTTACAACCACTAAATTATTACACAACTTGCAGAGACCCAGTGTACATCACCATTCACATTGGTGGGCAAGAACTGTCTCCTGCTACCAATTGCAGAGCGACTCAACTGGGCAGCTGGCCGTCAGTACTGTGCTGCCAGGGGAGCCGACTTGGCCACCTTCAGTGATGCAAACACTTTTGCTGAATACCTGGGCTTTATCAACCAAGTCAGTTAGTATGAGCACGAAACATCAGTTATACTTCTGACAATATTAGTCTTTATCATCTGTGTGTTTAAGATGGATGAATGGAGAGAATTGCTAAAGATCATTTATGGTAATTAAGTGTTTTACAGTGATGAATGACCTGCAGCTGAAATTTCTGTGAAAGATTGATCACATACAGTCATCCTTGCTATCCAAATGGGTTAGGTTCCTTTATAGCTAATATTCAAATGCAAATAATATAATAAATGGGAAAACAGTGTCCGATGACCGACCAACAGCAAAAAAAAAAAAAAAATTATATATATATATATATATATATATATATATATATATATATATATATATATATATATATATATATATATATATATATATATATATATATATATATATATATATATATATATATATATATATTATACAATTACCAAAACATTACACCAGGCACCTAAAAAATGCAATTAGCTTGCTGTGCCCCTTAAGATCCTGTTCTGTAAATGCCTGGAAGAGCAACAGGTCCCAGGTTATTGGAAAATGGCTTATATCAGTCATATATTACAGATGTGGCAAATGCTGCAGTTGGAGTGTGGCTTGGTGGTACGGACGAGGAAGTAGAGGAGGTGTGGACCTGGATCACTGGAGAACCAATGCCTAGAGGACCACCTTTCTGGGGAACAACAGATAGGTAATGATGCTTATATTTCATCTTAATTTATACTGTATATGGTAGAGTCGGGTTAGGTTAGGTATGTACTGCTGTAAATATCTCTGGCTCACAACTCTTTCTTATGTATACCGTATTAGTTGTCAGTATCTTTTCACCGCTTCAGTAAACCTATTTCTCATTACACATTTATAAACACTGCATTTTAATTAAGTTTGCTTCACCTAGCATGGCACCTCACTGCACTACATTATGCACTTTGTATCTACTGAATGAATCAAACTTCTTTTGAAAGTTGAAAATATTTGTATACAGCATCACTATCAAAGAAGAATGAAAGGATTAGCAATAGTTATTTTTTCAATACCCATCCCAACCATTTAATATACCATTTCCACTGTTGATATACTAAATTTATTAAGCCAACTTCTTGGCTTATTAAGTGGTCTACACCATGTTGTCATATTTTACTCATACAGACATTGCTATTTTATGTTTCCTATATTTTTTATCATGTAGCAATTTCTGTGTTTTCCCAAAGGTACATTTCCTGGTTTATTCAGGTAAACAAGGTACAGTATATTATTAACATCATTTGTTGTGGCCAATTTTGCTGTCTACACATATTGTGTACAGTACAGGTATTGCCATGTTTTCATAATGTAGCCTGTTGGCAAATACTAAACACATGAAAGCCACATCAAGAAACTTACAAGAGGGGTGTGGTTATCTATGCTAGGCAAGACCTTAGAGCCAGCCAGGCGAGGGTACAGGGAGAGGATGTTTTTGAAGAGTCCAAGTGGTGTAAAATAAAATTAAAGGGAGGGGACTTACTTATCATCGGGTGTATCTACAGATCCCCAAACTGTGGCCCACTAAATCAAAGGAACTTAAGAACCTTAATAAACAACGCGGCAAGGCTCAACCCTAGCCACCTCCTTATCATGGGGGACTTTAACTACGGTGACATCGACTGGAGAAACGAGTCCACCCCAAATGACTTGAATAACCCTGCTACTCTTTTTGTAGAAACTCTGAGAGATAATTTTCTGTTTCAACATGTTAGAGACCCGACACATTACAGAGGGGAAAACACCCAAGCCACTTGACCTCATCATAACAAACGAGGAGGGTATGGTGGCCAAACTGGAACACCTTGCCCCAGTTGGCACCAGTCACCATATAGTGTTGTCATTCAGATTTAACTGTTCCCTAGTTCAGGATAAGGCCAGGCCAAGGTGCAAATATTACAAGGGAAATTACAATGGGATGAGGGAAGAGATGAGTGGTCTCAACTGGCCTGACTCATAAAGGTACAAGAACGCAGACGCTACTCTGAATATCATAACTAGTAAAGTGACCCATTTGATCGATAAATATATACCCAAGACCAAACCCAGTGCTTCTGGGAATACGAGGAGATCCCTACACATGAACCATGCGGCGATCGACAAAATTAAGAAGAAAACCCAGAAATTCAAGACTTGGGTTGGGTCAAACGATGAGCAAGACAGGAGGATGTATGCAAGAGCCAGAAACCAAGCAAAGATAAAGTGTAGAAGGGTTGAAAAGGAGTTCCAGAGGCTGGTTGCAAGCGAGGTCAAGTCAAACCCAAAGGCGTTTTACCGCTATGCAAAGTCGAAATTGAAAACGCGAGTAGGAGTATCAGACCTGAGGCTTGTGGATGGTAGTTACGCAGATTCTGACCAGGATAAAGCTGAGGCATTAAACAGCTTCTTTTCCTCGGTGTTCACAAGAGAGGATGCGATCTAACCTTCCTGCGTTTGAGGACAGACGGTTCGACACAGCACTGACCCACATTGTGTTCACAGAAGAGGGTATTAGAAATAAATTGTCCAGGCTAAAGATTCATAAGAGTCCCGGCCCTGACATGGTGCATCCTAGAGTGCTAAGAGAGTTGTGCAACGAGCTTGCAGAGCTCCTGAAGATCCTGTTTTGTAAATGCCTGGAGGAACAAATGGTCCCCAGTGAATGGAAACTGGCTTATGTGAGTCCTATCTTCAAGAAGGGCGATCGGCACTCCACGAACAACTATAGACCGGTGAGCCTGATCAGCATAATATGTAAAGTACTTGAGAGTATTATCAGAGATGCCGCAATGGAACATCTAATACGAAACAATCTTGTAAAGGATTGCCAACACGGTTTTATGCCGGGGCGCTCCTGCTTAACACAATTGCTCAAGGTAATGGATATTTAGACCCATAGTCTGGAACGGGGTGGTAATATCGACAATATTTACCTAGATTTTGCCAAGGCTTTCGACAGTGTACCCCATGAAAGGCTGAAAATCAAACTGGAAGGGTACGGAATTCGGGGAAATGTCCTTGCATGGATAGAAGACTTTCTACATGACCGCAAGCAGTGTGTGGTGATTAATGGCACGAAATCGTCATCCGTACCTGTCACAAGTGGGGTACCATAGGGCAGTGTATTGGGCCCGCTGTTGTTTATTTGTTTCATAAATGACATGCCTGACGTTGTACACTCCTCTATACAAATGTTTGCCGATGACGCTAAGTTATTTCGGGAAATAAAGAACCAAGCGGACTGTGAAGAGCTGCAGAAGGACCTCTGTGGGCTCCAGGAATGGTCGAAGAAATGGCTGCTGAGATTCAATGTCACGAAGTGTAAGAGGATGCACCTGGGGCGTACCAACGGTAAGGAGGCGTATCATATGTCCCAACGGGATGAAGAAACTGCACTAGTTGAGACTGATGTGGGAAGGACCTAGGTGTGTATGTTGACAATGAGCTGAAGTTCTCGGGCCATTGCGAGAAGAAGGTAAACCAGGCAAATATATTATTGGGTCTTATAAGAAGGTCGTTCAAATATCTAGATGGTCCGTCCCTCGTAACGATCTTCAAGAGTGAAGTGCTTCCCCATCTGGAGTACTGTCACCCCGTCTGGTCCCCGAGATATGCTAGGGACTGTCAGTTGGTTGAAAATGTTCAAAGGAGGGCCACCAGACTGGTGCCTGCACTTCGGCACCTCAGCTACCCTGAGAGATTGGAGCGACTGAACTTGCCTAGCTTATATTACAGACGGGCAAGGGGTGACCTAGTTGATGTGTATAAGCATCTGAGGGGGCACTACTCAGTCTTTACTTGGAGCTGGCGGAAGCTCGCCCCACAAGGGGTCACAGCTCAAGATTGAAGAAGCCGCAAGTCCAGAAAACTGTGAGGGCAAAATTTTTCGGAGTGAGGGTTGTAAACTCTTGGAACAATCTACCAGAAAGTGTTGTGACGGCACCGAGTGTGAGCTCTTTCAAGAGAAGACTTGACCAACACTGGAGCGGGTTCAGGTACATTCAGGAGCCGGTGCATGCCCAGTACTTGCCAACAGTGCGTGATAGAGACGTGACCGATCGCCCGGACGGCTAGTGAGTCGATCTTTGGGTGAAGAGAATAAATGAAAAGGAAAAGTAATCAGAGACGTGACCGATCGCCCAAGCGGCTAACGAGCCGATCAGTGGCGAAGAGGATAAAAGCAAAAACATTAAAAATTATCCTCGAGAATTTTCTAGCATTACAGTAAATAGGTTTTTAACAAGTGTATGTGGTATTTGTGATAATACAAAATCTCGGCAAAAATCACAGTACGCTGTCCTCCTCAGTAATATGTAATATCTTTTACAGTTACAAGCCAGAACCAGGAAATGGACGTGCAGGAAACTGTGTAATTCTCTGGCACCCTGACAAGTACTACATGCATGATGTCGGATGTACTTACTCGACTGCAACTCCACTTTGTCAAAAGATTTTACAGTAACAAGAGTTTTTTTAGGATTTTGTAGTTAAAAGTTTGTCCTTAGGGCTTAGTTGATGAAACAAGACCCACAGTATATTCTTTTGTACTTTTAGCTGAACCCTTCAAATGATGTATACAGTACAGTATACTTTATAGACATTATACAAATCATAAACATTTCAAGTAATAAGATACTTTATTGACTGTGACTTGAATGAAAAATATTTTTAAACAATTTTGTATTTCATTGCAGACACCTGCAAAACCTTTAATTTAGTGAGTGGAAGTCAACCAGCTACAGCATCTACTTTTTAAAGACTGTAAAACCAAATTCTGTAATACCCAAGATGTTAACATTGATATTCAAATTTTTACTACATGAAGTAAAAAATGGCACCTCAATATGACAGCTAGTTTAGAAAAGGCTATCGTTTACGCCAGCACCCACTTTCATAGCAGAGCATCTCCTACCTGGGACGGTCAAGTAGATACAGTGATCATCTGTTCTCTTAAGCGTCGCTGATTCGTATCCAGAGCATCCCTTGTTCATCCAACTGAATCTGGTGCTTTATTTCTTGTAGCACAGTGCCAATTAATATTTCTTAAAGTAAATTTTTCGTCTTTTATTTCTGTGAGCTTTAAGGTGAGCAATTAAATAATAATAACTGCATACTGTTTATTTATATAAGATTTTTTTTGTAGAGCTCATATTACTTCAAGATTTCTATACTGGCCCACTGAACTTAAAAATATTCACTGGGCCGGCTCTCGGGATGTTGGTGCCATGGGCAAACAGAACTTTAACACCCTTAGGTCATACCATTTAAAAAAAATACCTCAGTTATTTCATAATACCCTCTCCTACTTCTATAATTTCACTTCTAATAGCTTTGACACATTCTAATCTGTACTCCCATCTAGTCTCACATAGAGGGATTTTCAGTGATACATTTAACAGTTTTGTAGTACCAGTTCAATGCGGCATATGCCATTGAATAGTATAGGCAAACAATAAAACATAGGGGCTGGATAGCAAAAAAAAAATACATTGAGTGCAACTTATAGCAACTATTCTCAATTACCAAGTTCAGGGAATGACATCCACATGACATAAAATGTCTGTGGATTTTCCTTGTGCTTAAACACTTATTTTTTTTCCTTCATATTGGACCTGTTATATCCCTGACCTCAGCAGTTTTGTAAGTAATGCTTGTGTTCACTTAAAAATCAAGTACACCCTGCATAAGATCTTGCAATCTATTACTGTATAATAATAATAATAATAATCATAATAATAATAGCTTATCTTTTGTTTCTCAAAAGCACCAGTTCTTCTAAAGAATTCACCAACGCTCGAAACACCACAAAGTCAAAGATTTGATAATAAAAATAAATACTTCACTATAATAAAGATCACAAAAAGTGACAGTTAGACTTGTATCATTTTTATACTTTCAAGTTATTACCCTTAAGCCCTGGTGCTGCTGGCAGTATCCCCCCCCCCTCCCCCACGGGGATAAAGCGAGAAAAAAATCAACCATTCCAAAAATAATCAAAACAAATAAATAAAAAATAAAAAAATGGCGGGAATAGGCAGACGTTCTGGAACGTCACCCAGGGCGCGTTGGTTGGACGTTCTGGAACGTCACCCGGGGCCTAAGGGTGAATACTCCCTAAACCCTGTAATTCTCCATCACCATACCCTGCTCATGATCACCAGCTTTCACAAAAAGAAAAGTCTTAAATTGTTTTGTAACAGCACCTTTGTTATATATAAATATTCATCCAAATGAATAACACCAACTTATTCAACAATGAGTCAACCTGTTGTTGACGACACCAGACAGCTGGGCTTGCAACAATCTCAAGGGTCGAGTGCAGGTCAGGTGATTAATCAAAACAGCTGGCTCGATCCCATGCCTCTCTCTCAGACAGAGAGAGGCCAGTGCCAGTAGATTCTTACCACTTGAACTCAAGAGTTATCTCAAAGTGTATTCACAACACTTCCCTGGAGAGAATTCATAATATATTCTCTCAGATTATATCTGTGTATGTATATAGCTGCTTCTATAAGAAACATACCGAATCCGTCAACATGAATTTAAGTGATGGTATGTATAAACTGGATAATTTCGTAACTAAGATGATTTGTAACCAGGTGAGAAGGTTGAGTCATCTTACTCTCTGACCTGACTACCGACTGCTGCGGTGCATTTTGAAGATTAGTAGGGTCACTTCCTAATAACCTGACCATTGTGGACTTGATCCCACCCTCCCCTACTGTATATATATTTGTCTTGTTATGTATTTCTCCTTAGTCTGTACTCACCCCTGAAGATGTGAATTACACGAAAGCGCTTGGGAACTTTGTGTTTTCTTTTTCCTTGTGGTTATCAGCATATACCTAGATCACGCGCACCTACAGTGATTTACTTGCATATATATATATATATATATATATATATATATATATATATATATATATATATATATATATATATATATATATATATATATATATATATATATATATATATATATATATATATATATATATAGCGGCAGAATCACCGCCCTCCGGGCAGCTCATCCGCTGGGCCACGGTAGGACACCACCCTCCGGGAAGCTACACATTGTCTCACTGCTCAGTCCCCAAAACTTCTTCTTCCATCAATAGTTCATTAACGGTGTATGTAAGTTCCACCATGTTTTTCACTACAACGGTACAGCAAAGAATATTGTTTTAGCATTAAACTTATTTTATTGTCTAATCATCACTAGATATAACATCATCCATCATCACTACATATAACACTACCCATCATCACTAGATATAACATCATCCATCATCACTACATATAGCACCATCCATCATCACTACATATAACTCCATCCATCATCACTACATATAACATCATCCATCATCACTACATATAACACCATCCATCATCACTACATATAACATCATACATCATCACTACATATAACACCATCCATCATCACTACATATAACATCATCCATCATCACTACATATAACATCATCCATCATCACTACATATAACACCCTCCGGGCGGCTCATTCGCTAGGCCAAGGTAGATTGCCACCCTCCGGGAGGCTCAACATTGTCTCACTGTTCAGTTCCCAAAACTTCTTCTTCCATCAATAGTTCATTAACGGTGTATGTAAGTTCCATCATGTTTTTCACTACAACAGTACAGCAAAGTATATTTTTTTAGTATTAAACTGTTATTATATTATTGTCTAATCATCATTACATATAACACTACCCATCATCACTGCATATAACATCATCCATCATCACTACATATAACACCATCCATCATCACTACATACAACACCATCCATCATCACTACATATAACACCATCCATCATCACTACTACATATAACACCACCCATCATCACTACATATAACAACATCCATCATCACTACATATAACATCATCCATCATCACTATATATAACATCATCCATCATCACTACATATAACATCATCCATCATCATCACTACATATAACACCGTCCATCATCACTACAGATCGGTAAAGTAGTTTCCGAGATTCTCGTGAATTTGTTTAAGGTGTAGAAGCTGTCGCCAGGACAACAACCACACCCTGAGTTAACGAGCTGCCTGACCCCAGTGTCAAGGAATAGTCCGGGAAGACCGGACAACTCGCCAACTGCACTGGCAACCCAATTACCCCAGAACACGATCCGCAAATCGATTAACATCCAGGTTCCCAATTACTTCTGGGATCAAACCCGGGTCCGCTCGCTTGCGAGGCAAGCATGCTGACTATTACACCACAGGTCGCATATATATATACTATATATATATATATATATATATATATATATATATATATATATATATATATATATATATATATATATATATATATATATATATATATCAAATCATGTAACATACTAAAAACTGACCAATATTAATAGCATTGAATCTTTCTTAGGAGGGCACTCCTTCCTCCAAGAATAAATCTCCCCAAGATATTCACTCATCAATACGACGGTGTTTTTCAGGGGAAGGCAGAGGTTTCTTCAGCACAGCCTTGTATTGTGGGATCACCATTTGTGGGGTACGAGTTGTTGGGGTTCACACTCAGGATGGGATGGAGAAAGGCAACTCACAATGTGCTCTCCGTATACATGTGTATTGGATGTACAATGCAGCTTGGTGCTGGGAAGTGGCAGCGTGGTTACAAGCGTGATGTAGAGAGAGCTGGTTGGTGAGGGTGCTCAGAGGAGGACCAGCTTGTGGGTCGCCATGCTCGCCGGCGGGAGCGAGGACCGCCAGGCAGGCGAAGGAGGAGGAGGTGTTGCTGGCTGGTTGGTGTAGGTAGAAAAGAGGCAGGTCACCACGAGGTCAGGTCTTTTATAGCGGAGGTAGGCGTGGGTAGATAGTTGACCTCCGCTCCGTGGGCGGTGCTGGTTGACCTAGACCACGAGGCATACACTGGGGAATTCGCGGGGTCGGGTACTGAGCGACAAACAGCGTTTGTAGGGGAGGAATCCTCTACAATATATTACAAAATAGGTATAAGCTAGTAAGCTGATAAGTGGCGAATATGGAAAAAAAACAGGTTTAAAAATTCCTGATCAACACCTAACAAACAATCATATTCAATATTAATATCTTAATTATCTAACTTGGTATTCGTATACTTATTCATTCGATATCTTCCATTAAGTCCCTGGAGAAGCAACTTCCTCATACTTTAATTCATACTTGATTTAAAATTAGGTGTTTTAAGCTAAATATTTCGAATGATATTTATAATAAGACAAATTACATGTTATTTATAAGAATTAAAATATTCATGTTCAATGTAACTCGTACAGTGTACTTTTTAAAATGTACGACAACACTGAACATTATTTTTTGAAACAATGTACGATATTTACACCACACTCGGCCGGCAGTGTTCGTGGTACAGTTTTAACATAGCAACGGAAAAAGATAAACAAACAGCAGACGAAACGGACGGCCACACTAGTGACTCTTTATCGGTGTTGAAAATTGTTATTGTCGCTTTAAGTGTCAGACAAATAGCCAAGAAGCAATTGATATATTTACTCTTTTACAATGGGTGTCAGAGAGTGCTGTGCGACATTCCTTGCAGGCCTACCAAACCCTGCTCTGCCTTTTCTGCCTGCTCTAGTGATGGGAACTTCATTTGCTGCATTTTTTCTATTTATGTTTTACAAAAAGTACACCAATTTACCCGTGAAAGTCATACTTATACATATGCTTAAGAAAATCTTTTATCTACTTCCAACTCATGATCATTCAGAAAGTGAAACGTGCAAAAATCCTGGTTGTGTGCGTTGTAAGAAATATGAAGAATTGAAGACTCAGATTGTTCAGAAAATGAAAGAAATTAGAGCAAATAAACCTGAGTTTATTTCTCAACAATTAGAAGATGCTGTTAAAAAGATTGAGTATGAAAGCAGTCCTTTTTCAAAATGTGAATTGGATGATGAACCTAAGAAAAAGAAATCCAACTTGGAACTTCAGAAACCAACCCTCTTTTACATGGAGCTTGCTGCTAACCCTTACTGGAATGACTTTGAAGTGTACAAGAAAGAACTTGGGTTTCTGAAGTTGAATTTCTCCATCATTTTAAAGGATTTTATGTCAGTCTTCAATGCTCTTAAAAATGGAGACAATTGGGGCTGGAAATTAAATGATATTGATAATGGTCACTGGTGTATATTTCCGTTTATTGATCAAGGACGCATGAATAAGTCTAATTCACAGAGATGTCCAAATGTTTCAGCCATATTGGAGGCACTGCCATCACTCATGAAAGATTGTGTCTTTGGAAATGCTTGCTTTTCCATATTGTATCCAGACTCCCATATTGAGCCGCACCATGGTCCTAGTAACGTGCGACTAAGGTGTCACCTAGGTAATTAACAGCTAATTATGGATTTTTTTCCCCCTAACCTATGATGATGCCAAAAACAGGAAGTGCAATTTGGGAATTCATGATAGTATATATACAGGATCACATGATCAGTAGACACCCCAGTTAATTTCATGTGATGATTAAAAACCCTAACTTAACCTAACTTTACTCTCCAGGAAGTATTGGGATGTTAATGAGGTGAAATTAGGGTAATAGCCTAAGAGAGAGGCACTCCACAAGTAACTGCGATAGGACTTATCACCATAGAAAATACTGTATATGCTTTCTTACATCATGAAGAGGCCAATAATTGTATGAGGAATATGTTTTACAATTATATATGTCTGGGAGGTGAGATCAACAAGCTTCCACATTTCCGCTTTGTCGGTTTCTTGTTTGGATGTTAATAAAGGCAACTTTATTATTTTGTTAGGTTTCATTTTACGAATGATAAATTATTGACGATGCATCACAAACTCCTGGCAACTAACATTCCCAAAGTACCAGACACTGATACTTTTTTAGTTTGTCATACATAAAAAGAACCAAACTAACCTACTAACATAAAATAATACAGTTATCTTGTATTTTAATAAAAAAAAATTCTGGAAAGAATCATTTGCAAAGAACCTGATAAATGTTTACTCACAGAAATTAAACATGGCAGATAGAGGGAACTCTTCCTTTGCCTCCCAGGCATAAATAATTTTAAAAGTGAAAGTGGGTCCCATGACTGCTCATTAGGGATTGTGGATACAGCACACTGTATACTAAACCTTTGGTACACAAGGAGGCAGCATTGCCGATACTGCACTTGACCGTCTTCTCAAGTTGTAAAATTAGGTATTGAGAGGACTGGCAGGTAACTTTCTTTTATGGCTGAGAGCAGTTTGAAAGTCTACTGCAAGGGTTTCAACCCCAGACCTGCAGCCCTGACATATGACTTAGTCATAGGATCCTTGACTGGTTAGGGAGTACAGGTCCTTGTCTGCCTAGGTGGTGTATCCTACCACCTTGCATATTAAGCTCGATAACAAAACATTAGCTCTGCCAGAACGTATTTTGTTCTCTGGATTTCACTCATCAATCTTATCTTCCTCCCAGTTTTAACCCGTAACAACTAACCCTAATGAATGATGAGGCCCCCATAGGGTTCTAACTCCATTGCCAACTATAGCATTGCCCAATATAGATTGCCCAATGCTCGGCTTCCTCATGATGCCTACCCCCTGCAGTAGCTCCCTGACTGCATTCATGCCTGTCAACCCCACTTCTCCCCCATGGTCTCTCCCCACCTCCCAAGTCCAGTAGCCCCTATGCCCAAGTGTTCCCAAAGGAAAACTTTCAAAGGTTAAGTTGGGATGGTATTAGGGTGAATTGATCCACTTCTAACCCATACAGGTATTTTCATTGCATTTACCTACTCTAGAAACTATTTTCTACTTATGAAGACCAAAAACTTCCTATGATTTCATTTTATTTTTTCTTTGTCTGGAAGATTACCAGACGTGGTAAAGTGGTCCATATTTGAAAGTCCACTCTGCCACTTAGTTGGTCCATATAAGAACTTTGTCTTCACTTCCATATTTCATTAATTAATTCCCATGAATCTATATGACCAAAATTTACGAATGATATTGTGTGTGTGTGTTTTTTTGGGGAGGGTTACATTCGGGGAATTTGTGTACAGTATATAGGGTTTAAGTGGAATTTCATATTTCAGTCTTAATTTTTAATAATGTTAATTTTTTCTATTTTCCAGGACTAAATATTCCAGATGGTTGCTGGCTAGAAGTTGCAGGAACACAGTATAAATGGAAGAAAGAGGAAACAGTACTCTTTGATGATTCTTTTGAACACTCGGCTACTTTTGTTAACCAGTCAAGCTCATCACAAGCCACTCCAAGGGCTGTGTTATTGGTTGACTTTTGGCATCCTGATATCACATCACAAGAAAAGGAAGTTTTGTTAGAACTGTTAGCACCATAGAACTGTAACTTTGATATGGTTAGTTTTACTGGTGAGAGCCAATATAAATGTAAATGCTTTAAATTTAATATACAGTATAGATACAAAAATAGGTAGCTATGTACAGTACACTCACCAAAAACTTCTCAAACGCTATAAGAACTATGTAATCTGAAAAATGAACGAAAAATCTGAAACCATTCCAAGATGACAAGCCCCATTCTGCTCATTCACATCCATCGTGTCCAGGTGTTCGAGAAGTTTTTGATGAGAGTGTACAGGTATAACATTATTGTACGCTATCATGATTGAAATTTTGAGGAAAAAGATGCTTATATCAATGACATATAAACATGAAGAGGACCACTGAACCATCTATATAAAACAGTTCTAGGTTATTGTTGTTAGTGTAAGTTTTCCTTGTGGATGTATCCAGAAAATTAATTACTTAGCAGTCCTGTTCATGGTCCTTTTTAAAACTGACCTCCTTAAGTTGGACTATATGGGGCTAGAGACTGTCCGACTTATCTAGAATTCCGATTTATGTGTAACGTCCGCCCCGAGTGCTTTCAAGCATCATTTTCCTGAAAAATTCCTTCCCAAAACAATATTAAAGTTAACAATATATATATTTACAGAGCACTTACTTTTGATGTAGCAGATGAATCAGGTGGAGGACGATGGTTGGCTGCTTACACTTATATTTATTTACACTCTTATCTAGTATGTACTTAAATCTGCGTGATGTCATAAAAATACTCCACTTTAGCCCAAACCGCTCACAGTTAACATTCATGAAGACTCCAGATTCAATTCTGTATATCTTTAGTTTCTCTTCAATTTGTAGAGTTCTGAGCACCATTCCTTTTTTTCCAGTAATCCTCAGTGGTGGTGTATTGCCATAATAGCACACTAGGGAAGCACTAAATTAAAAAAAAACAAAAACAGGGCGAGCAGTGGTCACAAAATAAAACATGCGGGACCGGACTCCTCTCCCAACTTCTGCTCCACACAACCCTCCTAAACCAGAGCTTGTCTGACTTATGGGGGTTTCCAACTTAGAGGGATCTTACTGTAGTTAGTAATTGTTATTTTAAAATCTATATTACACAATTTACTCTTCCAACTTTTATGTGGTGGATTGAGGTGTACAATACATAAAATTCAGAGTGTGTGATGCAAGAAAACAAGAAAGGGCTAAGACAAATCTTACAGGTAGTAAAAATATCTAAACAAGTGCTAGTATCCACATATTACATATGTAGTACTGTACTATCAACAAATTGAATATTTGTATTAATATTGATTTGCAACTATATTAATTCACTGCTTACTAAATTGAGCGATTTGACATTTTATACAATACAGTACTTTACTTTATTATACAGCCATGGCAAGCTCTAATGGGTGTGGGATTTGGGGCAGATCAGCCTTTGTAGGGCCTCCTTAATATCTGAAAACAATTACTGTTAAGTAAGACAAAACTTACATTTTTAAAAAGAAAAAATAATCACCGATTTTATGTTGTGCAGTTTTGGGGCAACCTGTAATACTACTTCATTTATTTGTTTAATAAACAAAGAAAAAAATTGCTTCTGGATATTCTTACCACTACCAGCTACTGTAATTCAGTATGATGTTTGAAGCCATGATATAGTAGGTAGTGCTAAAAATAAGTAGTGTATACCTGTGCAATCAGACCATAAATTACTTTTACCTCTGGGTGCAATGGATTTCAAATTGAACACCACCTCTACTGTCGTCTTGATAGGGTTGGTAAGCGTGATTATGATGTCATTTCCCTTCTTGTTTTTTAAATATTTGAATTATATTTTGAAACATACTACTGTATTACAATGCCGTTATCTTCAGATAATGCAAATTCCACTTTTAAAATTTGGCAAAATTTTATGTTTTTTTACATTCTTCAGTTTACAATAAACTTAACCATTTTAAGATTGTAATGGGTCCCCGGGTTACGAATGGGTTCCGCTCCTGAGGACGTTCTTAAGATGGATTTGTATGTACTGTAAGTCGGAACACATGCGATGTGCTTACTGTACTTACAGAGCAATGTTTAAAATCCCACTATATCATAGCCTGAGTTCTTATATACATCTAAAATCACTCAATTTAAGACAAAAGAAGAAATAGAATGACAAAATGAAAGTGAAAAATTAAATCCAGGAAAATAAAATACTGTACTGTAAATTTCAAGTTTGACCCCGTTCGTAAGTCAGTGATCTCCTGTACACAAAGAAAATTGCATTATGACAAATGACAGGAATACTTGTAGCGTCACTGGTAGCTCCACATATTACCATACAGTATAAAGAAAGCACGGTTACTAGTGTGAAGCCAGATGCAAGAGCTTTGTACGGTACAAAATTTTTCACCGGTTTGTTATACCGTTCAAAACCAAAGAGATAAAAGGACTGTACTGTAATTTATGGTCTGTACAATGAATTAACACAAACTTCTCATACCTTTGACCTGCACAACAAAACTGCTTTCATGAATGAAATGTTCACAGAGTGAGCACAGACCACTGATACTTGCAGTGTTCACAGTTCTGACCACAGCTGTTGGCTTCCTCTTTAGCAGAGATTAAAAAGAAAAATTATCCAAGTCTAGAAATGAATGACCTGGGGTGGTCAACATTGTTCTAGCAACCTGACTCCGACTACATGTTTGAAATTGATCTGATAATGAAGTCAGATTCAGGTGATTACCTGGTGTTGGTTAACGTTGACCACAACTTGTGAGGTTCTCCTAAATGCAGAGCCTGGGGCATTTGCCCCAATTGACTATACTCTAAGACTGGCATATAAATGAAAATATTTTCTTTACTATTATAGATACTGTATTGACAAAAAATGTAATATATTGACCCTCAATTTATCTGGTTATTATATTCTTGAAAACACCAGGTAAAACAGAAACTGTAAAAAAAATAAATACTATGGGTTTATGGGAAATAGGGGGATGGGTTCCAGGCTCACAATAAATTAATATATACAGTATACCCAAAACATTACATCAAATAATTTTGATAATTTAAATTGCTACTAAATTTTAACGATCATGGTGATGAAACTGATAAGATGATAATGTTGACATTAAAGTCAGAATATCAAGGATTTACCTGAATAGCCTGTGGAAGCTGGGCAATACCGAGCAAAGGTGGAGGCAGCGGCGGCGGTGTCAAGCTTGCAAAAGACCATGGTGGAAGTGGCAGGGTTGGTTATGGTAAATGCATGAGAAAAAAAAATGGTGATAGTCAGAAATTTGGCTTCATTCTGGAAATTTTTGTACACCTCCACGTAAGGAGCCAGTATGCCCTCAATCTCTGTTTGAAACACCATACTTTATTCCAGACTCTTCTTTGTTACTTCTGCCACCTGGGGATCATCAAATTCTTCCCCTCCAGTATCTCCACATTCTGTAGTTAAATCGGCACTTTTTTCTGCTTCACCAAAGTTGTAGAGGTTTTTCAGCTCATGGTAAACAATAAATAAGGGTGATAAGTTGCGAGTAAAGGCATAGCATTTACTCAACAAAGGTACACAATAGACTAATATACTGTACAAAGTGAGCGTAGGTGGCAGGATGTGAGGTAGAGGGAGGGAGGGTATTTTACAGCATAGCTGATGAGGTGGTGCATGTGATTATGGATTATGCTTGGTGTGCTTCTTGGGGCCCCTATGGCATTCATGCTGAACCATGAAGAGCATGCCCTTAAAATTTGCGGGAATTAGATACTCAAAATGGCCGCGAATAACATCTGCTGACTGGGTCCCCCCCAGTACATTTTTACTCGTGTGCAAGAAATGTATATTCCCTTTATGTGTTTGCCCTTAGGAAAATTATTTCTTTTACCTGTATTGTATACTTGTGTGTGTCTATATCACACACACAAAACCCATACAAATAAATAATTATGGGAAAATCCTCTCACAAATAATCAGAAACAAATGTGAGAATGTACAGTACCCTCAAGTCAACTCCGTGCAGGGAATACATAGACACTGGGCCAGTGGCTAAAAAGGGTGATAGTCATCTACACCTTCTTCTGATCTCTCTACATAACAGAGAGGTGATCCTTCGAATAACCTTTAAAGGCACAATGCTTGGCAGCACACGAGGAGAGGCTTCATCTTGAAGTCGCCTGAAGCGTTTTCCCCATGCAGCAACATTACCCTATCCTCTGCTGCATTAAAGCTGGGAGTAGTCCTTTCTTCTTGGGCAATGTATGTCCGGTTAAGCATATGCTTCCAAAAAAGTCCGGTCTCGTCAATATTAAACACTTGTTTGGGCAAGTACCCCTTTCTCCTTGACCATTTTCTTAAACTGCGGGATGAAGTTTTCTTTAGATACGGTGTCAGCACTGACTACCTCACCAGTCACTTTGATATTATGAAATCTGTACCGTTGCTTAAAACGTTGACACAAATCTTGGCTGGCAACAAACTCTTCTTCTTTTTCAAAGCGCTCACCTTCCTTGCCCTTTAAGTTATCAAACAAAGACATGGCCTTATATCACATAACCATGAAACTGACAGGGGCATTGCATTGATTTTGGTCCACATTGCGAGCATCTTTTCTATGTTCTCCATCACTCCACTATGAGTGTGACTTGTCTTAGTAGCACTTCCATACTGGCCTTATTTTTGTCAGCATTAACAGAATGGTACGCACCATAGTAGCGGGTAATCCCAATGCTACCTCTTTATCAACAGCACATTCGTCGACTTCAGAGAGACGTAATACATCCACCTTCACTGCAAGACTGATGCTTCTCCACTGCTTCTTGCAACTAGCACTACAAGCAAAATCACTTGCTGGTCGTTTTGAAGCCATTTCAATGGAAAGGGTAGAGCAACAGTGTAAACAAGGTGAACATGAGATAAAAGAACACGCAACGCACCACACTCGGCAGAGGCGCAAGTGTAACCGATGCTCAGCGGTGAGGTACAACATCACTTAGCGGGAGAGGAAAGATGTTGTGCGGAGCAAAGTATTACTGTCTGACCGACAACACAATAACGATTATACATAACATTGTGTGGAGCCTTAATATAGAAATAGTATCGACATAATAACCAAACAATGTTAGACAAGGACTAAGATAAGAAAAAATTTAACAGTGTAGGGGTACATTGTGTGTGTGGGAGAATATCAGTCTAAATATCACCAGAACACACATGCGCTTGTTAGCCGTGAGAAGACTAAGCATGTGTCAAAGTTTTGGAAATATAATTTTATTTATCTAATGTGAATTTAAAATAAAGAAAATAAACTATAGAACAAGAGTGTGAAGTGAATTGTGTGGGATAGGTGGGTGGCTGGACTACTCCATCCTTGACCCCGTTAACACGACAGTATGCAATTTCACCATAATTCTCATATAATTTAAGTTTATTTGGTGCCGGGGTAATAAAACATCATAAAATAACAACTTGTTCCTGAAAAAGTCCCACATCCAACCCCAGATGAGTTATCGCGCTGTACAGTATTAAATTTCTGGTGTTTGTTTACAAAGCCGACCAGTTGATCATTATCGGCCTCCCTCTGAGGATGTGAGCAGTGTTGCCAATGCTCTACTTCTCTAATGCATCTCTGCTGTTACGGCTCAAGATGGTTGGTGCTTACCATGACAACTGCCCTCAACAATCAGTAAATAATATTACAGTGCATTTATACATTAATCAATTTGCTGTCTAAGTGCACAAATAGCCAAATCGAGCCATCATGTATCACTCAAAGGTAAAAAATAATACAGTGGTCCCTCGGTTAACGAACACAATTTGTTCAAGAAGGTCGTTCGTTAACCGAATCCATTGTTTCAATGGGATATTGGGTAATTGGTTCCAGCTCACCAAAAGTACATACAAAGTAAAAAAAGAAATGCAGTAAAGTACACTTACTTTGAGGTGTGTATGTAGAAGGCTCCTGGTTGATGATGATGATGGGAATTAGAAGTGGGGGTGGAGGAGAAGGGATAAAAGAAGGAAGTGGTACGGAGGAAAAATCACCTTCAGTGGACCCATGCTTGATGCCTCATTTCACCAATAAAATTTTAAGTTCACTAGGTGTAATTCAAGATTATTTTCTTTAAGTCAACACTGCACTGCACTAAATATTATCAATATGTTCACTAAACTTCAGAATTGCCAATAATTTCAATGAAAAATGCAAAAATATTCAAGACACCAACAAAATAGGTGTTCTCTCCACAGAATATAAAGCCAGACTGACGCCTGGTGACTGACCCAAACATCTGATGGGTGCACAACTAACTAGTTTCCTGTACTGCATATATTATCAATATGTTAAATAAATGTTAAAATGACTAATAATTTTAATATAAAACATTCAAAAATATTAAAAAGCTGAAATTTATTGATATTTAATCCATTGGAAACGAATTTAAACTTAGATCAGATTACTGAATTGGCAGACTGGGCCATCAGCTGATGCTCACAGCAAAACGTGGCTTTTCGTAAGGATTTCGTAAATCAAATTTTTGTTTGTTAACCGAATTGAAGATTCTTATGGAAGGTAATTTGGTAACTGAAATTTCGTTAACCGAGGGACCACTGTATTGTTAGGAATGTATCTCCATATCAATACTATACAGCACATTATTCTACAGTATGTTATAATGACACCATTGTTAGCTGGGTATTACTGTACATGGTAGATTGCATTAATTCTTATGGGAAATATTTGTCATAAAATGTTTTGTAAAAAAATCCTGTTTCTCTGTAACACATCCAGGATGTATAATGAGGACCCCCTGTACCAACACCCGTGATCTTTGTACAGTACCAATACCAACAACAATAACAAAAGTAACAAGCTACTTTTGCTGGGCTGAATGGGACAGTGTAGAAAAATTACTTTCCTACAAAGCCACTGTTCTGGAATCATCAAATCTAAGGCCTCTCCATTAGAGATGTCAATTACCTTTACACTAAGAAGTGAGAAAGAAGAGACAAGTATTTAGTGTGAAACAATTTTATTTACAGCATTTTATATTTTGAATAATATAAAATTTACTGAATGAAAAATCTCTTAGACAAACCATCCTTTGTCAAGAAATGATTCAATGATACGTTTCCTTAAATGCATTAATTGCAATTTCACAAACTGTATTCATTTTTATTATGGTTCAATCATTAGGTCTGTCCCTTACTGATGTTAGAATAACCAACACCTATGCATGTTAGCAACAATTTACTGGCTCCTGTTCTTGCCTCTGAAACTTCATCAGAAAAACTAAAATTCTTCTCTTTGTATTCATCAATTTTAAATGTCACCTGGAAAAAGTCACGCAGATGACGAAGGAAGTGCATCCTGTGGAATAAGAGAGATTTATGTACAAGAGTCCTTAGGAAATTCATATAAAATTAAAGAATTTACTTAAAACTAACAGTATTCAAATAATCCATGTAGGTTGAATAAAGTGATTCCTCACGATATAGAATTTAATGTAAATGTAATGTTCTCATGTTGTGAAAGGTTAATTTAAATTTCATGTTTCATTTTCCCCCAGGAAACTTAAAACATAAAAAACAAAAACAAATACATACAGTAATGCCCCGCTTTAAGCGGTTCTCGTTTATGCGTTTCTACATTTACGCGGTACCCTGCCAGAACCGGAATTCCCACTTTACGCGGTGCATCTACTCATATACGCAGGTGAAGTATAATTTTTTCATTTTGCTCATAAAATTCATACAAATTACCCGGCCAGAATATAATTTACATTGCTGGAATTCTTACAATATGATGATCATTTTGAATATAATCATCATAGATTTTGCATTAGACATACAAATTTTAGATCTAATGTAAGAATTTTGTTTACTCAGAGCAAATATGTTATCTTTTGTGCAAAATATATGACGTGTATATTCAAAATATTCCTGGTCTTGCAAGGAATCCAGCAATGTCAATTATATTATCCTAACTTTAGTCTGAGGTATTATTTATTACTAAAAATGTAAATATACTGGTAGGGAGGGAAGGTGGGGGTGGGAGGGACCCAGCGAGCGTGGGAAGAGGGGGGGAGCCGGAGGTGGGGTATTTTGATTGACAGATAGTGTCTGGGTGAAGTATATTTTTTTTATTTACTTTAGATATTTGTTTTAGCTCATAAAATTCATACTATTTACCCGGCCAGAATATAATTTACATTGCTGGAATTCTTACAATATGATGATCATTTTGAATATAAACATCATAGATTTTGCATTAGACATACAAATTTTAGATCTACGTAATGTAAGAATTTTGTTTACTCAGAGCAAATATGTTATCTTTTGTGCAAAATGTATGAGGTGTATTCAAAATATTCCTGGTCTTGCAAGGAATCCAGCAATGTCAATTATATTATCCTAACTTTAGTTTGAGGTATTATTTATTACTATACCTTAAAATCTAGTGTTTTCACCCAAACATTTCTCAGAGAGGGAGGAGCCAGCGAGCGTGGGAAGAGGTGGGGGTCCATTATTTGAATGGATATTAACCTGGTGACTGTATTTCTCTTAAATATTAATTGTGTGTGCATACCATCATAAAATTAAGATGTTATTTTTACTACAACATAGGTATTGTGTCAGAAAAAGTGGAATTTGGGAGTCGGCCCAGTCTCTATTTCAATTAATCCCATATGTTCTGTTATTCAATTTACGCATTTCTCGTTTTACGCGGACCTCTGTGGGTTCAATTGACCGCGTAAATCGGGGTATTACTGTATTTTTCTATTTCACTTACGTGTATGGAGCAATAGGTCCTAAAACAATTTTGGACACATCTTTAGGTGCTAGAGCCATAAAAAGAAGCACAAGAGATTGAGAAAGAGTATCCACACAGCCACCACGGTAAATCTCTTCTAATAACCTCCAGGCTGCTTCTCGGCCAACATCCTCTGGAAGCTTTGCCTCAGCATCTTCTCCAGGGGAGTTAGAAATGGCTTCAGCACACATAAATGATCCCATATTTGTTTCTGCCACTGCACATAAACCAAACCCTAAAATGATATGCACAGCATAAGTCAACTTCTACTTAATGATTTACATTAATTGAGTCACCATCCTGACACATTTGTACACTACTTCATTGATAAATTACACATACCTACTGTCCTTGATGCCTGCCGCATTTTTCCAATTCATTTTACAGTAAACTTCTGAATATGCATGTCTGATATAATGACACCCTATAAGACTGATTTAATTATAGGATTGTAAATTGAATCCAAAGAGGATCCACTGTCATATCTAGACAGTGGCTGCCTCTCATCACTGGTGAAAAGTTGATGGGTGGATATGACAAGCAAAGTTCAACAGAGTGAATGGAATATATGATGAGCGGAGGAAGAGGTAGAGTCCAACAACACAATTCTGCTACTCCATTCCCCTTTTTAAAAATATTGCAACACTGACCGGTCCAAAGTCACACAAAATAGATGATCAATAATATAATTGCTGTCACCTGTTGAGGACTAAAGCTTTTTCATTCAATTTAAGATGATCATCATCCAGATAAGTTTAAGAAATCAAAATAGGCAATAACTTCATTATTATTATTATTATACTGTAGTATTCCTATACATAAAGTGTAAAAAAGCAGAATGAGAATAATGCAGACAAAGAAGACATTTCTCTCAATCAAAACAGAATATTCTAAGCATCAAATATTTACAAGAAGAGGTAATTAGTAGCATTTGTTTGCATTTTTTTTAAATTGTTGGGTCAAAGTTCTGTCCTCCTTCTGTCTTTCTCTGCATCAGACCCCAATCCCGTTTCTGATAGGTCTTCTTTATTTGTTTCAAAAATATTATATTCAGTTCTGTATCAGAGATAATATCATACCTCTTCATATGTAATTTTCCTTGGAATACAGTCTGCACTCTGCCATACCCTCTATTCTTTCATATTTTCACTCATTTAGAGCAGACATCGGCAACCCGCGGCCTGAACCATGTCTTTGTGTGGCCCACGAATTGATTGAGAAATTCTAGTTAATGTGGCCCGTGGTTCAGATAGCTGCAGCCAGTTTGTGGCGAGCAAAGCAATATTTAATAAAAGAATAATCTTCACACACAATGCATTACTGTTTCATCACCTAAGAGTAAGTAACTATGAAAATGTAGCAGTGAAATAAGTATATACAGTATAGTTAACAATATAAACATTTTAATTTGTGTGAGTTTAAGGGCCAAGTTCGGCACAGCCTGTTTGGTGGATTAACTACAATACTATGTGGCAGTGGGTCACTTGGGAACTAACTAAGGTTGGGTAGGTCCAAGTAGGGTCATGGGCAGTGGTCACACGGGTCAAAAGTAAAGGTCTCTTCCTTGCTGAGAGACTCTCTCTCTTCATAGTATCTCAATCCTTCATGCCTGGAAGTCTGTTCTATGTCTATGTCAGGTTTGTGCAATGGCAGTACAGTATTGTAACCAATGAGATTTATCAGAGGTGTGTTATTGTGTAAATCTCGACTATCTGCTAATACTATTGGGAAAAGCTTATTTAGCAATCAACCCTGCCCTTTTTTCTCAGGAGGCAGGGTAGCCTCACCAACCCACCATCGCCACCTTCTCGTGGTGCACACCATTAGTACACTTTGTTCAAGTGTAACCAATGGTGAGAGAGCTGCCTAACATCCAGCAGCTATTGTTTTTTTCCTGATCAGTGTCTCAACTATTTTCTTAAGGCTGATGTTTTTTCGTACTGTCTGGGGTTTCCCAAGCAGTTTGTTAATGTTTCCTTGTCTTCTTTTTGTACTTCCACAATGTGAAAAGAAAAAGAAAGAATGCCCTAGATGCAGGAAGACAATGGCCAAGACAGCTCTGGCTAGAAGGTGTTGGTATTGCAGTGCCTGGTACCACACTGCTTGGGGCAGCCTTGATGAGGAGGATTACGTTATGGCCAAGAAGAAACCCAGTTTCCAATGGATCTGTGCTGGTTGCCAAAATGAAGTGAACAATAACATCATGAGCATGAGTAAATCAAATCTGGAAGGTGTCACTCATGACAAGTGCTCTGGAAAAATTTGAGCAGGGTGTGACTGGGAGGCTGAAAGCGCTGGAGGACAGTGATGCTATAGGAGCAGCCTCACACGTCTCCTCAAGCATTTGCAAACACTGTTAAAGAGGAACAGAAGGAGTTTAAAAAAGATCAGTGGTACAAAAGTAGTATGTGTCAAGTTCAATGATTTGGGCAGGGGTAGGACAGTCCAGCAGGTACTCATGCTGAAGGCAAAAGAGGGCACTGTGGCTGATAAGGCTAAAGTTGCTGCTGCTGCAGGAAGTGTTGAGAGAGCATTAAGGCTATTCCTGTTGATAGCTGCAGGGAGACAAGAACTTGCTCCGTTGTTATTAGACTTTCAACTGAGAAGGCAAAGGAGGAGGCTAATGGGGCAAAGAGTTCCTGCTTTGGTGCAAGCTTGGACTTCATGGTGTCTGAACCTACAAAGAGCATGCCAAAAATGACAATTGTAGGTATTCCACCTACACGTCCTGATGAAAAACCACAATGCTGTATGGTACACTATAGATGAACTAACATCATACATTTTCCACCAGGGATATCACTCAATTTCTAGAATTAAATCAGTTTTTTGTAGCCATAATCATAAGTGTGACGTAAGTAAATGTAACCGTAATCAGAACTGTGACATGTAATCTTAAATGACATTACCCATGTAGGCACTCTTTCTGGTACCAGTACAGTACTAAGGCTTCATAATCAGTGTGCTCTATCTGCACTGTTCTTATGTGCAGTCACACCTATGGGCTCCACTTTCACTTCTTTTACTGGTAGGTTTATAATGCATCAATGTTTCCATCAATAACAGTCACTAAAGAAAAAATAATACTTCTGTACATATATAAATTTAAAAGCTACTGACCTGGAGAACTGCCTTTAGCATTATCTACAGCCAAATATACATCAGTCAGGAATTTGAGAAACTCTCCCTTGGCAGCATCAAGCATACGGTTGGCAACAGTTGGGGTCACTCTGCTGGTGTATGCTACACCTCGGATGCGCTTGATCTTTCCACTCTCCTCCCACTGAGAAATAAAATAAAGACAAACCATTTCAAAACAGCTTTACCATGTCAACTCTCTATATACAAATAACTCTATTGTACTACCTATGCACTCTATAGACTTGAAAGATCTGACACCGGGACACACAACTAAAGTACTGTATGAGCAATTAGTTTGATACTTATCAAATAAACAAAATATACCAAGAAAGATATATCTTCATTATGCCACTACGGAGGTGTGTACGTTAGAAACCTGAAAAGAGAGACTACAAGAGGCCATGCAGCATGGAGAGCATCCATCAGGTAACCTGGTTAACCCACACAAGCATGGAAAATGGCCATACATGATGATGACGTGGGGTATGTATATTGATTCCCATCAATGTGACCAGTATAGTCAGTTCTCCTATAATGTGTGCTTTCAGCAATTTGGTTATAACATGATGAATGCATTAAGGAACACATTTTCTTTTATGTTGATGCGATTTTGATCTAACGTGATTGAGTAAATGGAACTATTTCACTCAAGTACTGTACTGTAGGAATAAGCGGTTATACTGTCCCCTTGGCATAGCATCACAAGACGAGATCCCCCCATACACAACAGACATGTAATTGTGGATTGCACTTAACTTTAGTATTAACTTTATTAATGTTAATTACAATGAGTAAAAGTGAAAAGTAGAAAAGCTATAAATCTTGAAGAAAAAAAACTAGATGTAATTAAGGAATATGAACAGAATAAAAGAACATGTGATATTGTTCAAGAAATGAGACTCATCAAATCCCCATTACACACTATTTGTGGATTTGTGGAAATGCTGAAAAAATAAAGGCAAGTTGTACTGTTGCAATACAACTTAGTGCAAGTTGGAGTGACAGGGCAAGGCCAAAAATAATAGAAGAGACTGAAAAACTTCTCAGTCTGTGGACAGAGAGCCAAACAAAGAAGCGATCTGGCACGAGTTTTTTAACAATAAAAGAAAAAGCCATTTCAATGTCATAACTGCAGATTCTTTACCAATTGTTTTTTTACCAGAAATCTAAGTTTTTCCCATTGTATTTGGTATGATTCATATGAATTTGACCTTAACTTCGGCCAGAAATTACTTGTTTTTGAGTTATCACCGCCCCCATAAAACCTGACCTAATCAACCAGATAAACCTACTTAACCTTACCTAACTTCCTAGCTGGGGGGCTCCACCTCCAGACCCCCACCACATTTAAGACTTTTTGATATCTGGTATCAATGAAAGGAACTTTGTTGAAGCATTGTGGTGTAATTTTAATAAATTTTGTGGTCGTGTAAATACGACAGACCGAGCGGATCAGTTGTACATAAACAGACGACATGGGGTGACTACAGATTTAAATGAATTTACCATCTCAGTTATTATCCATTTGTGATGGAAGTGGTATTAGATAAAAGTTGTTACAATTGACAAGATATAACTTCTAGTGAACCCAAAATAGCTCTCACCCAATTGGGAGTGAAACTGCAATAATACCCAAATTATGATGACTTGAACACTAAGTAAGAGCATTCAGATGTCCAACAATTTATTGCAAGGAGAGAGTGATATGCAGGTGTTAAAAACCGTTTCAATCTGTACAATATGAAGTTGAGCGAAGAAACTGCGAGCACAGATGAACTCACAGCTGGCAGCTTATATAACATCCACAAAATAGTGTTTGAGGATGGGGCTAAACTCCCAATAAAATATGAAACAGGTCTGTACTGGAAGAGGATCCCTTCCAGAACCTACATCTCTAAAGATAAGACAAAAACTCCAGGGTTCAAGGCAGCCAAGGACCGACTCAGTGTCATGGTAGGAGCCAATGCAAGTGGCGATTACCAGCTAAAACCAGTTGTTGTGTATCACTTGGCAAACCTCCATGCACTCAAAGGAGACATAATGACTAACATTGGGGAAAATTTCCGATCCAGCAAGAAAGGTTGGATGACTGGCCAAATGTTTTTCTGACTATGTGTTAGAAACACTGCAAATTATTGTACGAGGAAAAATCAGAATTACAAAATGTTATTAATTTTAGACAATGCACCCAGCCATCCATCATGTATTAGTGACTTAAGTGAGAATATAAAAGTTGTATTCTTCCCACCAAATACAAACTCATTATTGCAACCTACGGAACAAGGAATTACTACTGCAGAGGCTAAAAATCGTCTATAGTACACATTCTGTGCTGCATTATAAGTAATATAGAGCAGCTGAAGACAATCCCCCCTTACAAACACTCACACAGATTCAGAAAGAACAACATATTATAAGAGGAAGTGGTAGTTAGGGTAGGTGCACCCTGCAGGTGTTAAGTTATGTGCCAGGAATTTTGACATTACATGATAAGTGTTACTGATATTGACACCAGCTGGAAGCTGCAGTTTTCCACTGGATGGAGAAGGGTGAGGGTAAAAGGCATTTAGATGGACACAAGTGATCTGAAACACCCAATAATTTTGGATGTTTTAAGATGTTTATTAAATTTCGCCATTAAAAAAGTCTGGGCAAGTAAAATTTCCTCCAAAACTCTGTCAAGTAAATTTCACAAGTCGCTTGCCTGGGACAAGTAAATTTTCCACATTATCTCACGGTTGACAGATTCGGTATGTTTAATGAGACTAGATTCTATAATATTCCTACTGACAACGGGTGAACTGACATTGCACGAGACCACAAATCTCCTACCCCACCTCTACCTGACATTGATCAGGTCAGGTCAGTAACACGAGACCTGCTATTCCCCTACCACACCTCCATCACACCATTTCTTAAAAAAAATTCATAAAAGAATAGAGTCCCCTTCAGTATTACTATATCATGTTTTTATGACTGAAATGAGGTGTGTAATTTTGAAAATGTCTGAAAAGGCCAAGGCACCCAGGAAAACTATGTTTCTGAAGGTGAAGTGACACAAGACTCCCCAGAGGCTGTGTGGGAGTCAGAAGTGACGTCTTCATTCCACCTTCAAGAGTCCCCTTAGCCTTGAAGGGGACACGTAATGATGACCAGGCTTGCTTTTAATGATGATCTAAGTGTTGTTTAATTGTATTGTAGTGCTAGTAGTACTCTACGGGCGCTTTTCTGGTGATACACATGGGTGTCCAATGGGCCAGGAACCTATCCCATTGAACCCCATGTTATAATGAGTCTGATTTATGATATATCGACCTGTGATTGGGTTTTCAGGAACCTAACCCCATTGCAAATAGAGGTTTAACTGTATAACAAGTTCATTAAAACATACAGAGGTAAAGAGGGAGGAAAGGAAGAGGTAAAAAAAAAAGAAGCAAGTTTCCGCTGGCCCTATGGTCGAACTGATCTTGTTAGCAAGGAGTTAGTGGACACTGTATTATGAGCAGATCCAGTCACGAGGAAGGATGTTGCCAAGAGGATGAAAAAAGAATCCTAGAAAAAAGCTAGTTGGTATTACTGCAGATAGTAAGATGAGGTGAGTAGGTCATGTACATTAATAGAGGAGGAAAGGCTGGCACTAAAGAGTACTTCAGCTCCACTGACTGACTTCCCAAAAGTGCTGACAGACTGTAGGGAATAAACTGAAACCAAGTACTGTACTGTACAGGGTATTCTAATAATTTAAATAAAACAAAATGAAGAGTAGAATTTTTCTTTCGTGGTTGATACATGTGAAGAAAACTGGGAACAACTGTCTAACTGACCAGAAGCAGCTCTGGATGGTTTGTTGTCCTGGTAGGACCTGAGAGGGTAGGTGTCTGAACTTCCTTTTATGGTTGAAGATGGTTCAAATATTGCAGGTCTAAAGGGCTTCACCCCCTAATCTGAAGCATCACAGGTTCTAAATCCGACTCATCTGGGTGAGAAGACTGCTAGCAGCAATGTAGAATGGTCTATCTGGATAGTGTATACTGTACTGTCATTAAACATACCAAGGCCCACTGGCAAAATATAGCACACTGGCATATACTGGTCACTTACTGATGATCCACTGGTCATAAAAAATGGTGCAGCCCTTTCAAAAAAGTTGGAATAAACATTTGAAAAATTTACCTGAAATGGTTTAAGTGTCCTTCTGACAGGGCAGGTGAAGGTCACCACACCACCTCCGCTGGGTGGCAGACCACGTTTAATCATCTTTAAGCTCAACCCATCATCAACTACCAAGAATTTCTTCAGTACAGGCAACAGGGTTGATCGAATCATGTCAACTGATGGGTCCAACTAAAAAGACACATTCAGGAGTCTAAAGCAAACTATTACATTATTCATGAACATGAGCTCTTTTGTCCATTCCTGTAACACACATATTATTTTTTTACAATTTCATTGATCCAATTGAGCATATCATTAACCCTTTCCTTACTAAACTTCTGCAAGTGACCAATTTGGTCCAATTACCTTTGAGCAATTCAATGAAGTACTGTACTGCACACTGTCAAGGACTAAATTTAATTTGTTTTAAATAGAAGGTGAATGGAAACCTTGGCTTGAACACAAATCTTATTATGGAGTCAAACACACCTATATTAAAATATTGAAAATACACTTGCAACACCAATAAATTTGACCAAAAAGCAGCAAATTCTTCAGCAATAGTTTTAAATTAGACATAACTGGTGGTGTTGAGAACAGTGTTGTGTTGTCATGAATGTTTAGTGTTCAACCAGCCTAACACTACTGTACTAACTTGGATAATGTTCCTTACCTTGTTATTTGTGACACCCTTCATCGTAATGTTCAAAGGAATCTTGCAAAATGGTGCTAGCATAAATAGCGGCTCTAAGAAGTATCTGTAAAATAATGATAATTAATATTACAGTAAATCCTAGAAGATCTGGACCCTGTAAATCTGGATTTCAGAAGACTCGGACAAAATTTTTGGGGGTTCTGAGCTAAGAAGACTTCTTGAGTGCCCTTTGCCCGACGAGATGGTGATCATTGGTTTAATCAAGATTTTTCAGTGCCATGAAGTGATTTATTGCGACTAATGGCCACACTTCCTTTCCCATGTGGGTCCCTCGCCCCACCTCTTAAAAAAAAAAAATATGATTTATTTTTTACTTTCATTTACTGCATTTTGTATTCTGTTTCTTCTTTTATCTTAAATTATATGCTTTTAGATGTATATAAGGACTTAGGCTATGATATAGTGGGATTTTAAACATTGTTCTGTAAGTACGGTATGCACATAGCAAGTGTTTTGAATTACATACATTTTAGACTTAAGAACATCCTCAGGAATGGAACCCGTGTGTAACCCGGGGACCCCCTGTGTATATAATCTTGATAAAACCACACACAGTACAGTCCTGGACGAAAGTTCTCGCTACAATCAAGGTGGATGGTGTAAAGTCAGCTCACTTATACTGGACTACGCGTCCGTTGTTCATCCAAAGCCTCCCTCCCTACACCCACTCACAAACAAGCACCCTCGCAGTTCAACAATCGAGCTCTGATACTTCCATTTCTCAACAAGGACTAGGGAAGGATGTCATTGTTTTGATAATAAATTCACAAAACATTTTATTCAATCAAGTTTTACATTATTTGACATAATAGGTTACATCATTATTAGGTAATCATGACATAGTGCAGTGTGTGTTTTAGTGGCTGGGGTTCACAACGGTATCAGAATCCCCCAAGCTGTATTGTACATAGAAACATTATTCATGGCTTACTTTAAACTAGGGGGTTTGGTGTTTGTTTTCAATTTTTTTCTAAAATTTCCAAAAGTTTTTCCAATTGATAGCCGCGCTCTTTTTACTTTCTCCCCAACACAGTGGCGCACCCAGGGGGGTTTCCTGGTTGCCCGGAAACCCCCAACGAAAGTTGGGTCAGCTTACCTGACCTCACCCCACGCCACGGTAACTTCCACCACCTCTGCCATTCCCATGCACCTGAATGCACTTAATATACAGCACTGCCAGACAGTGTGAAATATTGAGATTTAATGTTTTTTTTTTCATTTTCTCATCTACATTGTACATTTTCTATAGATTTTACATATTTATAAATTATTTTTCCATCCACTTTCACTTGTTTGTTAATTTCGCAAATGTGCTTCAAATAACTGTATCGTATGATAATACGGCATTGGAAATCGAGCATGCTGGGTCAGGGAACATGTTCCCACTTCTCTCGTCCTCACTTCACATGTAGTTTTTGGTGTAGTTACATCTACTTTGGATGCCACAGCCTTCAACAATGCCATGTCTACCAGTCAGCAAACAACTATCAATCGTTTTTTCTCGAAAAGGCAAGTTGTCACCATCTTCAACCTCAGATTATTTCCTAAGATTCAGTGCAAATGGCGTCAAATATTGGTCAGATTTAAAAAAAAAATTCCGGGAGGGGGGGCGTACAGCGCCCCGGACCCCCCAGCTGAAAGGGCTCGCTACGCTCGCCAGACTTCTCAGTAATTTGGAAACCCCTCCTACTCAATTTCTGGGTGCACCCCTGCAACACTACCTGTACCTCCTTTCTGAGACGTCCGAGAGGCTTTCAGCGTGATGTCTAAGCACAGTAGTTAATTAACCGAGATGTAGACGGAGAGCTAGCAGTGAACAACACACGCAGTGACAGCAGGACACAAACTGAACGGATGTAAACAAACCCCACGCGCCAAGCGGAACATTAGGCGCAGAATTTAACAGAACCACGCTCGGTTTAGCGAACTAGTTCTCTAAATCGAACAAAAATAACAAAAATTATATTTAGCAGAAATTTTGATTTAATGAAATGGGGAGACTCGAATTAGTTTGTTAAATTCATGAAATACTGTATTAGGGTGGGAGACACAAAAAATAGACCAAGCTTAGGACTATTATGGATAAAAATTAGGTTGCAATGCATAAGGTCCTTTCACTAATGGTGCGAGCTCTCCTGGGTCTTCTACTTATAAACTTGGTGAGAATAATACATGAATCACTTAATGTTAGGCCAACTATTATAGTAAACATTATTCATTTTAAACATATTGATATTTACATAAAGATTTAGTGATAAAGAAAACATACCCTATTCCTCGTTGATTGGGACAACTGTGTTCAAGATGTCCCCCAACTAACACACCAGGTTTGTATAATACTGCTGTACCAGTTTCATTTACTTCAATGCGGCTGCCATTACTAATACAGTCAATGAGGCGAATGAAGCTGGCTTCATAATCTGGAAAAAAAATGCAAGTTATGATAGGTTCTGAGCACCTTGAACATCGTCTGGATCTGAGTCACCGGGACTAGAAGAAGCAGGAGATAAAATTTGTGTCTCTTAAATGCAGAGGAAGTCTCTGTAGAGTATCTGTATAATTCTAATCCAATTGCACGTCCAGGCTCAACTCTCCGGACCCCCCCGGCATATTAAACAGAAAGAACTATTATATGGTGAAATTTTATGATTTTTGTAGACATGAGAGCAGCTCATAAACATACACTGGCGATGGATTAAAATTTACCAAACAAAGACGTGTCCGCCAGACAAAGTAGTGTGCACCTAGTTACCTAACAGTAATTATCTACCAAATGAGGCAATTTCCATAAAAATGAATATTATACCACAACTCACCGATGAAAATACAGTAAAATAAACAACAAAACAAATAATGCATCGGCTGTAAAGTCCTCCATTTTAGCCCTTTTTATCATCCAGAGAACATCTGTGGAAAAATGAACTTAATTAAATAAAATGTGTTCTAGTGTTAGCCATCTGGTCCAGGATTAGCCTAAAAATATTCAGAAAAAACTGATGGTTATTATTGATGACTGACCTGCCGGCAATTTTGCATAGTAAACGATTACTGTATAAAGATGCGGCAATTTCACTGTTTTATTGAGGACACTGTCGAAGTTCATGCAAATGTTTTTTAATAACCTAACCTAACCAAAAATGCAGCAATTTTACTGTTTTATAGAGAACATTGTCATAGTTTGTGCAAACTAGTTTTTTTTATAACCCAACCTAACCTTAACATAAAAGCTGCTGCATTACCGCCAAGAAGACAAAGTAGTGCACACCATAGGTGTCTAAATATATACCAAACGAAGCTTTTTCACACAAAATGATTATCACTCACTGATGAAAATTTAGTCAGAAAATAAATATCAAAACAAACTAGTCGGGTGGTCAGTCGTCAATATGGTGAATTTATGGTCTTGCACTGGTCTTTCTTTCGCTGTTATTAATATGTATTTCGTAATGTTTAGACAATTCTAATACATTTTTCTTCTTTGATATTTCCACCAGAAAATAAGGTTAACGGGGATATTAATTTTTCAGTATTATTACATTCGCTCAGTTACAAGTTTTGCCATGCATCGCTCCTTACCTCCGGGGGCATCAACAAAGATAGGGAACCATGGGGGCGGAGCCTGGTTAGGTTAGGTTAGGTTAGGTTAGGTTAGGTTAGGTTTTGTTGGTTGGTTGGTATTTTATTTATGTGATTTATTCAAGAAAAAAGAAATGCAACTTTTTCACTAGAAGTTATTTGTTGGTTTTCTTTATTTTTGCTACTCTTATTGTTTTGATGATTTTAAGTATATTAAAAGAAACGACAACTTTCAATTATAATTTTTTGTATCTTTTAGGAGTTTTTTCAATTACTCTATCCTACAATCTTAAATACCTTGTTAGGTAGGCAGGGCACAAAGGATGAGGGAAATTACAGGGCAAACTGACACTGATGTTATGGCATTAAAATTACATCTCTAGGTGACCTTGGTTTAATTAACTCAATATTAAGGTAGGTTGTTTTACGATTTTCTATTAGAATTATATTAAAACACAGAAATGGAAATGACAATGCATAGAACCTAATAGATCCTGACCTAATGAACCCTGGGTTGATAGGTCAGATTCTATTAGGTTCTATACTTTGTTGTTTCCATTTCTGTGTTTTATATCATAGTAATAGTGTGTAAATTTTTTTTTTTAACCAAATCACACATTTCCTTCGGGTGATAACAGTTTCGTGAACCTTTACCCTTGTGACAAAGCGAATGAAATAATATTGAAAATTAATATCTCGGTTATTCCTAATTTCCTGTGAAAATATCATAGAAGAAAAATGTCTTAAAATTATCTAAACATTACGAAATAAACATTTATAACAGCGAAAGAAAGACCGGGGCACAAGATTATAAATTACCCATCAATATTAACCAAACTAATACCTTTAAGTCCTGGTTCTTCTGATGTTACTCTTATATTCTTAACTCGTACAGGTTTCCCACTTAATGTTGCTAAGATGAGTTTCTGGCGGAAAAAATTACACCCTTCATATGTCAAAATCCCCCCAATTTCCATAGTTATTTCCTTAAAAGTATGAAAATTTCCAAACTACACATTAAACCCCCACTCTGTTTTCCTTTAAATATATATGAAGTTCTTATGTTCTTATATATTTCACTTTATCCTCCCTTAACAACCACACGTTAGTTAGTGTTTCATTCAACTAAGTAATCCAAGTAGTAGAGTGTATGTGTCTTTAGGATAAACATTATTATTTTATTTTATCTTCTTTTCATTTTATTTCAACAACCATGATCACTTAAATAAGATGAAAAGAAAAATATGTTTATTATTTTATTTTATATATCATTTCTCTGTATCTATTAGCTTCAAATAAACTTAATTAACTTAATGGCACTGAAGAAACTGCTCCCTGACCTTCACTCTGCATTCCACTCTAGTAAACATCAATTATGTGAAGGAACAACCCTTAACTTAAACAACCATACATATTGAATATAAATGAACCTTATACTGAAACAAGGTCTGTATTAATGTATATAATAAGTTTATGATGTGTGCAGAGGTCTGGTGTGAGTAATATTTGGTTTAATTATTGTTTCGGCCAATATGCCCTAGTGGTTTAGAAATTGGTTTATCCCGTGTATTTTGGTGTGATTTAATCGAATTTGACCTTTATTACCGAGGAAAAGCACCCGTTTTAGAGTTATGCCCCCCCCCCCCCGAAAAAAAAAATTGGAAAACTTTAAAATTAATTACTGAGGTTATTATTCTATGGCCCCTGGTTAAAATGGGGTTAGAAATACTCCAAATAAGATCTAAAGGTTGGGGATGGTTAAGACAGTGGGCCGTGTAGTGTTCCCCCTAACCTAACCTAACCTGTATTATTTTACTTTAGGACATAGCTCCCCCGAAAGTTATAAACTACTGAAACATTTAGATCTCCCTATTCTGAGCACATTGAACCCCATTTATATTAGGCGGAAATGGATAATAGCAACACAATCAAATTTAATTGATTTTACATACTTTTCAGTCTTCATAACAAAAATGGAGGAAACTGTAGTGGGCTTATTGGCCCATACTGGGCAGTCCCATTTACACCCAACCCCTATTGCTCATATATCCACCCAACCTATGTTTGAAGCTATCCAGCGTATTCGAGTTAATAATGATATTTGGTAACTTGTTCCACTCGTCAACAACTCTATTTCCAAACCAATGTTTACCTGATACAGGTGCTCCTTGTATTAAGAACGTTCAACTTACAAACTTTCAGAGATACAGACATCATCACTGAGGGTGGTTCCCTGCCAGAACAGGTGTTTGATGTGGATGACACTGGATTATTTTGAAGATAATTCCAGATAGAACAAACATTACTTAAGAGGAGAAGAGTGGGCCAGGTTTTAAGGCTGTATTAAAGGGTATAGCTGTACTAAATATCCATACTTTTCCTTTTTTACAATATGTTTGGTATCTACAAGAGTAAAGTTGGACTTACAAACAAGCCTCAGGAACGTAACTCGTTCGTAAGTAGAGGAGCACCTGTTTTTATCTGGGTTTGAGAGATGAAAATCAGGTGCAATTTCTGGAACTTCCGAGAACAATTTTCCGTTACCCAGAAAATTCCGGGGATGAGGGATTTTTCCGGCTGTGAGAGAGTCGTCTCGTTACCCGGAAATCTCTCATTCCCGGAAGTGCTCTGCACCAATTGTTCCAGCTAACGGGGATATCACTGTATTTTTCTTTGTGTAAACTAATTTAAATATGCTTTGTCACTAATGCATCTCATCTGTCTTTCTTTTGAATTAAAAGCAGAGAGTAATAATTTAGTTGGTATTTTATTAAATAATTTTTTACTGATCCTCAGTTTGAGTGTAGACCAGGGCTGAATAACTCCACCCACTCCAGGATCTGTGCAGTACAGTAGTTGGGTATGTGGTTGGACCCTGCAGTAATTATTCTGATTATCACATCCAAAGAACCTGAAGTGTCAAGATCTCTACCACAAGATCAACAAGTGAACAAGAGCACAGAAATCTGAAACAGAGATCTGTTCAAAACAAAGGAGGAGGAATCTCTGGACTTATTTTACAAAACAATGAACAATAAGGTGAAATTACTTATGGTGGGGCCACCAGAGGTGAGTACAGTTTAGGTACTGTAGAAATTAAAATTGAAGGATTGGTAGATATAGTTCATGTACATTATTAACATAGGTCACAATTGTACTTTTTGCATAATTTTTGTTAAGGTCATGTATTCAGGTATTGGTAATAACAGTACCGTATTGTAGTGCAGTGAAGGTACAGTATATGTATAATTATTCAAAGGTATGGCGGATTGTTTGAATGCTTTTTGATATGTGAATTTTATGGTCAGATTTATTTTTAACCTTTTAATGATTTCTGGGTCAAAGTATAATACAGTACTGTAATTATCTTTCTTTACAAGCATGGATATTCCAGCTGTAGTATTTTAGTGTAGCTACTGTATTAATATTATTCTGTAATAAAGTATGAAGGTGCTTGAGTATTATATACATAATGACCTACTGTACAGTCGCTCAAAAAAGTATGTATCTGAAAAATATTGTTCATGACAATATGACACATCTGACGTATGTTTTGGGGAAATGGTAGAGGACCAGGCGTAAAGGTGGTAGACCTGCATGCCACAATGGTTGCCATGTAATATATAGGACGTTTCCTGCCGTTTGTCATTAACGTGTTTCATATAAATATAATCAATATGGCTATATTAACAGGGAATGACAGTCTAAAAAGACATTATCCATGTTAGACACATACAGTTAACAATACGTGCGTGGTAATGCTTAAATGTTCCTCTGCGCAACAACAACTAAATGCGTATGTTGACTGTATCCATACATAGCATTTGGTATGTAAACATGTACAGTGTTAGATATCCAAGTATGTTATATTAATAGGTAAGGTAAACAGTAGTGGCATCTCATGTTTATTGAAATATTATTTGGTGTAACCACCACCCTCGACCAGAACACATTGTTTGGGTTCATAGTAACATGGTAACTCTATCCTGTCGTTGATACTGTGTTTCACATAGGGCATCAAACATGCTATGTATGGTGATTATACTGTTCATACAGGTATGACTATAATGCCATGTTTACAGTTTACATGTTGATGGATACTTGTAATTATAAAGATAAACTACCCTGGTTATAAGCAGTTGCGGCACCTACGCCAACTAACGCTTACCAACCCTACCGAGACAACAGTGCCCAGACAACAGGGGTTGTGTTGTTCGTTTTGACATCCATCGGACCCCAACTTTTCAGATACTTTTTTGAGCGACTGTACATAACTATGAGTCTCCAGAAGATATGTATAAAATATGCCTTCGACAATATTATAGATACGGGAAATATACACTAGTAAAGCAGTAAATGTGTTGTAATGTGTTGTAATGTGATTTTTACAATACAGTCAACCCTCGCTTTACGCGGTCCCACATTACGCGTTTCCACGTTTACGTGGTACCCTACCGAAACCGGAATGCTCACTTTCCGCGGTGCGTGTACCCCTTTACGCAGAGAGCGGCGCGAGCAGGATGCGCACAAGGTCGCCCAGTCATCAAAACATTACCGAGTTCTTCACCCGCCACAGCCGACCCAAGTCAGTGATAGTGATAACGCTAGTGAGGATATGGACTTTGAGGAGTTTGACAAAGAGGCCCTGCAAGCCTCTGTGGTGGATAGTGATACAATTGATACAGGTGAGGGCCAATAATCTGCCCTCTGCCTCGGAACCAACCCCCCATCCCCGTGTGCCCCGCCATCTTTTCTACTAATGTAAGTGTTAAAAAACCTAATATTATTGATATTTCTCTTAATTATTAATTGTGTGTGCATACCATCATAAAATTAAGAAGTTATTTTTACTACAACGTAGGTATTGTGTCTGAAAAAGTGGAGTTTGGGGGTCGGCCCGGTCTCTATTTCAATTAATCCCATATGTTATGTTGTTCACTTTACGCGTTTCTCACTTTACGCGGGCCGCCGTGAGTTGAATTAACCGCGTAAAGTGAGGGTTCACTGTATGCTGCACTTGATGCTGTAGTAGTTAATAAAATGGGGAAAAGTGATCAAATTTATATAAAACCGAACAACCGCACAAACCCCCAGCTGTAATACAAGAACAAATGAGAGTTGAGAGTCGGGAAATTCATTGGGCAGTGGGCCCCTCCAACGATTGTGTTGCCTTTATGTACAAAATGCTACAATAATAGATAGATAGATAGATACAAGATATTTTATTGACCACAAATTATGAATACAGAGTTTACACTAAAATTTTAGATAAAATGGTCCAAATGCAAATGCTTTAAAACACCAAACATTCATAAAAGTTCACTGATTCAACCAGTGACACAATAAACAGAGGAAAACCACTAGTAAATAAAGTAAAAAATAACTACAAGTAAAATAAACTAAAACATACAAAATAGTTTTGGGTAATGGTATGTGAACGATGTTTTTAGATCTTTACAGAGATGAATCTTGAGTAACTTCTTTAATTACAGGTGACCATTTGTGACCTTTTTCACAAATGGAGTGTAAGAAGTACAGTAGTAGTATTGGACTATCTAATGAGCAAAAACCTCTTGTTTTTTCCCCATTAAAAAGCCATAATTTGGGGCAAAATTAATAATTTGTTCTCAAATGTACTAAGTTAATTACTAAAATTTGCAATTCTATTACAAACTATGGGATGTTCATACTCAAATTAATTGCTATCTTGCAAGAATTCCAGCAATGCAAGTTATATTCTGCGAAGTCAAGTCAAGTCAAGTCACTTCTCAGTAAGTTGAAAAGTTCACACTGGTTACAACATTAATCCAAGATTAAAGTTAACCCAAACAACTGCAACCATTCACTTGTGTCTCCCAGACAACCGCAACAACAAAAGCCGAGCTTTGAAATATGACAACCATGACATCACTAGTATACACTGTATGTATGAACATTTTAGATCATATTTTAGTCATATTTGAATGTCTTATCATTCCGTGCAGCATTTGACATGCACTAGTGATGAAATCCCAATAAATAAAAGCCTGCTACATCTGTTGATTCACTCTCAGTAGACTCGACAATACAGTATATTAAAATTCAAAATGAAATTCAGTTTGTAAATAGAATTTAAGATGGGGAGCTACAATCATATGATCACAGCCTAAATGTCCACAGGGATCTAGAGTACATCCAAATGTTACAGTAAAATATTCATGATTTGGTGAGACGGCGTGCAGGCTTCACCCACCTACCACAAACGGCAATATTTGAGCACTGTCGTATTATTAATTCCCTAATTAGTTTGCTGTAAAATGGCACATTTTGGTACACAAGGTTAGAAAATACTGAACTTTAGACCAACCAAGACCAAAATAAATACACTACAGCATATTCTTTTGTCAGAATTGTGTTATTTGGAGAGGATATGCATTATGTAACTGTAACTACTTGTTACCTCTAACTGGTCATCTTTATTACAGTGTGGCAAGACAGCTTTAACCAATTTTCTTAGCGAGGCTGGGGAGGTGGGAGGTGAGGAGTACCGACCCACTAAAGGTTGTCGCATCGTTGAGTTTGAAGTCCCGAATGTAACTGTGAGCAGTATGACAACCAAGGCAGAAGTTGAGCTTTGGGACGTGAGTGGAGATAGGAGGCGAGTAACCAGTGAATGTGTTGTAGATTGAGTGAATGTTAAAAAAAAAAAACTTAACATCAGATTATGATAAGGCAAGATATAGTAATCCTTCACCAACCATGGTTTTAAGTACAGTATCCAATCCATGTTTTATGTTTTACCAACCACTGTACTTTATCCAGTTTTCTTTCCGGGGCTACCACAAGTGGAAATGTTTACCTGACCAGGTCTATGAAGTGACTTGTTTTGTTCACTCCATCCTATATGTTCCTCAAACATCAATTTATCATCAAATACTAATAGCCAGGTCCTCCTCATTGTCTAACATCTTTAAGCTGTCACTGGTCATGGTACCAGACCCCTCATGCTCACCCAAAACAATTAGCATCTATATAGCAGGCACCCAACTCTTCAGAGCTAAGCAGTAACCGTTTGTTTTCAGTATTTTATAATAGTTTTGTTTTTGTAATAGTAACACGGCTGCCGATAACACTCGTCAAAGTCTAACTAAGTTGCCTGTTCCTTCACAAAACAATATCTGCATACCTGCATTTTACATTTTATTAAATTTGAGTAAAATGCGTGTAAAATAGCATAATATAAATTAAACATTATAAGGGGTATTTACCTTCATTGAGGACAATGGTTGATGAGGATGACACTAGCCCTTATCTTAGCCTCACTTTTCTTAATTATCTGAATCTAGGATTCATTTACCCCCATGGCGGGTCCCACTGACGTAGCTGCTACGCTCTCATCACGTGCTAGTCTATCGATCACTTCAACTTTCTTTTCTAGAGTCATTACGTTCCTTGTCCTCTTCACATTCTTCTCACCTTTATCAGTAACACTCAGTGCATGCTTAGGGGCCATAACTAAGGGCAAAATTAATGTTATTACAGTAGAAAATATGTAATAAATATCCAGTACACGGAGCAGTAAAATACGTCTGCACTGTACGAGATCACAACACTGAGAGAGCGTGGCACGAGCAGTGGTGGGAGGCTGCGCAGATGAATACATTAGAACACGGAGGGAAAATAATGCTGGTTAAATCGCGGATACTCAAAACTCAATGCCACGGTTGGCGAGGGACTGCTGTACAGTAATTAAAATTTTATAATTTTCTGTTTTGCTGTTCAACTACTACTGGTTTAAAGAAATCGCTTATCTTCTCTACTTCTTACAAGGAGAAGACATATTGTACACTTTTTTATATGTATGTATTATATGTAATACAAAGCAATAATATTCCACAGAATCTTAAACACTGTCAGCTCCATCTTGAGCAAGGAGGAGTAGCACACTTGACCCAAGCCTCACTCTGTTACATACAGTCCATGCATTTTCTATTAATGTCTCAGCTTGGTCCTCCTGCTGTTGCAACACATGTTACCTAAGCAACATTAAATACATGCATTTAGCCAATTTATATTTTATAGGTAATTCAAATGGGATAGAGTCCAGAGAATGCTGAATTAGTGAGGTTTGAGTGTATAAATATATCATCTCCAATGTGTGAGATCTCTTGTCATTCCTCTGGCATTTTTAACCAATTTAAACATTAACAAATTAGTTTCTGATTCGGTCATCTCTTACTTTGTCTGTCTTCTACATTCCACATTAACTATCAGAACTCTTCATAAACTTGCCATTTGTTGCTAATTCCATATGTTTATAAGTGGTCCTCTGCATATGTGTGATTCTTACATCTCACTTAACCTTATTTTAGTACCTGAATACACCTCACTTCATTGTCATCAGACCACATCTAGCCTCTCCAGAGCTTTTCTATACACCTCATTTAGTGGTCTAGTAACTTACTAACACAAAATAACTTATCTTTGCCTTGTTTAACACTTTCTCATCATATGGCTATCACACACACTCATTTGCCATAGGCCAATTAGCCAGACTGCCTCCCCACTCCCTTGTTCCATCAGTGTACACTAATTTACTTTTGGCTCCTGGTTGTCATCTAGCCCTGTTACTGAAGTTTGCACAAGATATTTGTGGAGAGGTTGTTTTATACTTAATATGAATGTTTTGTTAACTTTTAAAAGCAGTTATTTTAGTAAAAACATCGTATTTTGGTGGGAGAGAGTTGTATTTCTCTTATTTACAGTTTGACACATTTTTGTGCTTAACCTGTTAGATTTTTAGGGGCCATTATGCCATCTTGGTATACTGTACCTGCACAGTATTGCATTGGACTAGTTATTTTTTAACTACAAATATTTCTAGCAACTTATAAATAGTTCTTCAAAAATCTCTCATAACCTAGGATGCTACATATGTTATCAGTCTCTATTGCCATCACACTGTATCTGACTTAGCAATTCTATGGAAACTTACAGATTCTTATTCATAAAGAAGGGTTGGAATAAGCATTCCTTCAGGTTGGCTTCTCTCGTTTTACTCTTCTGAAATTTTTTTCTGTTCAAGATTCACATGGCATCTCTTACATTTCTTTTTCTAAAAGGTAATTCTAGGAACAGTTGATGTTGAAAGATTAAAGAATGAGTCACTGATGTGCAGAAGCTAAATGTCAAAGCATCATTAATGGTCTTTTTCCCAAATGACTCTCTTGTAGCTGAAGATTTAAGAGGGGAAAATTTGGCCTTAAGTCTCATGTACAGTATTCTGAAAATTTTCCAGAATATTAAAATATAGATATGACTTTTTTTACTTTGAATATATAAACTGTACAAATGTACAAATGTAGATACATGTACTGTACAGTAATTACATTTTCATCTCAATGGAGGAGATTTGTTGAAGATATTGTGCTCTTTGCTGCGCTTGTAGTATGTAATTAAGGAATAAGTGATCGATACAGTATATTGTTCTGTATATAATATGATTACTTTGTACAGATATGAAAATTGTTGGCCAGCTATTCAGAGAGGCTGCAATGGTGCTATTTTTGTCTATAGTCCTGGCAGAGAAGATCATTCTCGTTACCTTGACACCTTGTACACCCATTTTGTGGAGCAGCAAGGCCTCCGTGAGACTCAGTGTGTAGTGTTTTGCCATTACAAGCCAGGCTTCAAAGGCAAAGGAGCTAAACTCTGTAAGTATATACAGGACTGTTAATGATTGTTGATGCACTTGCACACAGACCAGTGTATAATTCACATCAAATAAATTTAAATATGCACCAAATTTATCAATACACGAGGTCTCACATAACCGACCAAGTATCCAAGAACATAAGGTAACCAAAAGTTATGTAAAGTGTTTAGCTAAAAGCAACTTCCACTTCAAGACAGAAGTATACCTGTGGGACCATAACCATTAACACCCTTTTACCCTCACCCTGCTAATAGTTCCCACTCCTCTGTTCTCCTGGGACTACCAAGACTGCTTATGAGCAGGTACAGTCAGAACATAATTACATTTACCCCTTCAGTGTCAAGCAATATAACAAATCATAAACAATTTCATACAAAGCTCTTGAATTTGGCTTCACATAGGTAACCCTGCTTTCCTTATAAGGAAATGTAGCGACTGAAGAATAACTACTGTATTATGAATTTATATAATGTAATATACTTAATGGATGCCTTTACATTTTTTAAACTACGTAGTTGTTTTTCTCATGTAACTGTTGTTGAGTCGGCTGCTTGATATGGCTGAGCTTGGTTAGAGATTTGAGCCGAGACAGCTTCGTTCAGTCAACCAGCATATATACTCGTGGTGGCCTCGGAACAGGCACTCACCCATGCTCCGTGCTTGAGCACAGTTCTCCTTGCCACACCAATAAACTGGCAAACATTAGCCTGAGTTTCCTGGACCAAACACTTCAGAAATATATAGAACTACCAGTCTCTTGTAATGAAGCAATTTATTTTTTTGTGTACCTGTACTGTAATCCTAAAATGGTCGAGTTTATTGTAAATCAAAGAATACAAATCGAATGTAAACAATAATAGCATATCCATTTTTGCTAACTTTTTAAAAGTGGAATTTGCCTTATTTGAGGTTGAATTCGTTATATATTTCAAAATATGATTTGAACATCTAAAACACAAGAAGGGAAATGATGTTGCAATCACGCTTACCGACCCTATCGAGATGGCAGGAGAGATAGTGTTCATTTTGAAATCCACCCCACCCACGGGTAAAAGTAATTTATGGTTTGACTGGACTTGCAAATTTTAAATCTGTTGCATGTCACATGTGTCTACCATGGCCTATATATGTACTATATCCCTATTTGCATAACATATACAGTAATCTCCCTGTTAGCTGGAATAATTGGTGCAGAGTGTTTCTGGGTTTGAGAGGTTTCCGGGTATTCAGACAAATTCTTTAATCCCTTGAAAAAATCACCCATCTATGGAATTTTTCCAGGTATTGGTGAATGTGTTTGCATTTAAACTATGCATCTGGCATGGAGCACCATTGCTATGGAGGCTTAACTGCAATCGCACAGCCTAAGAGCAGTATTTATTTAAGCAAACAGTACTGTACTGTACTGTATACATTCAGTACGGTAACTTTCACTTTTATCCTTTTTGCCACTGATCGGTTTGTTAGCCGCTTGGGAGGTCAGTCACGTCTTTGTTCTGTGCTGTTGGCAAGTATGGACATGCATTGGCTCCTCATTGTATCTGAACCTGATCCATTGTTGGTCAAATCTGGTCTTGAAAGAACTCACACTCGGTGCTGCACAATGGCACCTAGTCTGAGTTCTTCCCTATCCAAATGGGAGTTAAACAAGGGTGTGTACTGGCACCAACTCACTTTTGCATTTTCTTGACTGCCTTACTATTTTTTTTTTTAAGGGGATTAGCCCACCCGGGCACAGGTCACTGACCCACATCGGGGCCTGGGAGCGATAATAATAATAATAATAATAATAATAATAATAATAATTATTTATAGTAAATAAAATTTATAATAAAAAATGCAAAATTAAAAATATAATAATAATAATAATAATAATAATAATAATAATAATAATAATAATAAAAAGAACCATAAAGAAATAAAAAAATAAAAAAAAAGATCAAAAGTGAGAAACAATATATGTACAGGTTGAAAATCCTTGGGGCCAGAGGCATTTCGGTTTTCAGAATGGTTAGGTTTTTTTTTTTTTTTAATGTGTATTAGCCCACCCAGGAATAGATCACTGACCCACATTGGGGCCTGGGGGTCAAAAATATAATAAAAATTATAATAATAATAATAATTCTCACTTTTGATCTTTTTTTCATTCTTGTATTTCTTTACTGTATTATTATTATTTTATTATTACAGTATTATTGTTATTATTAATTGTATTATTATATTTTATTATTATTATTATTATTATTATTATTATTGTAATCATTATTATTTTATTTTGGTGTATTTTTATTAAAAAATTTATTTACTATGAATAATTATTATTATTACTATTACATTTTTGCCCCCCAGGCCCCTATGTGGGTCAGTGACCTGTGCCTGGGTGGGCTAATAATCCCTGTAAAAAAAAAAAAAAAAATGCCCCACAAAAAAACTTTCGGTTTTTAGAGCTTTTCGGTTTTAGGAATTTCGGATAAAGGGTTGTCAACCTGTATGTTGTGTTGTCAAAGTAAGAGAAACAATTGAGACCCTTCAATTGTGTGTAAATGAGGCAGAAAGTCAGATCAGCAACCTGGGACTTGGTCACAATTTTTTGTGATGCCAAATGGCAGCAGGGTCTACCATTAGACAACACAATATGCCTCCAATATCTTCCCAGGTGGTAGTACCTCCCTGTTTGATAGCTGCCTACTACCTACTTGTGCCAGTGCCAATTTAGCCAGTGAGGTGGACATCGAGTACTGGATAAAGGTCTTTTCAACATAAGACAACTCCAGGCAAGAACAAAGGTGTTGGCAGCTTCCATTACTGAACTTCAGTATGCAAACGACCTCACTCTTGTTGCTCACACTGAGCGCAACCTACAGGAGATCCTGAACACCTACACAGAGGCGTATGCACACTTCGGTCTTGAGGCGAATGTATGTAAGACTCAGATTCTCTTTTAACCTGCCCCTGGTTCAGACACACCTCCCCCACCCATGCAGCTTAACGGTACTACCCTCTCCAATGTTACCCACTTTCGGTATCTCGGCTCCCACCAGTCCACCACCGCATCGATGAAGAGATTCAGTATCGGATCAGATGTGCATCTCAAGCCTTTGGCAGACTCCGAAACCGTGTCTTCAGCTGTAGGTAGCTGAAATTAACTGCTATATGGCAGCGAGTCATGGAACACATACAGGAGGCACCTCAAGGCACTTGAAAACTTTCACCTACGTAGTCTACGTCCCATCCTCCGAGTTCGCTGGGAAGACAAGAGAACAAATGCCAGTATTCTTGCTGACACCAACTGTAGGAGCATCGAGGCTATCATTAAACATGAATAACTACACTGGTCTGGCCATATTACTCACATGAACAACAGTAGACTGCCAAAGCAGTAATTTTACAGTCACCTAATGAATAGTAAACGTAACGCTGGCGGGCAACTGAAAAGGTATAAGGAAAGTCTTGAGACAAACCTGAAGAAGTGCCAAATCGATCCCCTCACCTGGGAGACGATTACTCCACATTGTAGCGCTTGGAGGAGCACCACACGAGAAGGTGTCAATACTTTTGAGTTAGCCTGACTGCAAACCGAGGCAGAAAAACGCTGCCACCGCCCCTCCCGCAACATCTGTGAACAACTCTGCCGGTCCCATATCGGCATCTTTAGTCAGTTCAAAACTCACCAATGAAGGTGACAACCTTAATAACTCATATCATTGTATCATAGCTGGATGATCATCATACTCAATTCTGAGTGACAGCAAAGTAGTAAGCAGTAGTAGGTGTTGCTAGTCAGTGGTTATCGTGTGTACATATGCGCCCTCACTTGCCATTCCCTTTTCACATTACTGCTTGGCCTTAATTATTAATGTCCTTCTCAACTGATTGGTGAATGTTGTTTTGATAAAATAAAAATACACGCAGTAAATTCTATTTTAACAAAATTATACAGTATGCAAAATAAATTTCTTACCTTATCCTATGATGACTACGACTGAGTGATGCCTGGCTATGTTCTTGGTGGGCGGGTCTGGCGGGACGGTGTGGTCCATACTGCGCCGCTCCACAACAATAACAAATGACCCTAATGATTGGTAAGAGAGTTTTTCAAAATTTTTAATAATTTTTTTCCCAAGATTCGTGACACATGACATTAGTAGCCAATCGTAGGTCACAAACACTAAGTCTACCCACCCTTGCGCTCGGCACATATTAATCACTCAGAAATTCATTTGAATACCCAGAATGGGGAGATTTTTCTTGGAATTTCTTGGAATGCAAAAAATTTATTTTCTGTGTAATGGAAAGTTCCAGGGATCGAAGATTCTGGCTAACGGTGAGATTACTGTACGTATAAAAAAAAAAAAGATTTGACAAAAACATTCTAATTCCTCTTTTCACAATTTTATGAAAAAGTGAAATACCTGTTGATCATATTTTGGTAAACATGACACTAGTCAATTCATAAGTCAAGTTAATGTTTTTTTGAAGTGCTACTATGAGCAGATACTGTACTGTAGATACAAACAGGCTGTAATGAAGTGTAGCATAAAATAATTGCTCATAAAACTAGTGTAAGTTACGCAGTTATTTTGTCATTGTACATTTTAACCAAATGTTATTTCTTTCAGCAAGTTCTTTCAATCAAATTCCAAAGCTAGACACTCAGCTGGAAGAGGAAAGTGGAAGTGTCCGGAGGGATTTCAATAATTTTGTTTCTTCTGTCTTGGGTCACATGTCAGCAGTAGCTGAAATGCAGGAAAATTCCATTCTCATGTAAATTTACTTTAAATCCATGAATGTTTGCACTTTGTAAAGGATTACTTCCATTTTATTTGACTTTGTACAGAATACAATTTATACTCCATAGCACTGCCCAAAAGTTGCTGTAAAAAAAAAATTTGATTATAGTATCTGTACCAGTAACAGCTTAGTCTTGTAAGGGACCATAAAAAAATTGGTACACTAACCACATTCCCAGTCCATAGGAAACTGTAAACCCAGCTGCTGAGTGATGTCGGTTGCTTTATATTGAAGGTCCTCAATGTGCTGGCCCTTTGTACCAAGGGAGTTTTATCCTTCATGAAGAAGGGGAAGATTACTCAACTGATGTTAATGTAAATTTAGTAAAGGAATACCTCGCTATTTGCAACACCGCTTATCCTCAATTGATATTTTAACACTCCTTTTGGCATATCATATTTTTGTCAAAAATGTAAGAGAAATATACTTGTCAACAATGGGTACTATACCTTGTGAGCATCTACACACCTTGTAATTGTATTTTTATCTTTCCACAAACTATTTTAATCCAACTACAAAGCAGAGGGTTGTTCACTTTATCAGTGATTTAAAAAACTATGATCATGAGTTGTATATTCTTTCCATTGTGTGATATATTGTGAATCACTATTTACCTTAAAAATGAGGTACTATATCTTTTAATTCAGTCCTCCATAATCTGTGCAGTGTACTTTCTAGTCAGTATGTGATACAAATGCTGTCCACAATAATAAAGGTGATATTGTCTTTGTGTTCCTTTTCTTTCCATGTTTTGAATGGCATTTTTGTGGTCTTAACTTTTGTCTCATGAATGAAAATACAGTATATGTGAAATAAACTTATATCTGTAAAGGCAAATGCAAGTCTCCAGTACTGTACAAAAGATTTATAAAGAACATGACAAGAGTACCATACAGTACAGCGCATATAATGAATTCCCTTGAAGCAGATCTCCTTTAACTTGAAATATGAATAAACTAGACTTAATCTGGTCAACCAATCAATCAGAGTACCATACTGTCCTTATATCTGAGGGTTGGCATCCACAGTTTTCCAATCTAAATGATCTTGGTCTTTTTTTTTTTTACCAATCTTACAAGGTTTTGTATTTCTCTGGGGACCCAGTTTTTAATTTCATTCATCCATCCAAGTCTTGGCCTTCCACTAGCCCTCCTATGTTAATCTTTGCCCTTAAATATTTGTTATTATCCTCCTCATCCTTAATTTTATGACCAAAGTGCCCCATTTTCCTTTTTCTATACCTTTAAAGCATTTCTCTTGAAGTTTTTGTTAAAATTAGTACTTCCTCATATATTATCCTGTCAGCATAACTTATTCTTAACATTTGCCTATAACACCAAATTTCAAAGGCCTTCAACCTCTTTCTAGGGTCAGCTGAATGTGTCCACACTTCTGACCCTTACATCCATCTGAGTTTCCGAATCACAAATTTTTAACTAACATTTAATCGGTTTTCAGAATGCATTAACTTTCCGATTTAATTTCAATATAAATAAGTAGTTCCTCTCTCACAAGATTACCACACACATACACGCACACACACGTACCTCCTGGTCGTAAGATGAAGCAATGTTTAAGTTGTTATGGTCAATCTCTTGTGTATTTTCTCCTCTCTGGTAACACGCCTTGGGACCACAGCCAGACAGACACTCCGACGCCGTTGTCTCCACTTAGGTGGGTCACCATATATATGCAGTCACTATAAAACCACTTGGACAGGTCACCACACAACGGCACTATAGGATCACTTGGACAGGTCACCACACAACGTCACTATTGAATCACTTGGACAGGTCACCACACAACGTCACTATAGAATCACTTGGACAGGTCACCACACAACGTCACTATAGAATCACTTGGACAGGTCACCACACAACGTCACTATAGAATCACTTGGACAGGTAATCACACAACGTCACTATAGGATCACTTGGACAGGTAACCACACAACGGCACTATAGGATCACTTGGACAGGTCACCACACAACGGCACTATAGAATCACTTGGACAGGTCACCACACAACGTCACTATAGAATCACATGGACAGGTAATCACACAACGTCACTATAGAATCACTTGGACAGGTCACCACACAACGTCACTATAGAATCACTTGGACAGGTCACCACACAACGTCACTATAGAATCACTTGGACAGGTCACCACACAACGTCACTATAGAATCACTTGGACAGGTCACAACACAACGTCACTATAGAATCACTTAGACAGGTCACCACACAACGTCACTATAGGATCACTTGGACAGGTCACCACAAAACGGCACTATAGAATCACTTGGACAGGTCACCACACAACGTCACTATAGAATCACTTGGACAGGTCACCACACAACGTCACTATAGAATCACTTGAACAGGTCACCACACAACGTCACTATAGAATCACTTGGACAGGTCACCACACAACGGCACTATAGAATCACTTGGACAGGTCACCACACAACGTCACTATAGAATCACTTGGACAGGTCACCACACAACGTCACTAGAGAATCACTTGGACAGGTAACCACACAACGGCACTATAGAATCACTTGGACAGGTCACCACACAACGTCACTATAGGATCACTTGGACAGGTCACCACACAACGGCACTATAGGATCACTTGGACAGGTCACCACACAACGGCACTATAGAATCACTTGGTCAGGTCACCACACAACGTCACTATAGAATCACTTGGACAGGTCACCACACAACGTCACTATAGAATCACTTGGACAGGTAACCACACAACGGCACTATAGAATCACTTGGACAGGTCACCTACACAACATCACTATAGAATCGATTGGACAGGTCACTGCACACAACGTCACCATAGGAATCACTTAGACAGGTCACCACACAACGTCACTATAGAATCACTTGGACAGGTCACCACACAACGTCACTATAGAATCACTTGGACAGGTCACCACACAACGTCACTATAGAATCACTTGGACAGGTCACCACACAACGGCACTATAGAATCACTTGGAGAGGTCACCACACACACCTCCTGTCACCCCCACAGACCTCGGGGTACTGACCGTTGACACTCACTCTACCTGCCTGTAACAAACTACCCAACCACCTCGTTAATGATCGTTTGCAGCGATAAAGACAATTACGATAATACACGTTTTACTGTTATATTTATTTACTATTATTCTTTAATATTCTGGTTTAGTTTCGTGTTTTTTTTTAGTATTTAGTGAATTAGTGAATTATATGAAGGTTAGTCCTATTTTATTTCACCTGAAGATTAAACCTTCTAACGCTACATCTGGGGATTAGATTAGGTTAGGTTGGATTAAATAAGGTTAGATTAGAGTATATTAGGTTGGATTAAGTTAGGTTAGGTTAGGGTGGCTAATCTTAAGGTGCAATAACTTGAGGGGTGTTGATCTTCAGGTGATACAAATTAATCAACACAGGTAAATGACTTGAAATAATCATTGTTTTTCTCTATCTCAATTGCGTTTCGTTTATCATCTGTCCGCTGTCTGTTGCGGTCACCCGTTGTATGTCTGTGGCGTTTGTCTGTTACGTTTGTTTGATGACTGGGTCCTACGTCCATACATTGTCTGTGGGTTTTGTCTGTCTGTTGTCTGTGTTCCTTTAGTCCATCCGTTGCCAATACGTTCCTTTGGTCTGTTGTCTGTGGGTTTTGTCTGTCTGTTGTCTGTGTTCCTTTAGTCCATCCGTTGCCAATACGTTCCTTTGGTCTGTTGTCTGTGGGTTTTGTCTGTCTGTTGTCTGTGTTCCTTTAGTCCATCCGTTGCCAATACGTTCCTTTGGACTGTTGTCTGTGGGTTTTGTCTGTCT